GGATTACATGACGACTAGATTGATAAAGTAGACAGAGCTGGCTTCGTTGAGGCGGGCAGTGAGCCAATCGGTATCGAGGTTGTCTGGGTAGGAGCCGAACTTGAACCACAGGGCGGAGAATGGAATTCCGTTGCGTTCCAGGTACCAGAAGGCCATGGCGTAGGAGGTGACGGTTTCGATTATGCCTAGCACGCCGTAGGCGTGGAGGATGAGTTTCCAGTTCACGAGGCGGGTTTGTTTCGGTTTGCGGGGTGGGCGGAGGAGGACGTCGGCTTCGGGGGCTTCGTAGGCGAGTACGGTGGCTGCGGCGCAGTCGGTAAAGCAGCTGGGCGTGATGTGTAAGTTATGACTGAGGTGCTTGAAGGTAGGGTTAGAATTGGGCTTACCAGATGATGATCATCAAGAAGGAGGATAGGACCTGGGGAAGGCCGAAGACGACGCTGGTGAACACGGGCCAGAATTCGGAGAATGAGCCGGCTGGTAGGAGGTAGATGATGGTTTTCTTTAGGTTGTCGAAGACGACGCGACCGTACTGGACTGCTTCCACGATGGCTGAGAACGATTCCATCAATACCATGTCTGCTGCCTCAATGGCAATGTCGGAGCCGCTTCCGAGGGCGATACCAATGTCTGCTGCCTTGAGAGATGGGGCATCGTTGACTCCGTCGCCTGTCATGCCGACGATTTCGTCGCGGGCGCGGAATTCACGCACAATGCGCAGCTTCTGTTCCGGAGTGGTTCGCCAGAAGACAATCTCCTGGTACTGGCAGAGCTGTTCCCATTGGTAGTTGTTTAAGCTCATGAGCTCGGGTCCGCTCAGTGTGATTGCAACGGAGGAGGGAGTACGGGGGAGCTTTTCTTCATCGGACTCTACTCGTTTGAGGGACGAGAAGTCGTCGACTGGTCCCTGAGTGCTGACTATACCACATTGCCGGGCGATGGCTAGAGCTGTGAGCCCAAAATCACCAGTCACCTATTGAGATGATTAGCAAAGATCCTCGACCTTCAGATGGGATCTAACCATGAAAATGCGAACTCCGGCACGCCGCAGTGTTTTGACCACATCGGGAATTTCCTCTCTCGGGGGATCAACGATGCCGACCAGGCCGACAAGGACTAGACCAGTCTTTGCATGATTCAAGACCTCGGACTCGAACTCCCGAGATGAAGGAGGAAACAGGACATCTGACGCCGGAAGGACTTTACGTGCAAGGAGGATCACGCGTTTGCCTTTACCGGACCATTGATCTTTGACGTTCTTGACATGTGCCAGTGCCCGTCCATCTAGAGATTGCACGCTTCCATCAGTGTCGATCATATGGGTGCATCGCTCAATCAGAATGTCAGGAGCGCCCTTTATTGTGAGAAGACTGTAGAGGTTAGTATGAGAGACACCAGAAGTACGGGCCAACTAACGTATCATTCCGCTTGAACTGTGCCGATTCTGCTGCAGACATTGCGAGACTCAGGCCTTCAGATTCTGCCAGACTAAACGTGCGGATCATGAACTTGTTCTTGCTGTTGAATGCCAGTTCGTATGTCTTTCGCCAAGTGCGCCGCAGCTCTGCCACCGATCCAAGGCCTTCAGAAAACCTCAGGATAGCTTGGTCGGTTGCGTCACCGTAGACTTCCCTCTCGTGAAGGGGCTTGCTCATAGAGGAGGCATCAAACTCGGCTGCGTTGCAGAGACCAGCCATACCACGGAGCTGATGTATCCCGCTTTTCTTTCCCCTCTTGACCATGTCATCTCTGGCGGCCTCTGTGGCAAAGCGAGATGTCGAGAGGGAGCAATCAGTCACGACCATCTTGTTCTAAAACAACAATCCGGGTTAGAACAGACCACAGACCGACAACATGGGACATACCTTCGTTAATGTCCCGGTCTTGTCGGAACAGATCACCGAGACAGCACCCAGCGTTTCAACAGTCTTCAGAGACTTGCACAGAATTTTGTTCTTGCTCATGAGGTTGGCGGTTATGGTCAAATTGGCAGTCAGGGCGATCGGCAAGCCTTCTGGAATAAACGCAATGGCAACACTGACACAGTCGACGATCAGAGTCGGTACGTTAATCCACCCCGGATGTTTGACTCGAAGCCATGTAGCCCTAAGGAAAGTGAGTAAACGAGCACAGTGTCTTTAAGGCATATATACCAGACAATGATCACGATGATAATCATCGTCAGCATGATCAGAACAATTAGCAGGACGAATCGCAAGACCTCCTTCTCGAGGGTACTAAGCCCCTTCTTGGGTTCGCTCGTTAATTTGGCAATGCGACCAAAGACGGTTGAGTCTCCGATCGAGACAACGACACCGACTGCACTGCCAGCAACGCAGTGAGTACCTTGAAGCCCAATGCAGTGCGTTTCGAGATAGTTGTCGTCCGTTGAGTCCACAGTTCCATTGACAGGCAAAGACTCGCCTTGGCAATCAATCAGCTCATGTCTGCGTGCTCCTTAAAGGAACATACCAGTTAGGATAGACCGATCAAAAGCCACGTCGTTCGAGACCCCAAGCAAGCGCACGTCTGCAGGTAGCTTGTTTCCCGCTTTGAGATGAACCACGTCCCCCGGGACAATGTCCGGGGCGGAGACCACCACCAAAGAGCCGTCCCGGAGAACAAGACAGCTCTCAGGCAGCATGGCGGTGATAGAAGCCATGACCCTGGAGGATGACCAGTCCTGCCATGCGTTGAAAGCGGCCTGGATGAAGAACACTGCGAGGAGGACGATGGCCAGGGCAAGGTTTGCCACAGCAGGAGGCTGTCCTAGGGGTTTCCATGAAATGAAGACAAGCACACAGCCAATCAATAGAATAGCACCAAAGCCCTTGAAGAAGTAGCCAAAGATCTGCCAAAACCATTGGTGTGGTAGCGGCGAGAGTGCGTTTTTGCCATATTCCCGGACCCGTTGCTGGACCTGATCGTGTGATAGCCCTTGAGAGATGTCAACCCGCCATCGTTTCTGTATTTCCTCTGGGGAGATCTTATGCCAGTCGAGATTGGAAAGATCTAGATGCCGCTGATTAGCAAAAGACGCCTTAGTGTGTAGATCAGCAACTGAATGGAATCAGTACCGGCTGCAACATTGTCCTTCGTCTTAGTGGCCTCCGCTCGTTCACGGTCCCTCGCCTCATCAATATCAAATGATCTATTTAGATGTGTGTCAGGGGTTGTTTGTAGAATGGTGGTAGTAGTAGTAGCACTGACACGGTACGATAATGGATTGGCAAGGACAGTGAGGGATCAACGGTCGCCCTTCGGGCACGACTGCGCGCGGAGCTGTTGGATGCCACTGAATTGATGCGAGAAAGTTGCGCAGGATCTCTATTGGTCTGCTGGCCAGTTTCTTCGTCGACTGGCTGCCAACGGAGACGAGTTGCCTCTGCATTGGGGGCCTTCTCCTCCATGGTGAAGTCGGGACACTTCTTTATTTCTCCGATACGAGAGAAAGCAGGCGTCACGCAAGACAAAAGCAGAAAACGCAAGAGAAACAGAATAAATGAAGTAGGGAACCAGCCTCAAAGTCCACCGTCGCCAGCCTTTATAGTGGGAAGCGAAAGCTCGGACTGTCAACCACGCGAAACGTCCGTGCATATGCCATGCGAGATTTGGCCCGTGACAGATAGGAATCCCAGGTCAGCGACGCTTGCGGGTTTATTGAGAGCCACTGGTTGCGGGACCTTGGTTCGGAGGATGGGGGGTGGTTGAGATCAGTGGCTTGGGTAAATCCCTCAGGCGTGCTATAGCCCGCCGGATTCAATCAGCCCGGCCTCGAAACAACGAAAAAAGCCTCAACGTGACTCGCTTCACTGCCCGGAATCGCTTTAGACTACAGAATCCAGCTGCCTATGGATATCCCAGGTTCAATTACTCGGCCGATGGAAAGAAACCACGCAGGTAATAATTACCTATCATTCATTCCTTGGAACGACTAGGCTAGACCGACCGACCGAGTCGATTCACTCTACATCCCCAAGGCATGCAGAACATAGAGCATCAAGCTTACAGTTGCTGTCAGGGGCAATGTGGACAGTTGCATGTTCCCTCTAGGCTCTTCCTTGTTTCCCGGATCGTGTTCCGCATCCCTGCGGCGTGGTAAAGGAAGGTAGTCTACCCGTGCCGTGCGAGAGGTAATATCCGTGAGCAAGCCAATCCCCGTTTCATGCATTAACCCCACGAACGTCTGAAGTAGCATAAGCACCCAGCTGGTCGTAGCTTCTATGCGGGCGGCACACTGAGACACGATGAAGAGGGACTTTATTCTGCGCTTCCGTGAGTCTTCCCATATCTTTAGGGTCAAATCAAGTCTTTCTTGCGTGGATGAAGACGTAGACCCCCTGGCGAAAGCAGATAGATAATTCGCAAGCGATGCGGCGGATTCAATAGCGCAATTTGCCCCTTCTGCTAAGTTCGGCGTCATCTATAAGAAATTGTCAGCTACAATATCCGGCCATGATTGCATCTCAGTGAGAACGCTTGCCTTGTGCACCGCGTCTCCTATGCCTACGAACCGCCCCCAGGACCACCGGGTTTGTAATGACTCTTCAAGCGGAACAAGCATGCATGATTCGGTGCGATCGAAGATTTCGCCAAACTTGACATTGCAGGCGATGTGCTTCTCGAGGAGAGGTTCGACGACACGGGCCAAGCAGGCCCTATCGGAGCTACGATGCGGCATTGCCTGGCTTGCCCCTGCACGTGCAATCGAAATGAACCAGAAGACTTTGGAGTCTTTCCCGATCATTATGATTGTTGACCAACCATGCCCGTATGTGCGGTGGACGCTTCCTCTCTCCAGGCTCGGCATGGACTGGGAGGTACCAAATACACCAGCGAAGGAATCAGTCAAGGGGACCTCCGACAGCCGATAAAGGCCAACGAAAGCGTTATCGACATTGTTGATATGATGCCACATCTGCGTACGTACTGTGCTATACACTCCGTCGGCACCAACCACCAAATCACCCGAGACACTCGAACCGTCCGCGCTGCAAACCGTGACCTCCTTTGCGGAGGGTTCGATTCGGCACACTCTTCTGCCAAAGGACAAGCAACTCCTCCTCTGGAAACGTGTATAGAGAATACCTAGGAGTGCCCGTCGTGAGATAATGATGAGAGGATAATGTGTTCTTGTCGCAGTCAGTCGACACTTCCCCGCGATAGCACCGGGACATACCGTCTAACAGACCGAATCTGTCGGGTATCAACTCGTCGCAGCAGATGCCCGTTTTCGATCCAAGTGCTGTGCGATACCATACGCTCACCCTGGTCCAACACGTCTTGATACAGCCCCAGCTGATCCAGAATACGGGCGCCATTGGGAGAGATTGTGAGACCGGCGCCATCTGAGAATGGATCAGACCTTGCCTCCAGGACAGTGAAGTCGATACTAGTGCTGGACAAGCAGTGGGCGAGAGTCAGGCCTGCGATAGAAGCACCCACGATGATGACGTGAAATGGCCTTTGGCTGTCTGTCTTGGACATTGCCGCGGCACTTCTGCATGATTAATGATGTTCCTGTCATGGAGACGGCCATAAGGACATGGCGGCGAGGGATCCTTTATAATGATATTCGAGATAATGATGGCATGGGTAGTCAGGCGGACATGCTGTGCTCGTGAATTGAGCCAGGAGTGAGAAGCTCAGAATAACAAGCTTGGTTGAGCCATTGGTCGGCGGGGTCACGTTTGGCCACGGGCCACGAGATGGCAGGTACGACCGAAGAAGGGGGTCATGTCACGGCCACATCTGATCGCTTGTACCACACGGCTAGTAGCATAAGAGGACCCGATGCCTTCCAGCCATGAGTAACGGAGCACAGTGGCAACGGACAAGCCTAGACGGTCCTGCACGTGTCATACTTGGTGTGACGTTCCGTATTTGTAGAGAGCAGTTGCTCTCCATCCACCTCAATGGCTGACCGGATCTCCTGACAGATCGACCTGGCTAGGAAGCTGAAATGATTGATTCCCAATTCATTGATCTCTGCTGGCAGATAGCCTGCCAGAAATTGCAAAAGCAATCCACACCCCCGAAATTGGTTCATCCACTGTCTGCAACATAAAGCCACATAGCTGGTACCTTGAACGCCGAAGAGTCCCGTAAATGATGCAAGCCGAATCCGGACGACCCGATCGGTGGGTAGAGAAGACCTTCTCTGTGTGTAGAGTCCTGTGCTATGGTTCATGACCTTTGATGCTTGACCCCAACTTTAGCTCGGGCCGAGCCAGCGATTAAGACCAGCGTCTCTTATTTTTAGTTAAGGTTGGCCTGGATTAACGTTAAACATCCATGTCATTGCCCAACCCTGCACGGACGGACTGCCTCGGGTAGCGGGTGGGGGACCATTGACGGCTGGGCGATGAACTGGATTCATTCCAGACTTGGTCAAGACAGATGAGGGGTTGCGGCTATGAGGTCGGTGCTTGATGACACCGACTGATGTATCAAATCCGTTGCCGCCATGCCGTCCTGTCTGGTGTCTAGACCACCGCGTTATAGGTACATACAATGCGGAGATGGTCGGGTTCGATCTGGCTTATCATCAAAACAATCTACTCCGGACAGTCTTCATGTTCGACCTTCCGCAGGATACCCCATACAAGCTGCAGAAAGATAGATTAAGGAGGGGTGCCGAAAGTATCCATACCAATCAACCCCGCGAACCGATCCACTGTCGCAAACCAAATGCGACGGCCATTGGAGGGGGAGATGGCATCTTTTTGTGCCACAACACTAATTGCTCCGACCCGACCGCGGCTGTCAATCCCTCCTGAATTAGCATTGATCTGGGCCGTAGTAGCGGGGCCGGACGGGACTAAACTCCACGCTAGACGGGTCGACACTTCGCCAGAGCAATTATCGAGCCAATCAGGCCCCCCATCGACGGGGATGTCAGATTGCCAGCCAGACTACGCCGTCTCCGTCTCCTCCGGCTGTATCAGAGTGGAGCCCGAAGGGTGAAGCCCGGTATGGTACCGTTACAATAACTAAGCCAAGGGTTCCCTTCCGAATTGGGCCAGGCTGCCTGCAGCCACTAGTCGTAGCCCTCTAGGGCAATGGGCTAGGAAGGCAACTGGTCATCCACAGGCAATAAGGATATGCTACTAGTAGCCAAGGGATCCGCGCCGGAGAAAGCACTGCCAGTTGAACGTATGTACCCCATTGAGAACTATGCAGAGAAATGCTGACGGAAAGTACACGGCGTGGAGAAAGAAGAACAGAAACAACAAACGCCCCAGCCAACACCACGCGCCTCATCAATAGTCGCGCTTGTAGATCAGACAGGTTTTAACAAAGGTTCATCGAAATGCAACTTCAGTAAGACAGCGAATGGGAAGCAGAAAGGAGTATGCTAGTGGTATCATCGCTTGGAAAGAATCAGATCAATGCTTCCACATTCATGCGAAAAGAGTGCGCCCGCCATGCCGGATGTGAAATCTGTCAATGCTCGTCTACCGACGAAGGCGGTTGACGCGGAAAGCGGTCAGGTCAATGGACTCCACCGAATCGGTACCATCATCCACCTCGATGGTGTCAATCTTCGAAAGGGACTGCCTGTCAGCCTCGATGGTTGTAGCCGTGGGCGCCGTGATCGGAGTTTCTTCCTGAGCCGCAGGTGCCTCCTGCTGTTCCGCCTTCAGACGCCCAACCTCGTTGGTGGCCAGGTCTAGCAGGTTCTTGAATTCGCCTTCTACGCTGGCTAAGTCTGCCGAGCAGTCGCCTGATCGTAGAAAGTGATACGCAGCCGTCTCGCACATTCCATGGACCAGTTCCAGTTGCTTCTCAGCTGTATCGAATGGGGAGTGTTCTCGAGCGCGAGGTCCTGGAGGGCCTTGGTTCCGGGCTTTGCGGATGCTGGACAGCACATCGTTTTCGCTTGAATCCGAGCTGGAAAGTGAACTGGCTAGATTATTCATCCCCGTGCTTCTGTCCAGCATTTTGTTGCGGTAGCCTGCCATCGGCAGCTGAGCCATTCTGCCTTTCCGGATGTTGTTCCGAGCCGTTCCAATGTTTCGCACCATCTCCTCCAAAACCTTTTGTGTATGACCATCATAGTGGATGATGAGGTTATTCCGCGTACTGACGTATGGACTCTCGTCGCTACCATCCAGGCTGGGCGCTTCTTCAGCGCCGCGTTTCCGGGGGTTCACATTCGACTGATGCTGGGAGGTATTTGGGGTGGTGACAGTGGTCCGTGTTTCGGCGGCGGATGACTGGGGCTGGATATCGGTGTCGGGAGCCGACGAGCGCAAGTCATCGGGTCGGATGGAGCAGATAGAGCTGTTCTTGCGACGACGCGGTCTTACTGCGACATGTCTTTTGTAGGCTTCGGCATATTCTGCGTGCTTCGCAGCGGTATGGGTCGATAGTTCGGCAAGCCGACTGATCCAGGACGGTATGTTTTCTGACAAGTGGGTGAACGCCCCCAGGGCGTTCATTTGGGTAGCGGGCATGGTGTCACGGGCAATTCAATGTAGGAAGGGGGAGGACATGTGCTTCGTAGTTCGGGTCCGGATTTGTACTTCCGGGGAGAAAAACAACTCTGTGGGCTCGTCCAATGGCCTGCCTAGAGTCTCCAGTCGTCCAGGATAGTCGAAAGCAAGATGAAATTGAAGGATAGGTTGGTGAGCGGCGAAGCTGCGGATTCGTATCGTCGTCGAGTCGTCAAGGGCCGATGGGCGGTGGTTGAAGGGATAAAGTAAAGCGAACCAGGAGCCTACAGCTGTTCCATGGGTCGGGGACTGCGCACGAGAGCGGTGTCGAAATGGTAAGCGGGATGCGGCACGCAGGGCTCCAGGTAAAGAATGGGGGGGGGGGAGCACAAGCACCAGAAAGGAGAAGAGAAGAAGAAGGGGAGTGGAAGAAGAGTAAAGGAAGAGAAGAGCGAAGCGAGGGAAGAAGCAAGTTAGCTGGTGGTGGACGAGCTGACAGGGCCCGAATAATACTATAGAGGGTGACGTCCCCGAAAGTGAAGCCCGAAGCGTGGGTCTGAGGCCATGCAGCAGGATGCATTACGGTAATCTTTCAGCGGCCCCGTCCTTCACATGACGATGGACCAGGGGGGGGGAGGCCCTCCATGACGGGCATTAACTATTAAGATTCTCGATACCCTTCCATGAACAGGGGCCCCCCTGCAAGCGCCGGCCACTCGGGCAATCCCATGGCCGGTTCCACTTCATCTTGCCCTCTGGTTCGGGCGCCCGGATTGGCCCCAGCCTGGTATCTTACGAAGGAACGACTGCGATGGCGACGCATGCTGCCGAGCCTAGGGTGTGCGACCTCGACAGTACTTACAAGAGTGAGTCCTGGACAAGCGGTGAGCGTTTCTAGGTATCTATCAATCTTACCATGGTGAGGGGAAACCATGGATAGGATCATAAGGTAATTGTCATGACTGTCACGGATAGCTCGGAGGAATCCCTGAAGATGAAACACCAACGGGGCAAGGCTTTCTAGAAATGAGGTCCCCGTGGTGACATTCTGGAAGCTTTTCTCCCCCCATATATTCCAAACACGCCCACTGCGGTTTCATCGGGCAGTCCGATACAGGATGGAGTGCCTTCTGATCGTAGTAATTTCTGAACACGTGCGGAAAAATCAAATCAAACCACCACTCAGTCTTCTCCTCAACAATCAACATCCACTCAACCGATTCGATTCACCAGCATGGGTCTGTGTCCCGCATGGTCCAATGCCACCGCTGCAAGAAATGAACAATGGCATCGCCGCTCAAGGCCGAAAGTCACCCCGATCTCACTAACGGCGATTTTACCCAAGAAAGTCATGACACGTAACGGCCTGCGCCAACTACTAGACAGGGGTGTTCCAGGCGAGTCAAAGGACTTCGGAAAACAGCAACCCTGGTTCTTCCCTTGGCTGACAGCTGCCTTGACCACCGCCAGATGCGACCGGCTCAGGATTCTTCCCACCATGCATTTGAGCTCTCCGGGTGGGATTGGGCGGCGGGGCCGCTGATCCCGCCCGCCACTGAGCCGTGGGATGGCAGGCGCCTCATCATGGTTGGCTCTGCTTCGCGGCATGTTATGCTGTGATCCCTGGAAAATCCATGAGGGCGCGATGACTTGTTCGTCGTTGATTCCTGGGTTTCATGGTACAGAGTACTCGGCCATCAGGTCATTCTTCGCTTGGAGCTTGTGCTGCCGATCGAATTACGTTATTTCGCTATGCGTGCCATACGACCGTCCCGCCGAGAGTCAGACAATATGTACTCCGTACGGAGCACCTACAATTTGATTGTTATCCTGTACAGGAAATCATTCCGGAACTAAGATGATTGGCCGATTCTATTAATATTAGATAATCTATGCAACCCGGATCAACCCTTGTGCTGGCGTTATGACAGTTAGAATACAGCTCGAACTAGGCCATGCCTTGGTATCGTACAAGTGTGTGCCTGCACACGGCTGCCTTCCCTGATGCCACAAAACCTGCTAAGGCACGGAAAGAACAAAGAGAAATATCATATATACGAACTCTCAAAGTGACGGCGACGGACCAAAGCATTTCTGACACAGAAGCGGACTAATGAATGAAGTATTTCCGCGTTACGCATCGACGGCTCTCCCCCGCACCCACAGGTGTACCCAGCAATCTAGCATCTCTTTGGCTTCCCGAAGAGCGTCCATGGCCGCCTGCCATTTTTCGTCGCAATCTTCTAGTCTCGCATGTAGGTTTTGACTGAAGACAACATGTGGCGCCAACTTACTCGCACCGTTCAACGCACCCTCTGAGGGTGAGGGAAACACAAGGGCAGCGGAGGCTGAAGAAATCTGAGGACTCGTCTCGTTGGTATCTCCAGTCGGCGTGCCTCGTTTCACTCGCTTCCGTAGGGTAGCATCCTCTTCTTCCTCTTGTATCTCCTTCGCAGGAGCCGCCTGCACCCCCGTATCCCCAGGTGAGACCTTGCGCGGTCTTCCCCGTTTTCTCTTCTGCGTGACCGGCTCTGGCTCGGCCGGACCAGTTGGAATCGGCCCAGCAGAGTCAGATTGTACATTCTTAATCCGGAGCTTGATGCCTGTTTTGGAAGGATCGTCAATAGACTCATCAACGTCATTGCCATTGTCATTGACAGTGGCATTGCCATTGTCTGTTTGGGTCTTCTTGGCTGACGGGCCGGGCTTCTTCTTTGGTCCGGCAGCCTGTTTGCGCATGCTGGTCGAAGGCTGGGTGGTCTTTTGTTCTTCCCCTATGCAAAGTCAGGAACCGAAACGCATTAGGATATAGCCTATAGCTGGGGAACTCACCGTCTCGATGTATACATCGTTTCTTCGACCTTCTGCAATCCTCACACGCCGTTCTTTTCGACAGTCGTTTTCTAGATGAGCCAGCAGGACTCTTCGCTCTGCCCCTGGGCTTGGGATCGTTTGGAGGAGCTTGGGGGGCGGTTTCGGATGCAGCCGGGGGTTCGTTCTACAGGACGACGATTTAGCTCAATATGCACATTCATTTCAATAGGGAAAGTACCAACCTCCAGCTTGCCATTTTCCTCGGCAGGCGCGGCCTGCTCTGCAGTCGTGCCATCAACGGACTCCGGAATCTCTATCGAGTCCATGATGGTCATAGCAAGTGCAGCCTCTTCAAAGGGCTCATAACTGTCGGAATCCCGGGGCTCCGTCTTGATCACGATCCCCCCGTCGTCCGAGTCGCAGTCCTCGGACTTGACCCGGATGTCACCACAGTCGACGCATATTTCCGAGTCCTCGCAGAGGTTCGTCTTACACTTGACGCAGATGAGTCTCAAATCGGTGTCAAAGGACCCTACGTTGGTCTCTGGATGCTGTGCGCCCGACATGGGTTCCGTTCCGTTTGAGCTGGGTTGTTCTTGATCTACACCAATCGGCGTTGAACCGAGCAGGGAGTTCAGTAAATTCAACATCCAATATGTAGAGGATGGTTTGATCGTAAGGGAGTGGTTGGCGATGGCTCTGCCCGAATTATTGATCGGGTTCTGACTAGATATACACACAGCACCGGGACAGGCTTCGACCTTGACTGGCTTAAGTTGCAAGGACTGACGCCTTCGTGCTGATTGTGTGTTTCAGAGGACACAACGATCATTGTCGATGCATGATTCATCGACACGCATAAATATTCTGACGAGCAACAAAGGCAACTTAACGCGCGACAAAGCGATGTTGACTTGCAACAAAGGTTCCTTGACGAGCAACAAGATACTGGGAGGGACAAATACGGGAGGCAAGACATCCCTGTCTCACCTTTGTACTTTGCGGAAAGGCTTAAGTCTAGACTCTTTGGCCGTACATTCGCATTCTTCCCGGATTGTATTTCCCCTGCACAGGATCTTTCCTTTTGTTAATCCCCGCAAAAGCCGTTCACCCCCGATTTACAAAGGCAATCTCCAACAAAGCCACCTTGAAAGCCCTTTACGTCGGTCGGGCCCAAAAATAGGAACCCTCCTCTCAGCGATGATTTCAAGGCCATAACTCCGCCTCCTCCCAGTCCTCCCCATCGCGCCCTGCCGTCCACCTCGTCCGGGTCACATTCTCTGGATCCTGCAAATCCAGTCTCTCGACCTCCTCTGGCCGAATAACCAACACTCTAAAGTTGGCCCGCGCCACCTCATCTCGGAGATCCTCCACCTTCTGTCCAAGTTTCAACTGAGGGTTACCGGGGTCCTGGGACCGTGGTGTTCCGGGAGGCGGGTTCTTGAATGTCCCTACACAACACATTAGCCTCCAATCCTCTCAACCCCAACGCACAAGCAACAAATACTCACCCCGCATAGCCGGCGAATGATTCGCAAAATACATATCCACCTGCCTCTCCCACGTCCACTCCCCCTCCTCCTTCTCCTTCTCCTTCCCCCCCTCCTTCAACCTCAACCCCCTCCCCACCACCTCCCGTTCCTCCTCCCCCTCCTTCCCCCCCAACACAAACCCCTTCCCCTTCACCCTCCACTGCTCCCCCACCTCCGCCAACCAAAACATCCCCTCCACCACACCCCCCGAAGACCCCAACTCTCCCACCTTCTCCATCCGCACATCCGTCGTCACAGCAATCATCTCACTCTCATAGATATCCGGATTCAGACCGATATTCTGCTCCTTGAGCGATTTGATTCCCGACGGGTGCAGACTGAGCGTTGGGAAGAAGCCACGGAATTCGACGGTGCGGGCGCGCGGCACGGCGTGGCCGTGCGTGGTGTGGGCGATTGTGGTCAGTGTGAAGGAGGTTGTGGCGGAGGGGGAGGTGAGGTGGGTTTTGAGGGGGGTGAGCCAGGGTGCGAGAGCGCGGGGGGGCATTTTGGTGGTGGGTGTGGTGGGATTGTGGTGTGTGGTATCGGCGGGGATGAGTTGTTGACGTAGAGAAGGAATTGATTGCGGGAGTGTAGGTATGAGCGCGTTTAAGCTTCTACCTGCTAGGAGGTAAGATGTAGCCGATAGCTGGACTGTAGAAAGAGGTCGATTAAGAGAGGTGGGATGTGGAGGGGTGAGGTAACCCAGTAGCCTGTAGATCAGTTCATGACGTTTGTTGACCCGGCACGTGCGGTTATCTTATCTGATTGCCTGGTTGAGTGAGAAGTCAGAATGAAACCTGTTGGCTGGATTTCATACGGTACAGATTCATATGCGTTGTATAATTTATTGTAGCCTGGTTCTAGTCTACTGTTTGACTTTGGACTGCTCTGTCGATGCTGGTTCGGGTGAGGAATATCCTTACGGAGCTATCGGTAGCTGCATACTACGGAGTACTACCCAGTCATAATTCAAATCCAGCGATTTACATGGGCTGCAACCATTCCAAACCCAAGATGATGCAAATATTTGATTCGACCAAACACCCGCACCGAAATAGTGCTGCGACTTTACCACAAAGCAGCACGACCAAATAATATGACATATAGTATAATTTTAAAAAAAAACAGCCCGAAGCAATCAAACCCTTACAGTAGTAAAACAAGTCAAAAAAAAGTCAACGGCAACTCATCATGACTGCATCTTATCCTCATCATCCGTATCCTCGGCATACCCCAACGCCCCACCAGGTATTCTCCCCTCATTCAACTCCCTCTCCAACCGCGAAATCTCCTGCAAACTCTTCGCCTCACGAATCATCTTCTCCACGCGCTTCCTCTCCTTATCCGTCAACTGCACCCGGACGACCTTATCAGCGGGTGCCCGGTCCGCAGCGCCCGAGGGAACATCAAACGTCCGAGACTTGATGCCCATGATCTTGGACGCAAGTGCGGATGGTTCTTCGGCGGTTCCGAACAGTTCGCTGGCTTTTTCGCGCTCCGCGTCTTTGACTTTCGCGTAGTCGAGGAAGCGGATGCTGGGGATGCGCCAGATTACGTAGTAGCGGTAGTGCTGGGGTTGTTATTAATCGGGACAGGAAGATATGGGTGGATAGGTGAGAGGGGAGAAGAGACTCACCTCCTTCCTTGTCACGGGGTTCTCGAGCAACACTAGATGTGTCAGGTGGGAGAGGTTGCGAAGGGGGTCCAGGTCCGCGAGTTCGCTCATGTTATTTGCTGTCAGGACCAGCGAGCTCAGGTTCGGGATGGAGGTCGCTATCGTGGACTGGATTTGCTTGACGCGGTTGCGGGCCAGGAGGAGGGTGCGGAGACGAGGGAAGAGGGGGAAGTTTCCGAGGGAGGTGATATCGTTATCTGTGAGGTCGATGGCATCTTGGTCCTGTCATGGTTGTATTTTGTGAGTGCACCGCAGTGAATGAATGGTGGTGGGTTGAGCTGAGAACTCACCTTGGCGATACCCAAGTTCTCGATGGCGGGTATCTTGTGCCCTAGACGACGCAAAACACAAACCGATATCAATCAAGCTCATCTCAAATGTGTAGTATCTGTTCTTTTCAGGTCTAGTGTATGGAACGCACCTCGGAGATCTAGCTCGCGATCCTTGAGCGGGTTGATGTAGGAAAGGGAATTTTGGATCAGTTCGACGGTCAAGCGCATGGTGGCGGTGCGGGTTCGAGGGTGGCTCTATTGGGGTATCATGCACTGAAGGAGTGAAGCAGGACAGAAGCGACAGCGTATAGCAAAGAGTGAAGCAGAAGACGTCAATTGAGACAAGCGGGGACGATGAGATTGCACTGCAGCTGGAGCTCTGTTGCGCATACCTCAGAAACGAGGCCGCCGATGATTTTGCCCGGGCGGTGAGCCGCTCAGTCAGCGCGGCACGTGAGCATATAACTATTCCACGCCCGTCCCCTGACAAGGCGGCTTTCATTGAACACTGGTCCTTGTCTACATTACAAGTGTAAGCACTATCACAGGTATGCATTAAGTACAAGAAATGACGACTTCGGGATAAATACACAAGCAAGCCATATGTACCGTCTAGCTGCATATCCTGCATATGTATGAACTTAAATAGTAACATTTATATCCAAAACACAAAATGACTTCATCAGTTATATGTCGCTGGCTTTTCTCTCTCCGCACTCGGTCACGGAAGGGGAGAAATCTTTTGACACCCCTACTAGGGTTGGTGTAGCTGCGCCATGAGCCGTCATGGACCAATCACCAATCTGCTCATCAAAAAACTTGGTCTGGTCCAGTCCTAGCATTTCATCCTCGTCATTCACCCGAAATTCCAGGCCGGGGATGTATTTGAGGATGAGAAGCATGATGTAGGACACGACGAAGGAGTACAAAGAGATAGCGCAGATCTCCGCCAGCTGCTTTCCAACCTGAACTCCGTTTCCATCAATGGCTCCAGGTGACAGGGTGCTGCCATCCAGCGCTGAGATCTTTTCGCTTGCAAACAACCCCGTCAGGAAAGCACCCACCATACCGCCGAGACCATGAAGCTTGAAGACGTCCATGCCCTCGTCGACGTGGATCCACTCGTTCACGTTCTGGAGGGAGGAACATACAACGCTCGTAATGAAGCCAATGCACGCCGCGAGCCACAGAGATACGCAGCCAGCCGCTGGGGTTATCCCGACTAAGCCAGCAATGGCACCTTCACAGGCACCAACAAGGGTGAATTTCCCCTTATACTTGATCATATCAACCAGCACCCATCCGAGGATCCCCGTACATCCGGCCGTGTTGGTGTTGAAGACGGCAACCATAGCGCGCATACTGGCATTGAGACTTGAGCCTCCCTATCATCGTATGGCGGTTAGACAAATCAGGAGGGTCGGAAGTGATCTCAACGTACATTGAACCCCAACCATCCCGTCCAAATAAGGACGGTGCCGAGGAAAACCAAAGTGGGATTATGCGGTTTGCGGGTCGAAGGCTCCCCATAATCTCTACGCTTCCCCAACACCAAAGCGTACGCCAATGCTGAACAGCCGGAAGCGATGTGCACCGGACCGCCGCCAGCAAAATCAATGGCTGGTAGGTTGTATAACCATCCATTGCTGCTCCATGTCCACCGGGCCAAAGGGCAGTAGACGATAGTTGCCCAGAAGAAGCTGAAAATTAATGACGGTACGATACCACCTCTTTCAAATGCACCGCCCACGACGATCATTACCTGCAGGACTTAGTACATTGCTTCCGAAAAATTTGGAGCAACTTACTGTGCATGCGCAAAACAGAAGCTGAAATAAACAGAAGACAACTTCTGGTAGCACAGCGGAGCCAGGTGAGGGTGCCACCAGCACATCCATCAACCCAAAGTTCTTCAGAGTACCGATAAATGGACCCCCATCTCTGGAGTAGGTGAGTGAATAGCCCCAGAAGAGCCACTGGAACGTGGATCTACATTGAAAATCAGTTATTACGCCGAACGACAGAGGCCATAGTAACGCTGCAAACTTACACCGCAAGAACCATGAAAGACTGGAAGAGTAGCGCCAGCGCAGATTTCCTCCGTGTCAAACCGCTGTACAGCATCCCAATACCCGGTAGAATGAGAAAGACGATGAATATACAAGTGACAATGTAAACGTAATTGTACTCGAATCCGGCATATTGTGCGTTCACATCTACTTTGGTCGGGTCCCCGCTCTCCGGCGTCGAAGCGTTGTAGACTGGCTGTCGCTCCATCCCATCGTTAGCTGAAACATGTTTACCAAGTGCCACAGACGGCCTCAAAATTCCAAAGACTCACCTCAGCCATGGTGAGTGAGGAAGGCAATGGATGACAGCCCGATAGGTTGCGCTGCTCTTTGGGCCTGCTCCAATTCGAGATTGCTGTCCTTATACTACGAAAAGCAAAAAGAGAAGATGCTGGTCTCCGTTGGAATTTATTCTCTTCTTGTGCGCCTGAACTGCATGGTTATCTTGGCTAGAGCCGTTCTGATATGGGGCATAGATCTAGGTTCCCCAGTTGCTGGTGACTAATTACTCCGGACCGTAGTTAGTCGTTATCTCTCAGCCAAGAGTCCACACGAATACAAATAGCCGGCCTCGTCGCCCAAGACTCCCGATTCAGGGAAACTTCGGTCGCCATTTGCTGCTGTCGAGGAAATGATATCGAGTGCCAAGATGGGCGATCATAAAGAAAAGGGTCCACGGTGATAAGATAGAGAGGAGGCCGTCATCATCCACAACTGATTGGTCCTATCGTCCACCCCGGATCGTACATCCTCCTAGGGTTTAGGGCGGCGCAGGAGAATTGAGCTGGTGGTGATAATGTGATGCAGCCCATCACGAGAAAGGTGTGCTGTGATTGGTGAGAGATAACAGCCGGACCAACCTCCTGGTCGATGCGTTCACCTCCCGATGCCGGGGCGAGGAGTAGGCAATCTGATCTCTGATGGCCTGCATCAGCTCGCTGAGCTCACATGGCGTCAGAGTTTCGAGATCTTGGCTGGGAGCTGAAGCTTCGTGTTATACGACCTCGTGGCTGAACGATCAGGTGATGGAAGGGATTGCCAAGCCCCCTGCGTGCTGCTGCATACTGACTGTGCACTATCGCTCGAGTCTGAAGACGCTAGCCACGGCCATTAATAGGGGGCCCCGGTCTAGAAATAGTAACCTAGATGAAGAATTGGGGCCGGATATGAGACAATCCGGTGGTCCCCAATTAGCCCGCAAATCTGGTGATCTAACCTCACGTTTCAGCCTTGGTGATTTCATTCATACACCCACGATTCCCTCCTGTTTTGGCTTGTAGGCAGAACGATTAATGCTGTATGTGGGCTTTAGAGAACGCACAAATGGTGTGCTTATCTGCTCTTATAGCAATCAATAGGGCTGGGTCTAGGTCGGCTTCAAAACCGTCGTGCCCCACCAGCAGATGACGATCGTCACAATTGATTATCACGGAAGACTCGGGGGGCAGAAAATGCGACGAAACGTAGATCTGAAACTTGGATTCGCATAAGATTCCGATGTCCACGCGATGACCGTCGTACCTGAGTGCAGAAGTTGACGCTACGCAGCAAGGGGAGGGAGGCGAAGGATCCCAACACGAGGAGAAGGATTGGCCAAAATCACTAGCTCGAATACGTCAGCAGGAATTAATAACTAGTTAACTATGGAAAGCTTTGTCCTCCGTGCCCGGGAGGAGACCATTCTCTCCGTGCCGGTCGGGATTCCTGGGTAGTGTGCCTCGCGTCGATCAAGAGTTCATCGAATGACGGTGCCACGACCGATGCACATGCCTCGTGGTTCCTAGATCCATGTTTAGTAGACGGTAGTGGAAGGACTAGTGGACGACAACATCCACTCTGAGCTGAGACCATGGCATCTCACCCGGGGACCTCGGAGACTTGCAGGGCCGAGCGCCACTCTTCCCCCCCCCCCCACAGCAGGCGCATGGCAGGGATGAGATGATGGAAGATTGAACGAGGATTCGAAGGAGGACGATTCGTCTTCTGTGGTGGGAGCATCCAATCAGGCGGATTGGCCCCCAACGCCCACGGCTGACTAACGCGAGGAGGAAGCCTTAGTGCCTTGCCCACACAGCCTCATCCTTGTTCCCCCCATTTTCTCCAACGCCCGGCCATGTGTCTCCTGATTCTCGCTGGCTGGACTGCCAGACCACATATATAGGCCGCAAAAGCTTGGCCTTGGTCCAAAATGAAATCCCCAACCATGGGTGTCCAGGGAACAGTGCCGAAGAAGCGAACTCGGGTCAGTCACACCAAGGTGCGTACTGGATGTCGAACATGCAGGTACGAACTCACCTTGACGGCTACTGCGTGGGGGACCTGTTTGTTAACCTGGTCTGTGTAGGATCCGCCATAAGAAGTGTGACGAGACCCGTCCCATCTGTCTCATGTGCAGCAGCACTGGACGCATCTGCGATGGATACCAGCAGACTATTGACAGAAGAACCCGGGCCTCCCGGCTCCGGCTCTTATCCACATCACCGTCATCAGCTAGCGACACATCTTCGACCGTGAGCATGCCGTCACTAGTGTCGGATGTGATCCTGCACACCAATCAGATCGACCTGACCCGGCAGGAACGTTGGTATCTCGACTTCTTCCGTCGCAGCACAGCTTTTCAATGCTCCGGTTACTTCGATGACGATTTCTGGCTGCGCCTGGTCCACCAGGTCACGGAGGCGGAGCCAGCAGTCCGGCATGCTGCCATCGCCCTAAGTGCTCTACACTGCAACTTCGAGCGGAACAGCACCGGACAGGGGACCGTGGACAGCCGCCTCCCTCTCCAGCAATGTGTCAAAGCTATCTCCTCGCTGCGACAGCAGCTAGCAGGGGGCGGACTTCCATCGCGCGCCAACATGGAAATCACTTTAGTGACCTGCGTGCTCTTCGTCTCATTTATGTTTCTGCAGGGGGACACACACTCGGCCTGTTGTCATTTGCGTGGTGGCCTCAAGCTCCTGAAGGAATGGAAAGGCACCGACCTTGCCGGATATTCCACCACTGGTGCGGTACTGATGAAAGTATTTGCTCGTCTGCAGCTACAATGGTCGACCTTCGCGGACGACGTATTTATTGAAGCGGAGAACGACCGCTTCGACGTCCCCTACATGGAGATCAACGACCTTAGCTTGGAGGAGCCCACCGACAACCTAGAAAAGGCAGGTAGTCTGCTCGTCAGTCTAGGCCGGCTCGTTCTAGCCCCTCGTCCTTCCGGTACATCCTCGCCAGGTTACTGCACTGTCCTGGACAGCAAGCGGATGGCCATCCTCAACAAACTCCAACATTGGACCGCCGAGTTCGACACCTCAATCACGTCTAGCGGAAACACCCTACTGCTACGAGACAACACCGTCCTGACAGTATTGAAGCTATGGAGTGAAATCATCTACATCATGGCCGCAACTGAGAACCGGCTCGGAGGCAGCGAGACGCGATTTGACGCCTTTCACAGCAACTTCGGACGGGCCGTCGCACTGGCGAAAATCCTCTTATTAGCCACGCCCGCCCAATCCGTCATGCCGAGTTTCTCCATCGGCATGGGCATCATTCCTCCCCTTTTCTTCTGCGCCTTCAAGTGCCGGGACTGGTACATCCGCCGGGAAGCCCTGCAGTTGCTACGCAGCTGTCAAAGACAAGAAGGTCTCTGGACGACACCGGGAGCGGTGCTCGTCCTAGAAAGGATCATCGACATTGAATCGAAGGAGCTCATGCCGGGAGACCTTGTGCCCGAATCCCGGCGCATCGACTCTATCCACGTGAACATCCTGCCGGATGACAACAAGATCGGGTTGTGGTACCGCCGACCGGGCATGAGGCTGCACAACGGACGCGTGGATGCCACTCAAGGGGTCTGGGAGAAGGCCTTGCTGGACTACCAAGTTGTGTGAATGGCTGCATTGGAGGATACAGGTTCAATATTATAATAGACACATTGTACTAGATACCAATTTGATTTTTGCGTTCATTTTATTTCTATTCAAGCTAGCGGCTTGCTACCAGCTATTGACAAGCATCTCTCTTATTGTTGACCTCTCACCAACCTTCACTGCTACTCCCACCTATCCTTATACACATCCACAACACTGATATCCACTACATCCCAGCCTCACCCTCACCCCACGCAGATGAACACTAAGAATCCCGAACAATAGCAAGACGGACAATCCATAATCCTCAAGAATCAAAATCTCTAAAATTAAATATACATATCCAATACAAATCCCCCCTCCCCTCCCCTTCCCCCCTCCACCCCCCCAAAAAAGACCAACCCCATCACCACCGACACCAAACCTTCGGATAATACATCGCGACCGTCAACGCCCCATAACAATCCGCCACCTTCCCATCCGGATACTCCTCACACTGCACCGTCTCACTCAAATCCGGACAACTTAACGTCCCCGGCTCCTTCGACGTCCCCGTATACTCACAATCCTCCATCCCATGGACCTTGAAATCCAACTTCTTCGTACCATCGGGATACGGCGGATCCTCGACCTTGATGGATCCGCTGGCTTCGATTTCGCCGATGGAACCGTCGCATACGTTGAGGTCGGATCCGATGTCGGGCGTGAAGAATGCCCAGTAGCTGTAGAAGTCGGAGAGGTAGGAGATGACGAGTTGGGCAGTTGGGGTGGCGGTCGCGGAGGTGGTGGTGGTATGGGTGCCGGTTTTGATGGTTGTGCTGGAGCCGGCGCATTTGGTGTAGGTGAATGTGTAGGTTGAGTATTGGAAGTAGCTGAGGGTGGCGCTGGCGCAGACGATGACGTCGCCGTCGACGTAGGAGGTTGTGAAGGGGCCGTGGGTGGTGGTTTTCGTGGTGGTGGACTTTTTGCTGCTGGTGGAGGTGGTGGTGGGGGTGGGGAGTGTGGTGTAGCCGCAGACGCTGTCGCCGGTGGTGAGTACGGGCATGGTTGTGTGGTGTCCGTTTTGCGAGCACATGCAGTAGTCGGCGTTGCCGTTGTCGGGGTCTGCGCTGGAGGGGGGTTAGTGGCGGGGTTAGATGAGGCGAAGGGGGAGGCACGTACTAGTTGTAGCATAGGGGCTCGGAGGCACTAGTGGTGGTGTAGGAGGTGATTAGGGTGGTGGCTGTCTGGTTGCGTGAAGGGGAGGCGGTGATTGTGGATGAATGTGTCGTGCTGAATGTTCCGCTGAGAGTGTGCACGATGATGGTCGATCTTGTCTCGGTTGCCGCGGAAGAACTGCTGTCTGTCCTGGTGGATGTTGTGTTTGTTGTGGACGTGCTGATTTTGCTGGACGAGTGGACAGGAGAAGCGGACAGGGACCCGAAAGTCGAGGTGGAAGTAGACTCTGCAGAAGAAGACGATGTTTCGGATTTCACTGCTGCAGAGGATGATACTGCCTTTGAAGACTTTAGTGTGGTCGCGGTTCTTGAGACGGATGAAGACTCGGACGTGCTTGTCGAAGATGGACTCGTTGTGGACGAGGCAGACGTGCTGGATGTGTGACTTTTACTAGAAGAAATAGATGCAGCAGAGCTAAACTGAGAGGTTGAAGTGGACTTCGCAGAGGAGTCAGACTTGGATGACGTCGAAGACGTGTCGGAGGTGGTGGTTGTGGTCGATCCGGTACTAGTCGCAGCAGAGCCAGTCGCCGTGATTCCCACTGCACTCAAGGAACTTCCTTCGGTCTGGAAAACCTCAAAGTAAGATGATACACTGGAAACGTATGAGGAATCGTCGCCCGACGAGGGAACAAGATCAAGGACGGAGACCATGTCATCTGCAGTGCGGGCGATGCAGCTCACAATCCCAGCAATATCTCCCAGAAGTCCTCCACTGCTGCAGCCATCTGACCCCCCACCCGAGCTCGACTCCAGGGAGCCTGGAACGTTGAGCGAGTCAAGTATGTCATCAGCTACAGGAATCGCACGCTTCACGATTTTGGCCACGTCGGATGCCTTGACTGAGTCTTTGTCTTTCATCCATTTCTTGACCACCGGATATGATTCCTTTACGAGCTTGTAAAGATGCTTTATTAGAGAATAGACATCAATGGAAGAAGAAGAAGTGGTACTGCTGCTTGTGGTTGTCGGGGTCCCTGTCGTGCTGGGGGCGGGCGTGATGGTACCGGTGTGGCTGGATTGAGTCGTTGTAGTGGTGTCTGACTTGGAGCTCGACTCAGATGTAGAAGAGGAAGACGTAGTGCTTGATGACACACTTTCAGAAGAAGTATGAGATGTGTATGTCGGGATTGAGGAGCTGGTGGCTGATTTAAACACCAGTGGTGTTGATGTCGTAGAAGTCTGAGGCTGGACGTGAGTGGACGTGCTCGTGAGAGACTGGATATGAGTCGACGTGCTCGTGGAAGACCCAGGATGGGTTGAGATTGACGAGCTCGCTGGAGTCCATGATGAAGGCAGAGAAGAGGCTGATGTAGAAATGTGGGTATGCTTTGACGTAGTCACTGAGCCGATTGGCGTAGAAGACTCAGACAGAGCATGGCTCGAGGAGCTCCGCAAATGACTAGAAGTAGGGCTAGTTGAGCTCTGAAATGAGCTTGTTAGGGCTTCGGTAGAAGAGCCATGGTGAGAAAGAGTGAACAAGCTGGTTGAAGAGCTAGTAGGAGTCTGTGTAGAAATATGAGATTGCGATGGGTTGGGTGAGGTAGTAGAATCTTGGACGACAAGTTCGGCAGAAGAACTTGGCAACGTTGTGTGGGCAATGGAAGGAGTGAATATACTGGCAGACGATTCAGACACACTATTACTGTTAGACATATCCTGCCTTAACATGTCCGGGATCACATTGCGAAGTGTAAGGTTTGGACCATGTGGTTATCTATAATGACTGACCTATGAGGCGAGTTCACGGGTGCACTTGAATATCTAATCGTGGTGGTTCCGGGGACATGGATCAATGAATGTGATGATGCCCCATCATGACCTTCGGTCAGGGTATCTTGGGGAGCGCTAGAGGAGTGCGTTGTCCACGAAGGAAAATACGAGGGAGTACTTGAGGTTGGAGTCGTGGTAGATGTCGGGTCTGGCTCGGAAAACGAGCGATAGCTCTCGGAAGCGGTTCGATCTGGGGAGCCCGCAATGTCTGATGAACTTGGATAGGAAGACTGAGGAAACCCTAAAGATGGTGTAATGATGCTGATAGCCCAGAGCCCTGCCAGCAGGGTTTTCGCAGTAACGAATGACATTGTCCGAGGACAATAGAGAAAGAGTGACTAGAACAATAACACAAGGGAGTGACAGTTGGCTTATGCTTGGCGCATACAAGATCGCTGGAGGAAAGCTTTTTCTTTAATATTTCCTACATTTGCAAAGCATTGGGGGGCGTGCTTACTTTTGGCCCTCTGGGGCCAAAAGGCAGCGGCACCGACAAGCCTCATGTGCCGTGCCCACTTCCCAAGGACTAACGTGTGTAGCCAATGGGGCTCGAGGAAGAGCCAATATTCCAGATGTGTGGTACCGTAGTGCGTTCACCTACTGCAGGTACAGATTTGGCAGTCGCATGCAGGTGTACTCCGTAAAACCATTGCGGTTAGTGAATGAAACGGAATACTTCCATAGGCTGCACGATCTAGATCCTCCGGCCCCCAATCACGGACAGAATGGGGCGAGAGCTCCGCCATTATCTGCACGGTTTCCTGTCTGTGGGTTTCCTGTATGTGCGCAATCGCTGCACTGCCTGCTGCTTAGTGCTTACTATTTCCTTGCTCGAGGCGAGCTTCTGGAACTTGCGACTCATACCAGCTGAATATTCAAGTATTTTGTCAGCTAACCCAGACGCTAATTGGAAGCGCAATGATATTCAGATTAGGATCAGCGTCCTGCTAAAGACCTGGGTAGTCTGCGCGAATCAGTTGAGTAGAGATACTTGGACCCGATCTGAGCACTGAGTGTCACCAGAACTTAACCAGAATGGGTTGCTTATCCTCTTTCACAAGGAATCCCACAGGTACCACTCGACTCTTTAAGCCAGCTTTCGGGCAGAAAATATTATGATAATGTGATAGTTGCGTGCAGACATATCATTAAGATGATGATAGGCCCCTACATCCAGGTGTAACGCGTTAGCTTCATGTACGAGAACCAAGTTGAAGCTGCCGAGATGTGTATACAGATGTGTGAAGAGCAATGGGAATGATGGCTTCACCTACCAACAACTGATACTCGGCCTGTGGTCAGACGTCACTTGCTAGGAAGGTATCTGTTCGAATCACTTACATCTCTTGTGCATAGGTCACCGGTGGTTCTCACCATCCTGCATGAGTGAGGTCCACCTTGGCAGATATAACGATGAAGCCAATGCAGAGCTAAGGTAGCGTGGCTGAGGAAGATCTCTACTGGGAGCCGAGGCGGGGAGGGAGGGCGGTTCTCGCCAAAAAAAAAAAAGCTGTTGTCCTGTTTGCTTACCCCCTGACGATCAGATCCAAGGATGCTCCGTATGAAAACCAACCGTCCTCATGGTACCATAACCTTCGTGCTAATTCCCCACATCCTGACAAGTATTACGAATCGACATGACTGCTCGACCAACAAAAGCAAAACCATGAAAACACATTGCGTTTAAGCAAAAACAGCCAGTCCTAAGTTTTAGCCCCTCCATCCCCGCTCGTCATTGTGCCAATCACACATGATTGGCCGCCTACACCTGCTCCGCCCCATGTGGGATGTTGGGCACATTATTACCATACGACTGAGAGTTACTGGGAGTGTGCTTTCTCCTGCCGGCCGTCGGTGATTGTGCCCGATCTACAGTGGTGGCATCGGAATTATATGACGGACGATGTGTCGAGTCGTTCCACGACCCCGGTCCCATCTTTGCTTCCCATTCGTTGAAGTCCTGGCCTGGGTTGACGGTGGTGTACTGGAACATCTTGAGGAATGAGAAGAAGCCACATGCCAAGAGGCTTCCAAGCAGTGGTCCAACCCAGTAAATCCAATGGTACCCCGGGAAACTGCGGTTGATCACGTCGGGGCCCAGGGATCGGGCCGGGTTGAGTGAGCCACCGGTATAGTAATCGCCTGTAATGGAGGCAGACCGATTAACTTGATCCCAAAGCAAGATCCAGATCGCAACAACTTACCGACCATCTCCGTCACGAAGAATACCAAGCCGATTCCTACTGGAGCCAGGAAAGTCGATTTGTGCTTCACAACGGCTAGCATGATGATGATGAACACCAGCTGAGCTGTCAGGAAGACCTCGATGAATAAGCCTTGGGAGATTGATGCACCACCACCCAAGCGAGTGCCAACATTCAAGTCCCCTGGGAACAAAGCACTGACGACACCAGCGGATGCAATTCCTCCTACGAGCTGGGCTGCGAAGACCAACGCCCCGCGGATAGGGGATAGCCCTCCGATCAGACATAGAGCCAATGTTACCTAGGCCAGTCAGTCGTACTCGCGGGTTGGAATGACACGACATACCGAAGGGTTGAACAATCCTCCAGTCACCCTATAGAATGCCCACACGTTGACCATCAATGAGAACCCGAAGCACAATGCCGAGTATAGCAAGTTTTGCGTGTTCGGAGGAGCCCCGTCCACTGGTTTCGGGGTATTCGACACTTGGGTCCCGGCGAAGGAGAAGAAGAGGAACAAAAAGGTACCAACGAACTCCCCAATGACAGCAATGAAATTGTTCCGGACTGTGTCTGGAAGATGTAGCATTGGAAGCTGGCTAGGCGTGGAACTGTACATGGGAGCCGTCTGGCCGTCGGCACTGCGCTTGCGGAACCATTGCTGCGGCTTCATACTGGGATACTTTGTTAGAAAAACAGGATATTGCAGAGGAGAATTGGCTGCGATAGAGAAAGTGTCTAGCAAGATTTCAGCTGAGCGTCTGGCTGCTTTTATGCTCAGAGGCACAGCAGCTCCGGCGAATTCAAAGCAAACAACGTCATGACCACCTCTGCAGGCAGGAGGCTCGACAGAGTTGTCACAGCTCCGATGAGAACCCACCACTTGGGGATGGAATGCCCGGAATTGGGAACAGCAAACACGGAGGATGAGCTAGACGACTTTCCCGTGACCATGGTTACTCTGGAGTCTGGACGGTAGGGCACCCCGAAGTTCTGGACCTTGTCGAGTGGCGTCGATCGAACCAGACGAACGCAGCCGTTCTTATACCCCAGTATAACGAGACCGTATAAGGGTTTTTCAACGAAGTCCCCTCCGGATCTGGCATAGGACTTCTCACTCGAATCGCTTCGATTATAAAAGGCGGAAATAGGTTACATTGCTGTTAGTAGAATCCTCCTTGAGAACAAGTGAAGAAGTTTGGAGAATTCTTGCACATGCTGCATCTCACATAATCGGACCAGGCTTCGCATGATATAGACTGTGATACAGTCAGCACTGCAGCGCTTGTCAAACGCCCTCCAACGTGCAGATGTAGCGAGGACATGGCGAGGCCGCGAGGATATCTAGAGCAAACACGTCTCGGTCGCCCGTGTCTTGGCGTGTGTAACACTGACGCCTGAGGCCAAACTAAACGGCGTACTCGGAGAAACCTTGATCCGGGTCAGGCACGTGCCGTGACAGCGAGGGGCGCCCCACCAGCAGAGGACCCCCTCCCTCCGGTCGTACATCCCCTATCCCTCCTATCCCTCGCCTTTTTCTGTGTTCCAGGCAGCACCAGCACCAGCACCAAGTATCCGTGTCGTGCAATCCGTGACTAACAGCAGAGCGATGACTGGCCGAGCTGGAACGATGCCCCTCGAGGCGTTCGTGGCTTCCTTGGATCACCCCACGGCCGAGACTCGGCCCTCTCGGTCTCCTAAAAGTTCCGGTCGGGCACCGGGATTTGGTGGGCTGATCAGAGGCCTCAATTAATAATTCTCGCGAGTCATTTGCGTAGCTCGCTCATCATCCCATACCTAGGCTAACGGCTATAGACAGTCCTAGAGCCGGACGGGAGACTGTCTTGACATCAGAGGACAATGGTGATTGACATGCAGCTGTCAATAAGGAGACAGCAATGACAGGTGCATGAACCAATCGTGGGAGGCTCGATTGTCTTCGGCACTCCCAATTGCCCCCCTCCAATCATGGATCGACGGCCTTAGCATCAAATGGAACCTGATTTGACCTCAAGTCTGGTGCTTCCCCAGTTTCTCCGCGGAGATGCTGAGTGGATCACGTCCTGACGGTTTGGCCATTCTAATTTCTAGTAGACAAGAAAAAAAAGTGGGAGCAAGAAAAAACTTCACCCGCCACGGCATGCCGTCCACCCGACCCAACGAGGGGACCTAAAACCACTCACTCACCGGAATATAAATATCAGGAGGACTGACTCGAGCAGAACGTTTTTATATTATCCCTCACAACATCAAGATCATCTTATCGCTCATTCTTAAGCATTCTGCATTCGCTGAGCCGCATAGATTTGCCACCCTTTTTCTAATTTGCAATTACACATACACACATCATGGGTCTCACCCCGGAGCAAACTGATATCATCAAGGCCACCGTGCCTGTCATCAAAGAGCATGGCAATGCCGTCACATCAATCTTCTACAAGAACATGCTGGCCGCACACCCCGAGCTGAACGCCATCTTCAATTCCTCCAACCAGACCAATGGCCACCAACCTCGTGCCCTTGCTGGCGCCGTTTTCGCGTACGCCGCCAACATTGACAACCTTGGCGCCCTCGGTCCCGCCGTCGAGCTCATCTGCAACAAGCACGCCTCCCTCTGCATCCAGCCCGAGCACTACAACATTGTGGGCAAATTCCTGCTCGAAGCCATGGGCGAAGTCCTCGGTGACGCCTTCACTCCCGCCATCAAGGACGCTTGGGCCGCCGCTTACTTCCAGCTCGCCGATATCATGATTGGCCGTGAAGCCGCCCTGTACAAGGAAAGCGAGGGGTGGACTGAGTTCCGTGAATTCCGCATCGCCAAGAAGGTCCCCGAGTCCTCCGAGATCACCTCCTTCTACCTGGAGCCCGTCGACGGAAAGCCTCTCCCCGCCTTCCGTCCCGGACAGTACATCTCCGTGCAGCTCTTCGTTCCCCAGCTCAACCACCCCCAGGCCAGACAATACTCTCTCAGCGACAAGCCCCGCCCTGAGTACTACCGTATCTCGGTGAAGAAGGAGGCTGGTCTCAGTGCCACCGAACCCGGCGCCGAGGCTCACCCTGGTCTTGTGTCGAACATCCTGCACGACCTCCAGAAGGAGGGCGACATCATCAAGGTGTCCCACCCTTACGGCGACTTTTTCCTCTCGGATGCGGAGAAGCAGAGCTCCAGCCCCATCGTTCTCTTGGCAGCAGGTGTGGGTCTGACCCCGCTCACCTCCATCCTGAACACCGTTCTGGAGACCGAGGCCGTGACCCAGCGCAAGATCTCTTTCGTGCACGGTGCACGCACCTCGGGCGCGCGCGCCTTCAAGCCTCAGATCCGGGAGTTGGTCGCCAAGGTGCCCAACCTGCAGGCCTTCTTCTTCACCAGCCACCCCGATGCCGAGGACAAGCAGGGCGAGGACTACGACTTTGCCGGTCGTCTGGACCTGAGCAAGCTGGACGCCAAGACCGCGCTATACCTGGACGACGCGACGACGCAGTACTACGTGTGCGGTCCCGAGTCGTTCATGGTGGACGTGAGGACCAAGTTGGCCGCCGAGGGTGTGGCCGCCGACCGCATCAAGATGGAGCTGTTTGGCACTGGTGGTATTCCCGCTTAATTTCATCATAGACATATATCTGCTATTGATACAGATAGACCAGATTTGCATTACGGGTTACGACATTGTTGATTGGCCTTGTTCATTTATACATAGGTTATTGTTTTGTTTATATACTTTACTGCTTGTTTATATATATAATACCCACCTCCACTCAATACATTTCTGCTTACTCCATTCACTTCCTTTCTCATCCCTTGAAAAATAAATAAATAAACAAACACAGACACAATATTCTCCACAATGCAATCAATGCATGGATTAATCCTCATTCCCCGAAAATTAGGTATCTCACTAAAATAAAATAAACACAATGAAACTATGCACAACAAATCACCCTCGTCGTAAATATCCACACGAATCAAAATCACTCCTCCCCATCATCATCCCCATCCCCATCCTCAAGCGCCACCCCCCTCAACCTCTCAAAATCCGGCGTCCCGAGCCCCGTAACCGGATCCCACCCAACCGTGGCATTCCAACTCGCCCACGGCACCACGGGACTCCCATTCGGCGTGCCCCCAAACCGATTCCGCCCATCACAACCCAAACTCCCACCCAGGACAATATCATTCAACGCGTCTTTCCCCACACCATACAGGAACGGATTCAGGAATCCCAAAACAGGCTTTCCGGCTCGTAATCTCGCATCATTCAACAACCCCACGATCCCACTAAAGGTCGGCGCAGAGCACGACGTCCCATCGAACTGGCCCAACACGCCCTTATCGTAGACGGCGTAGTTAGCGCCCTGGGCAGCGACATCGGGAAAGGCGCGGCCCGAGGCGTTAAAGTAGGGGGCGAATTTGGATCCGATGGAGGTGAGGTAGGCTTGGACGGCGGTGTCTTGGTAGGATGGACGGGGCCAGTAGTCGGAGAATCCGCCGGAGGAGAAGTAGATGGCTTGTTCGGGGGTGGTCTTGGTGGTTGCGCCGACGGAGGTCACCCAGGGACAGGAGGCTGGGAATTGAGGGGGGAAGTGTGTGCGGTTGGTTCCGTCGTTGGTCATGCAGGCGGCGCCGACGCCGGAGTCGCCTGAGGAGACGAGCACGGAGACGCCGCGGCTGCCGAGTTGGGCGTACAGGTTGCAGACGGTGCGGGCGTAGGGTTCGGGGATGGTCTGGGGGGTGTTAGTGGGGATGTATTGGGGAAGGGGGGAGGGGAAGGGGAAGGGGGTACCTGTTCGTCTTCGCCGTAGGAGGTGGAAATGACTTGTGGGAGTTGGTCGTTCTCGAGCTTGAGTATGTTTTGGAGGAATTCTAGGTATGGCTCGTTGCTGTTGTCGTTGGGATCGGGGGAGCTCTGGTCCGGGACGAGGGGGCCTCGACCGCCGGTGCTGTACTCGGTGATCGGGAGCGGAGCGCTCATCCCCAGGATGTATTGGAGGTCCAGGTTGGCTTCGCCGCTGTCGCTGGTAGAGGATTGATCGTTGAGGCCATCGTTGAATTGGACGACCGTGAAGTTCTGACCGATGGCGTTGGGGGCGAGGCTTTTCTCGAATAGAATGAGATCGTCGTACCGGGCGTATTCCTCAAGGAAGCTGCTGAAGGAGACCTTGCTGCCGGAATTGGCGTCCGCCTCGTAGTCGCCAACGTTGTACAGCTGCTTCAGACACTGCGGCGTGATGATCGAGTCACAGTGCGAGGTGTTCTGGGCACGCGTGGCGCTGGTGAGGAAGATCTCGTCGTATTGCTTCGGCTTGCTGCGCATGGTGGCCCGGTTGGGCTGCAACTGGCCGAAACGCGTGGTTGGCTGGACCATGTGGATGTGAGAGACCAGGGCGTCGGGGATGGAGTACTGGAGGGTGCGTAGGCGACGGACGTGTCCGGCGTCGCTGATGTACCACTGGAAGTCGGCGTCCAGCAGGGCATTGGCCTGGTCGACCGTGGTGTGGAACTTGATCCAATCGGCGTCCACCTGGATGTTGTCGATACCGGAGGATTCGAGCCATTCGCGGACGGAGTCAACCGCGGTGTCACTGGGGAGCAGCATGCGTTTCATCTCGTCGTGGGTGCGGAAGTGTTTTCCGTAGTCAACATGTCCGGGCGTGGACATGTCCATCACGGCTTGTTCGAACCCGGCGACATCGTGCTGCTGGAGGGCGATTTGCAGGCGAATGGGCTCGGTGCCCTCGGGGGAATTGGCGTATCTCCAGCCTGCAGTATCCATGGCGTTAGTGTAACCTCACGGTACATTTTATGAGCGTGACTTACCATTGGGGACGGCGGACAGCTTCTCGAATACTTCCGCGACGGCCGAGGAAGGGAGAAGCGACAGGACGGCGAGGGATACGGCTGCTCCCTGGTGGAGAAGGGACGACAACATGGTGAAAGGGTGCCGAAGGGACGAAGACAGAACAGACAAAGGGACGGAGAGGAGGACGGGCAAGCAGAGCTATTTATTGTTTATTATGGTGGAACACGACGGGCAGCCAGCAGCATTGCACAGGAGCGGCAGCCCACTATTACTCCTTCGGCAGCCAGCGATAAGACTGGGATGTGCATGCCGTTACCCCATTCGGGGGGTTGGGAGGGGTGCTGATTGAGTCCGCTGGGGATAGCCGAGGAGGAGGGTGACACTAGCGCGGCCCTCCGACCGGCTGATCGACAGGGATGGCCCAGCATTCCGCCATCTCTGCAAGTTGCAGTAAATCTCAAGAGTGAGACGAAATTGTTTGTTTGGCTGTGTGTCATCCCCGCCAAGGCTGGGCCAGGGCCGGAGACCCGCTCATTGGCTGGGCGGGAGGTCGGGCCTCCTCCCTCGGAGTAACCTCAGGAACTGCCCAGCCCGACCGGCTCCACCCGCAATCCTCCTTCGGGACATTTCTGGCTTTCTCCAGACCTTGGCACGGCTAGCAGGCCATACTATTAGTCGCCCCCGCCCGTTGATAACCGACCTGCTATCTACCTGAAGAGGAAGGTCACAAGCTGTACTATATATAGTTGTTCTGAATTGAACCAAGTGGAACTTCACCCTCTCAAGAGCCCAGCCCGGCACTGTAAAGTCACCCTCAGCTACAGGCACCAAGGGACACCATAGGCATGGTCTTTAGTATTATTGTAGCTACAGACGTTATGAAACAGAAGAGATCACCCGCAACAAACAGTGTTTATGATATCCTACTCCACGTGCATTCTACCAGCAAGGAGCGGCGTCAGCTCCTCTCTCTGCTTTTCGCTTAGCATCGGATTCCTTCCTAGGGCCTGAATATGCGTCTCTGTGACCGATATTTCCGATGCTTTTTCCAAAAATTCATTTACAACTTCCTTGGACGCTCGTTCCAAGACCATCTCCATCAATCTTTCGGACGCGAGATTAACGAATCCGCATGTCAGTAAAATACGGACTAGACCGTCGAAAGCACAGGTCCCGTCCTTGTCACGTACTATTGAGGCCCCCTCAAACATATTCTCCGACATATCAACAGCCAACGTATAGGACAGGATGTTCTCCGCAGCATCCTTCCTTAACTCGCCAAGACGGAAACCATAGTCATGGTCAAAGCGCCAGATTGCTTTCCAGGTCTGTTGCAGGTTGATGAGTTGTTCCCGGATGAGCCATTGGAGCTCGTTGTATCCGTTTCCTGCGGCAGCGACCAGCACTTCATCTGTCAACTGCTCCGCGCATCCCCTCTCCAGAAGCAACCACTGGAAGGCCGGGAAGCTCCAAAAAGCGGCAATGGTTAATACCTTCTCCGAAATTGAGATCGCTGGGTTCCATTCTGGCAGAAGCAATTGAAAGATCGAGAGGCCATAATAGTGACCAGCCCTGGCCGCAGCGGCCAACACGTTCTCTGTAATTGGTACCTTGGGGCCAAAATGGGCCAGGATTCTTTGCACATCGGGCAGCGGGTCATCTCCTGTAAGAAGAGGGATCATCAATTCTTCGGAGATTCGAACATCGTCGATGCGGGTATCAAGTAAAAACCGCCGAGCGGCGGGGTCTTCTGCTGCCCGAACCATGGCTTGCTGCGTTATGGGGAAATTCGGATTCCTGGAGTAAAGAATCTTTAACGCGAATGAGTTCCGGGCTACCGTTTCCACCAGTTGCTCATCCACCTCGACTAGCTGCCGATCCAGGAGAAGCGTGAGTGGCTCGCCATCTATGTCTTGATTCGAAGCTATTGCTTCCAGCATATCCTTGATGGGTAAGATATCGTAGGGTTGTTCCAGGAGCAGGGACAGTTTCTTTTGACTGTGACAGGCGGAAACGAATGCCTCCTCCGGCACCCGAATTTCCGGGCGTCTGCGCAGGACAGTCTCCAGGCATTCGGCATCGTGCCGTCGAACCACATTGCTGAACACCTCTTCAGTGATCGGAAGCAGCCGTTCCTTGGTCTGGCCCTCAAGCTCCAATAGATATGCCATCGCCGGCGAGTTCCCATTTGCTGCTGCTTCCAACAATACGTCCTCCGTAATTGTAATGCCCGAGCCTCCATTATTTATAAGGAGCTCCAGCATCTGCCGACCAATTGTAGGCACAGTGTTTCCCGCCGCCCGTGCTAACACCGCCTCGGAGATCACGAATCCAGCCTGCTGTCGGCGCAAGAATAGCTTGACTATATCTAAGCCATATCCCCAAGTGGTGGATACCGCTTCTTGCATGATATTCTCGCCCACGGGAAAGTCCGGCCCACATGCGTCGAGCAGGGCTTCCATGACTTCTAGTCCCGCATGGAGATTCTTCAGTGCCGTATCGAGCATCTGCTCAGTGATGGCGAAGCCAGGCGGTCGCTTAGCGAGCAGAGCGCGCAAGGCACCTGCGCCATACCAATTTGAGGCGGCAGCTACTACGAGATCCTCGGTAATTCGTATATCTTCTGCATGGGCCTCCATGACGAGCTCCATCGATTTCTGGCTCCCTTTTGCTGCAAGCCCTTCCATGGAAACTTCATCAACAAGAAAATCGGCAGCCCGCTCCCTGACAAAGAGCTCAAGGACTTCGACGCGTGCGTGCAACGGATGCGTCAGAGCGTCAACAATCTCCGAGGTAACCCTCACATCTGCGTTGCGCTTGTTAAACAGCAATGCTAGCATATCCCTTCCGGCATGCCAATTCTTGATCACACAGACTACAATGTCATCCGTGATGGGAACACTGACCCTTCTTTCTTTCTCAAATCGGCCCAGGAAAATTGTCATCAGCTCCAAACCCGAAGCCTGATTTTCTGCTGCAGCCATAACCATTCGCTCGTCAATTATATTGTCTTGCTCCGCAGATTCATCAAACATGGCCTTCGCATCCAGAAGTCTATCCATGACTCGCTCTAGACTCCCGACGCCTGAACCTTCATGCTTAACTACCCCCAATATTCGCTCGGCCATGTTGGCAGTGACTGAGACGTTTTGTAATAGGCAGTCCAAGATATCTAACTGGGCTTCCTCGGCAGCTACCAAGAATGGGTAAGTGAAGTAATAAGACCGCGCAATCTTCTCCAGAGGATCCGCGCCCTGGGCAAGCAATGCCTCGACCGCATGTTGAAATCCGAACTTGGAAGCTGCACCGATGGGCGGAAGACTTTCATCATCATCGAGCCCCAAGAGGCATTGCCAGTTGTGATAGACCGTAGAATGGCAGAAGAGTTGATCAATCTTTCCCTTCAGGCCGGTGTATTCGTGAGCCATAGACGTTAGCTCTTGGACGTGCTCTGGCCAAGACTCGGCGGCATAGGCTAGAAGTGGCTGTTCAACGGCTGTAGCTCCAGTCACTCGTTCCGTTTGGTCCAGAAGTCTAGAAAGGGTTTGCTCGGCTATGAGTAGATGGCCGGCGGATGGAGAGAACTGGCACCAATGCTTTGCACATGCGGTACCTTGAGGGACAAGGAATTCCTTTACCGAGAAATGAGCCAGCCGGATATATTCCTCAACGCCGTCTGATTCACCTGAACTGTCTGGCTTGCCGACTGTGACGAAAGAAGTTGTGCAGATGTCGACGACACGATCAGGGGCTAGAAGCCCCACCGCTGAGGCGGCTTCCCTCATGGTGAGCGGTCTAACAGAGAAGCTGAGCCAGATGAGAATGGAGCGGGCTATGTCTTGATCCTTGGGCTTTATCCTGTCAAGCACGTCACGGTACGTGCTTTCCAGTGTCGGCGGTATGGTCTTTAGGGTTTCCTCAATCTGGGCGTGTGTATTACAGTCTTCCAAACGTTTCAGCTGCAGATCTGCCCATCGGAAGCGTCTAAGCAGCAATCGGAGGTCAGTAACTTATCTCTGTGGCAGGAACTAGGCGTACCGTTCGGAGATCTGCAGCAACTCATGGATAATCATTGTAGTGATCTTTTCCCCGAAGCCTGCTAGATTTCCATTTCTTACTCTGAGTCGGACAAATCTTTCAACGTCGGGTTCGAGCTTTTTCTCTAAATCCAATGCCATGTGTCCATCCAGCCGCGTTCTGATATCCGCTTCAGGACGACCAGTTGCAAGGATATGAACATTGGTATGCTGCTCCAGAAGATGGATGAGAAGTGATAACAAAGAGCTCCTTTCGCTGTGATCGGGTGACTCTGGACATTCATCCATCGCATCCAAAATTATGAACGCTTCACCGTCGAGACCAGCCAGGACCTTGTGGAGAATCTCTAGAAGATCTTGCAAGTTAGGCTGGCTTCCCTTCCTGCTATGGGTCTTCCATGCCTTCCTTATGACCTCGGGAAGTGGAATTGGACATAGTTGTCGGATAGCTGACCTGACCATATGCTCCACCTTGTGTGTTTCAAAGTTGTCGAATTTAAAATACCAGTAAGCATATCGCTTGGCCTGATCATCCCAGCAAATCCGAGCAATATCCTCGATGATAGTTGAGCTAGGGGACATTAGCGTGACTTCATCTCATGGACTTCTGTGCTTACCAAAGAACCGTCTTGCCGCAACCAGCTTTTTGACGAGTCAATGCGTTGATGCTAAGAGTAAGTGCTCTGGAATAAACTGACCGACGCCATGAAGCCAAAGCATCTTCCCGGACGAATTCTTCCAACGATGGTAGATTTCTGATTCAATAAACCAGTCTCCCGTTTTGGACGTTCGGCATTTCTGTGCACTGTTGTGAATGTCGGAATATGATACTGCAGATAACCAATCGAGAATTCGTTCCTCCTCGGCGTCTGCTTCAGTCAGCAAGTCCCACAATAAACTCCCTGGAGAATCCTACCAAATATCATCGCTTGACTCTTCCGCGATTCCTCTGTCACGTTATCGATCGCGATGAGAATAGACCTAGCCTGCGCCTCCTTGTCTGCTATCATGAGTAAGGTGGCAAGCGGGAGAATTATAAGACTCACGCGAGTGATCAGTGAGGTCAGCCCATCGCACAACTTCTGCGCACCAAGATTCCACAGATTCTTTGAGCTGCTGCAGTGGCTGCTCTGTAAGGGATATCAACGCGTTTCCTATCCGCGCTGATAGATTTATGAGCCACGCGTCATGCCCATGGGTTAGGCGCATACCTGCAGTGCTTTCGTGGTACCTTTTCTTTACCTCCGCTGAATATTCCAGGATTGCCGTGTAAGCACCTACCAAGGCGTCTTCCAACCCTTTGAAGTCCTTGATCCCCTGGTATCTGTACTCAGTGTCCATAATAGAAAAGTACGCAAGCTTGCCCGCAAGATACTCTGAAGCTTGAAAAATGGCATCTCGGCGTTCAATATCGTTGTTAATCATCTAGTATATTCGCCAGTCAGTCGCATTCAGTGGTCACATCATGAGGAGTCCCTTGAGGTAGGTACCGTCAAGCCCAGTGAGACCACCGTCCAGGCACTCGATGCTGCAAGTTGTGGTCAGTATCGATCAAGACCGACGACTGCAAGCAGCCTACCATGGCCACTTGGGTCAAAGGCAACCACCGCCTTTACAGCATCCTGGGCTCGCAAAGCCCAGGTAAGCATGTTTCCAGCAATCTCACGGACCTTCATCTGCCCTCCGTCTCGTTTTCTGATCGCGAGTTCCTTATTCTTGTATTCGGTATACTTCTCCTTGGTCTCCTTGATTACCTGGTCGATCGCGTCTGTAGTGGATAACGGATCGCCCGTTGATAGCCAGCGTCTGCTTTCCGGATCTAGCTTATTGAAGGCTTCCTTCCAGAGGTCCTTTAACTTTGTGTCGCTGGAGGTTGAAGGGGACAACTTCGTCGTGCTGTTTGTCTTGACACCAAGCTCAACCTCATTGCGGCCGGGCGAGTGAACGTGATGGATTTGAGCATGGTGAGCCTCGTCCTCATCTTTTTCCTTCTCAATGGAGGTTAGAGGGGATAAGCCTGCTGTGCTGCTTTTCTCAGCCTCAGGTTGAACCTCATCGCGGCTGGCTGTGAGAACGGAATGGATGTGCGCATGGCGAACATCATCGACACTGTTGGCTCGGGCACAGCAGAGAGTTGCACATAATTTGCGTAGCATGCTGGGACCAAGTTTAGAACCGCAACATGGTCAAAGGTAGATAGGGATGGGTGTTGGATTCTCTAATGGCCGCCCTCCCTCCCTCCCCTCGGCTCAGCCCCGGTAGGCGCCCAACTCATCCTGCATGAGACTAAGGGTAATCGACCGTTCTCATTGGACCCCTCCCAGGTGCCAGTCGCCGTCGTGATTGGCGACCTCAGCTTGACGCGGTAGGATCGGCTGGGAGGGGAACTTGCTTCGGGGCTGATCGCATCCTGTTGGAGGCTGCTACAACAGCTTAGTGCTGGTCTAATACTCTCGAATTAGTCATGTGGCCAGAGACGAACATGGCCTAGCTGCAGCATGAGGGCGCAGCTATAGCTCTGGCCAGAAGTACGGAGTGCGGGGATAAGTAATTTGTTCTAATCAGACTTCGACAAGCGGATCGAGTGGCTCTCAGGTGCTATTTAGTATGCGATTTCGAATTGATTGAATGGTCTGCGAAGTTGGAATGAGGAAAAGTGAGGATCTGTTGGAAAATGGTGGGATGATGTGAATGATCAGAATTAAGGATGGATAAAGGAAACGAGTGAAGGAAAGAGCATGAGATTGTCAAGGAGGTATGCATCCGCAACTGTCAGTCTGTCGCACGAAATGGTGGTATGTGTGCCTGGCTGCCCGGTTTGATGCCTTTATGCCTGACTGTCTGACTGGCCGGCCACGTGACATGCACTTCAATGCCTCTTCCCCTTGACACTCCATTAACCCATGTATCAAGCTCACCTCAAATCTCCTACCATGCTGCACAAGGCTGCGCCTACGTTACAAAGTCAAGGTCGAATAACTCTGTTTACTACTGGTCAATTGAAGACCCACCTTAGCCAATCATTCCACCGCAGTTGGGACGCGAACGATGACTCGTATGACTATACAAGAGGTCGCTTCTTGTCAAACGAACCTCATGAGATGAAGATACGCCGCGTAAAGCTCAATCTAAACGAGCTGGCAAAGTCTGCTGCGGAATCAATTGGGTTCACCTATTCACAATGTGTTCGTATTGAGAAATTCCCAGACGGAATGTTCAACAAAGCCTTCCTGTTCACAATGCAGGACGGTACACAAGTTGTAGGGAAAGTACCAAATCCAAATGCTGGACGGCCTCACTATACCACTGCCAGTGAAGTGGCCACAATGGATTTTGTAAGGAAGCTTAATAATTTGCTATCATATCCGATCCCCTGCTCTTTGTCTAATGCTCTGCTGCCAGGTCAGGAACGAGCTCAGCACCCCCGTGCCCAGAGTGCTGGCATGGAGCTCTGAAGCGAATGAAAACCCAGTTGGCGCAGAATATATTATAATGGAGAAGGCCGAAGGTGTCCAGCTTGATAAAGTGTGGCCAAAAATGGATATCAAAAAGAGGTTTGAACTCGTCAAAACGATTGCAGAATATCAAAAGGCCTGGATGTCGAGGTCTTTCACCCAATATGGGAGTCTGTATTATTCCTCCGGCTTACCAAATATCGAAGGATGCGTTCTTGTCAAGGAAGATGGATCTAATTGCAAAGAGCACCGCTTTGCGGTCGGCCCGACAACAGGGCGAGAATTCCTGGATGATGGTAGGATTGATGTCGACTTTGATCGAGGCCCTTGTAAGTACTCTCGTCTAACTTGTCTAAGCCAGCTGCTAATATATCTGCTCTAGGGGGTAGTGTGCACCAATACAAGTCCGCCGTTGGCTTTCGAGAACTTGCATGTGTACAGAATATGGCTCGACTACCTCGTTCATTTTTGGGACTATACGGTCCCGGTACATATACGCCCTCTCGCTTTAAAAAGATAGCAGCTCTTCAACACTATCTTTGCTTGTTGCCGTATTTCCTTCCGACTGATAAGTCGATTTCATCCGCATTTTTATGGCACCCTGATCTCCATACTGAGAACATCTTTGTTCACCCCGACAGGCCATCGGAAGTTCTAAGCATCATAGATTGGCAGTCAAGTGAGATATTGCCACTCTTTGATCATGCGCGTCAGCCGTATTTCCTTGACTACGATGGTCCCCCGGCAACAGGTCTTGACCCACCGGAATTCCCAAAGAATTTCGATGAACTTGACCCTGACGAGCAGAGGAGAGCCCATGGCCTGTATCTGAACATGTCCCTTGCAACGTTATATAGAAAGCTCACTTCTACCAAGAACGGAACATTATTTAGAGCTATGGAGTTTGGGCAGACACCGAGTTTTGATATGATGCTCTTCGCACAGAACTTGCTTATTGATGGGGAAGCTTTGTACCGGGCCCGGATTCTTGATATCGAACAAGAATGGTCCAGTCTCCCGGGTGTACAAGCATCTGGCACTCAGCCGTTTCCATTGGAGTTTTCTGCCGAGGATGTCAACTCTATTGGGGAAGATGCAGATGGAGCAATCGAAGGAATGGAACTTATGCAGAGTGTGAAGGAGTCTTTGGGTGAACTGTGGCCCGAGAAGGGTATTGTACGGCCTGAACGGTATGATGAAGCAAAGCGGCTTCTTAAGGAGATCAAGACAGAGTTGATCGCTCGGCTCGCACATTCAGAGGCAGAAAGCAAGGCATGGGAAGAGTCGTGGCCATTCGATGACTGACAATTTCCCTCCAAACTCCCTCCTTAGCATACGCGATCAGACGTGGTTAATAATGCCGTGCTGCCGAGGGTACTGCGGTGGTGTGCAATTCACTTTGTTTGAGACAATGAAATCTCTTCATCATTAACTAGGTGCTTTGTTTATCTTGTCTGTCCCTGGACAATATCATCTGTCTCACCTACACCCGCCTATTCGTATTCGAGCTTCACGGTTCACAACGCCTTTCAAAACCTTGATCTTTGTCACTTATGACCAGAGCATCTGCATCAAGATGGCCAGCCCAAAGCTTGTCTGTGCTAACTGGCACCCTGACCACACCGACTGTAAGAAAGTGGGCAAGTATACATGCAAGAACTGCTATCTTGTCAACGTGGGTTCCTCCATAACCCTGCACGAATACTTGAAATATTGAGTTAAGCTGATACATCTCGTGTAGTACTGCGGGCAGACATGTCAAAAGTCGCACTGGCCTGAACACAAACTGGATTGCAAATCGCACCTGGGTAAAGAAAGATGGCAGCCGGCCTGGGCCCTCGAGCAACGAGAACCGTCTTTGTTGGAGGGGGGATGGGAGCATCCTTTGGGAAGAACAAATATCTCTGGGGTAATGTCCCTGCTATCGATATTCTGCAACTCGGACCAAATGAAGGAAAAGAATATGATCGACCCCTGCGCATCTTATTTGCGGGTATGTACTGGACGACTCTTACTGTCTACATATGCCATGTAGCCCCAAAACGTTGGTCAAAACTGACGGGACTGCCCTACAGCATCGGGGGATCTTCGCAATCTTGTCAAAACCATTGCCCAACTTCTGAGTAGCTACAACCATTTTCTCGAGATTACACTGCATGATCTCGACTTTGACGTTGTGGCGCGGAATGTCATCTTGCCTCTTCTCTCTATGACCGCCGAGGAAGCAGACGAGGCAGTCGACAATATTATTCATCTATGGTACTCGGCTTTCATGCGTGAATCAGACATTGGCTATCTTCAGCGTCGAGTTCATCCTCTCGTTGAAGACGTCTGTGGGAAGATCCGAGGCAAAACAGCAGACTCTCTATTCGCCAAGACATGGGACATTTGGGTCGCGCTCCCTCAGAGTCGTCCTTAAGAAATTATCATGGGACCGTCTTTTATCTTTTATTAAAGTGCCGGCTGGCCCGACAGTTGAACGCGCACGAGCTATCCGCGCAGCCAACACTCTAGCTGAATCACGGCGAGACTATCGCGATCGACACATGTGTTGCCTTCCGCCCTCTCATCGAATTGCTTTCAACAAATTCCGGGAAGATGGTCTCCTCCTGCCATTTGGACACCCGCGCCATGAATTTCAAGTGCCCAACCCGTAAGTTAGTGCCAGATGCCAGCGTGTTGCCATAAAATTGAAATACAGTAGGACGTTCTTCCAAACCCACAATAGCTGGCCCATGAAGGATGACGCTGATCCTCGGAGTGGGTGGTCACCCAAAGAGGTGTCTGACATGTCAAGTGGGCCTGCAACTGCTGATCTTTACGGAAAGCTCTTCTTGCACATTCGCGGAATGCTCCAGACTTTTCTTGGCCGACTTTCCCATTTGAATTGTTCTCTTACACTCTTCCAGCTCGATGCCTCTCGACTTCCGGGGCATCTCATAAGCAACTCTTTCAGTCGAATTGAGGTGAAACTATGCTGTACCGACCCAGCCCCACAATGCAGAATTGCCGTCGAGACATCTTCTAATGAGATATTAACCACTGTATATAGGTGTCCAATATCTCGGATGCCGGTTATCTGGGAATACACGAGGCGCTATTCTCCATGCTGCCTTTGCTTCAAACTCCTCTCGATAACCCACATGCAACTCTAATCACCCTCTTTATGAACGCTGTTGAAGAGTCCTTGACCATCCAAAACAGACTACATGACATGGCTACAAATGTTACACAGGAACGTCTGTTAAGATACCTTCCCTCTAATAGACTTTCAAGTACCTTCCGTAGTCTGGAGACTGTCAAACTCGCCCTTGCTTACCCCATGGTCACCTCCTATGATTATGCCTTTGATCGGTAGGCCAACCAATCATACAGTGTCTTTTGATAACTGAGATCTCTTGTTAATATTCATAGCAGCTACTCGAATACTTTTCGCTTCCGTGAGTTCGGTCATGTGTTGGGTGCGGCGGTCAAAGAAAGACACACTATTGTCGACAAGTGGCCATTCAGACTGAAACTGTCAACCAGGCGCACAAGAGGAGTTTGACCGGTGCATTGCCACCAATAACACGGGCAAGGAGCGCTATGTAGAGTGGCAGGGGGTTCGTGGCATACCTTGAGGAATACGCTTCCAAGTTTCTTGGATGTGTCGGACTTTAGCAAAGCTTACATTTCTGCCCGAAAAGAATTCGCGGAAGCCTATTGAAAGTCGTCCAGCAGCATCAGTGAGCTTCGATGCTGGAGGAGCGTGTTGGAGCCATCCCTGATTGATATGTTTCCCTTGGTACTGTCTGCATGAATAGTGGATAATAAGATGGTATTGAGAGAAGGATTATGTGCCATCTACAGCTTAATCATTGTGTAATCCGCACAGATAATCTACCATCTTCTAATAACATCTGCTTTCTTTTACTGAGAACTACCGCCCTCCATACTGAAATTATAACAGTTAAAATCCCTCTCTTCACAACCGTCTACAGCTTCCTACCCTAAGAATAAATAGCGGGATTACCATCGATTTACATATTTACATATAATTAGCAAAAATATGCCCCTTTTTCTTTTCAGGAAATAACCAGAGTACTCCCTACCCTCAACGACTCTGAGATCTTTCCCACCTCATCAAGAGCCTACATGTGATCCCGCCACTTGAATCGCTTTCCTTTTAATAACCTAAAGCCAAGAGATTACTTCTTTGACCATATACCGAGCTTACTTATAATACAAGAAGTCTAATTAATTGAATAGGTCTCAAAGATCCTATGAATAACATCCTATTTTCCCCTCAATACTATAAACTTGGTTACTTAGCTCGACGTTATTCCGAAATATACATATATAACACTACCATATAATTCCCGAGCCGATGGGATGCAAAATATCTGTCCTAAGCACATGAAAATATTTCGGGATGTATTATAGCTTAGGATGCTATATGCATGGCTCACTATATCTGTCAGGGATGTATCATGGCTGCAGACAAAGAACCAATCATACTCGTATCCAGCCCTCCTAGTATTTTTTTTTTGAATTAGTTGGCTATGAACCCACCCGCCATAAACTAAGTACTGGGTTATTACTGGACACTAAACTCGGTCATAAATCATTCAATTTCCAACGATTGTTGTACTTTTTTTCATCCGGAAGTCAGGGAAAAGACAGGTGGAGGAGGCCTGGAGAGGGGAGGGTTCAACTCCGGAGGAAGATATACCCGATTAGCTTATTCGGGTTTAGTGTGGTTTTACTATGTATACTATTGCTCCTCGTTGAACACTCAACTTGTTTGTTTGTCTTGCTGGTTGGGGAGTCGGTGGTTGTGTATCATATGTCAAAGTAGTGTTCTAATTCGGTCTCTGGGATTCGAGGTTTGTGTCAAGTTGATTGCTAGATAAATCAATGTGAGTGGGCTACATTGTATGTAGAGGTGTGCTTGTTTGTGGGAGGGACGGGATATATAGATGTCCGGGTGTGGAAAGAACTGTCGGTCAAAAGATTCAGTCTTTTAGCATAGGTGGTAGACGCTGAAATGACTATTAATTGATGAAACAACAAGTAAGTCCGACAGTTCCTAAAAGCTGCAGTATGGAATTCTTCGTAGGTGCCTTCGTAAAAAAGTAGGAATCAGGTTGAGGGAGATATCAGTGAACAGGCGAAGATGATCACATGACCCATGAACAGGTTCAATCTATTGCAGAGTATTGGGCTGGGGCGCTGATGCTTCCTTAGAAGAGTACAGAGATACTGTCATTTGTAAAACTACTGCACTATGCTTATGACTGTAACCGATAGTAGTCCACCTAGCGTGGCATTCCTGTCGATTTCTATACTACGGTCTGTATCTGTGCCAGGGAGAGGAGGTGGTTCTGTAAATCAGAGAAGGTTTCCACGAAGCCACTGTATTCTCAGGAGAAACTGACAGTCGTGGAACCTCCACCAACCTCGAACCTCAAGGTTGAACCCTGTCGATCATCAGAATCAACGTCAGCGATTTGTAAGCCGCGTCAAGCGGATCCCGAGATGATGAATTCATCGGCCACATATTCTCTGAAATACTACAGACAAGTCAATGCCTATAATTGATCTATCTCCAATAGACTTGGATATCTGCCGTTGATTGCGTACGTCTCTACAGTCTACAGTCGGCATCACTCGATCGCTCAGTCGGCGGCCACATATTACGTCATCCAGCACGCACAATGACCAAAATCGGCGTCTTCCCTGCTGCAGGTGGACTGGGAACCAGCATCATCAACCACCTCCACAAGCTGAAGCTGACGTCGGATTTGATTCTCATCGCCCGCAAGCCAGATAGTCTGGCTGAGTTCACCCGGGCCGGGGCCACGGTACGACGGGCCGACTATGACGACCCCGCCACACTCAGGGGCGTCTTCGACGGCGTTGACGTCTTGATGCTGATCTCTTATGCCTCGTTCGAGATCGAGTATCGGGTCGAGGTAAGTAGCAATTGCACCCATCGCTCATTCGCCTGCATGAAGTTAATCCCCGACAGGCACACAAACGCGCCATCGACGCCGCCCGTAGCAGCGGGGTGAAGCACATCTTCTACTCATCCCTCGCCTTCGCCGGAGATTTGGAGCAGACTAGCGTGGCGCACGTGATGGGTGCTCATCTTCGGACCGAACAGTACCTGGCCGGACTGCCGGACATCACCTACACCGCTATCCGGGAGGGTCTGTACTCGGAGTCCTACCCGATCTACACCAGCTGGTTCGATATCCACAACCCCGCAGACGAGATCGCCATCCCTCATTCCGGGGACGGCCCCGGCGTTGCATGGGCGAAACGCGATGAGCTGGGCGAGGCCACGGCAAAGCTGGTCGCGCACTATGCCAAGAAATCGGAGGGGTTCCCGTACCTGAACCGGGTGCTGCTGCTCTCGGGTCCCAGAGTGATCTCATTGAAGGAGACGGTCGATCTTCTCGGTCAGGCAGTTGGAAAGCCTCTCCGCATCCGCGAGATCTCCGTGGATGAGTACGTCGCTCTGCCACAACATGGGACGAAACACACCTACCACGGGATTGACTTGTCGCGGGAGTGGGCGTCTGCGTGGGATGCTATCCGTCTCGGTGAGACGGCGGTGATGACGCCGCTCCTGAGGGAGATTCTGGGACGCGAACCGGAAAGCTTTGAAACGACCGTAAATAATCTGTCCGCGAGCAAATAGGTAGCTTACCATGATTCATCCTCTGAATAAAAGGTCTGCCCGGTAGCGGGGTACTATGAGGTCGCTCCTACGTCGTAGATCTGGAAGCGGGGGCTTCTCTACCGGTATGCCATCTGTCGACTTTTAACGTGATCGGCATTCATCCCTGATAGTAGGATAAAGTCCGATACACACTTTAGCAGCGGGATGGTCACCGGGAGTCTGGTTGCTGCCGGGGGTGCGCTGGACGCAGGGGAACAACCGAACTGCCTGCCGCCATGCGGGAATATTCTCATCCGCTCGAGAAGGAGTCGTCAGGCCGGGTGCTCGACGGCATCCCACAGTAGTGCACCCGCCGGGCGAATGAGAGCCGGGGTGTGCTGACCTCGCTCCCAGCTGGAATTGGGAATCGGCAAGCCCGACCCCGCAGCAATCGAATCTCGCGGTGGTCAGAGCTTGTGGATCTTGATGACGCCGTTGGAGAGTGAGATGAGGCTGGATTCAATCTAATCAGTCCAATTCTACCCATTTAATCTATCCGCTGGTTCGAAGTAGGTTCACCGGGTGCAATTGTGCGGTCATTGAACTTGGTTCTTCATTGTTCATCATCACCGTGTGATGTGCATCCGCATGTCTGGTTTTTATTTTTGCTTTTCTTTTCTTTTCACTTTTCATCTTTTCGGTGTTATGGATGTCCATCCAGACATCATAATTAGCAGTAGATCATAGCTGTAGTGCGGGGTTACTATTCCGGGCTGGTGCGTGAGGCTAAAGCCTAACTTTGTTGTATCAACCGGGAACAAATCAGGAAAATCTTGATCATGTTGAGCATAATTTGGAGTCAGTAAGGTAGGGCTGACGGCATTGGCCGCAGGTGTCATCCGCGATCATCCCTTAGATGCCGTCCACCATCGCCGAGAGTCTTGTGTATACATATTGGGGATCCCAGTGTGGCCAAAAGTCTCGTGTGTCGGGAGCGAACTAACCGGGGAACATGTTACCTGGTCAGCTGCCAGCTAAATCAAGTCATGAGGACGGCGTCGTCCAGTGTCTCGGACGAGATGTCGGGCAGAGATGGCCATCTGTCACCCGAGCCAGCATACGGCCGACGACGAGAACGATTCCTCGATCCTGGAAGATCTCAAGCCACAGGACGGATGAAGCGATGCACTAGTGGAGGGGTCTTCAAGATGCCGGATCACACCACTGGTGGCATTGCAGCAGACCCTGGGAACCCGACATCCGGCCCGCCAGGCGAGGCATTGGGGATTGGGGAAGAGGGCAGCACCTTACTCGACGAGGCTATTTTCTCCACGCCTGAAGCCGGGAAATTTACTAGCGTCCGCGCTGGGCCAGTGGTAGCGCCGTCGGAGATTTTATGTATGTCAGTCACTCGTAGTCGGAGAGTCGAGATTTATTCTTAGGTCCCGCTGACTATAGCGTCCACTGGGTTGGTGGTTCCGAGGAGGACTTACCAATAGTTACCGTGGATGGGTTCCGTCGATAGTGCGAGCCAGTGTTTGGGTCCAGAGGGGACGATGGAGACTCCCGAGACGTCATCGCGGGTAACACCAGCCAGGAACCTTGGGCGGATTCCCCATCAATGTGATTATCATTAGGTGAGAGGTAGAATAGGAGAAGTGCCAGGAGTTGCTAGAGACCGGCCAGACCACCGCTCGGCTGCGAGAAAAGTGGGAGATGATGCCGCATATTCGAGGCCCCCCACCGGGACGGGGGACTGGTCCACTCAGCTGGTCTGTGTGCTTCGGAGTACCCGCGGGCGATGCAAAAGAACGGAGGGAGAGCTGAAGAGAGTAAAGTAAGTACCGGAGTGGACTGGGATTATTGTTTCGAGTTGTAACTTGTGCGGATGGACTCGATGGAGAGGAGGAGACTACTACTCTACCTAGGAATGGTGACTACGGTTGGGCATCTGACTGGCCGGGCCCGGCTCAAAGGCACAATTATCAATGAAGGGAATATGATTGGTGGATGCGTTACACCCTGGCGATGGGTTGGTAAGTTTGGTATCGGTGCCTTGAGCCAGTGATCTAAATGGCGACCGAAAGGGAACATCGTGGGTGGTACTGTCCTCCCCTAGCTGCCCTGCGACCGAGGATTTTGAGGCGAATCAACAATGGCCATGATGAGAATAATATTCATCGTGGGAGGGCATAATGAGGGAACACAAAATGCAAGCATGGACCCACTAAGGGAGGGTACCTGAACCAGCCTAAGGCATGGACGACGGGCAAGTACCGTCGCGATTCAGGGATGACCTAGATACTCAGGATTCCGTAGTCGTACAGCAAATCGCAAGATTCTGGTCTACTTTTTTTTTTTTTTTGGTACCAAATTCTCCCGTCCATGGTGGTGGTGGTGTCAGGAGTAGATGCCGAAGAGAGTAAGTAAGGAACGGAATAAATCACCTGAAACGGCAACAGACATGCTTGCAAGCCCAGGGATAAGATTAATTCCGCAGTGCAGCAGCAGCAGCAGCAGCAGCAGAGCAAAGTCAAAACCCAAGGGCAAAAAGTGTGCAACATGAGCAGTCCGGCCGAAGAGACAAGTCGGAGCCGAGACTCGGCCGCCACGGGGCTTGGCGGGGCCGCCTACAGCGACCGACAGACGCCTTCCCCAAGCTGGGCAGGCCCAACGGTTATTGTGCATCGATCGATCCACCGATCCCGCCCGCCCACGGCTCTCCAATCCGCCTCTCCTACGTACTCTCCTTCCCACTTTGCCTCAGCTCAGCGTCTGCTGCGCACTGCTGAACTTTCCCCTGCTCCTCAATGGCCATCCGACGGCTCTCATCGGAGCCGACCGAGGCCTGGATACCCTGCATCCGGCTGGGGTGATCTCGGTTCCCCTTCACCGGCCTGTGCAATTATCGTTTCGACAATGGTCATGGCTCTGCCTTTCCTTTTTGGCCGTGGCTTTTTCGACGTTGCAACTCATTACATCATTTTTTGGCTGGCCAGCGATCGGGTTCTGGCACCGGCTTCTCCTGAAACCTTCAGGCTTTATATAGACCCTCCCCCGATGACTCTCCTCTGCCCAGCATCCTTCCGATCCACGGTTCAATAGCAACAGCTTCTTTTTACTTCCACACCTTGCCACTCGACTTGATATATTATATCGGTTGACCGCTACTCTACACAACATCCACCTACCAACATACACCACTATCCACCCCGACCACTAGCATGGCATACTCCAGGCCTGACGCCTTTACGTTAGCGGACGACGAGCGGATGTACATGAGCCATCCCAGTCCACTCACTCGCCCTAATGATACCTTCACCAAGGGACCCGATCCTCTGTCGGCCAATTGGAACTACGACAGTGCCATTGATCTGTTCTCCCTGAACACCATGATTCCCGAGACCTTTCCCTTGGAGATGTCCAACGAGATGATGAACTTGGACCCCAAGGATTTTCCCACCGATTTCTTCGCCCCACCCCCAGATATCAGTGGGTTCACGATTTCCAACCACTCGGGTGAAGATGCTGCCTCTTGCGGTTCTCTCTCGTCGGTATGTCGCTCCTCCAATGGTTGAATGAACTACCGCTAATTAAACTTTCCCTAGGACCTGGAAAGTGACGATCAATCCTGGTCCCCCACCCGCATCTCCCCCCTCGAGACTATCCACATGGACCTGCCCAAGCCGGCTTCCCGATCCGCCAAGCCTTCCACTCGTCGCAAGACTGTCCAACCGAAGCGCGAGCCTGCCACCCGGTGGTCGTCGAGCCCGGAAATCACACCGCAAGACTTCCCCGCTGCCAGCGTTTCTCCCCCGCCCGCCCCCGCCTCTCCTGTCAACAACCGCAAAACCACCCGCAGTCTCTCCGGGGACTCGAACGCTAGCACCGGCTCGGCCCAGAACGCTACCGGCCGCAATGCCGCGAAGCGGGCGGCACACAACATCATTGAGAAGCGGTACCGCACGAACATGAATGCCAAGTTCGTGGCGCTGGAGAAGGCCATGTGCGGGGGAGTCCAGAAGCCGACCAAGGGCGGATCGGCGTCACTGAAGAAGTCGGAGATCCTGACGAATGCCATCACATTCATGCAGGAACTGCAAGATGAGAACAAGGCTCTACAGAAGGAGCTTGCCATTCTAAAACAGACCATGGTGTCGAATGGGATGTGGCGACACAGCAAGGGGGATGGGTTCCACGCATGAGCGTGAGAACCATCCTTCCTGTCATGACCGTCACGTTTATTGTATAATATTATGAGCTTTCCTTTGTCTTATACTGTGTCTACAATGGGTCTGGCCCTCTCCTGTCGTGGGCGGCGAATGGTTGTTTGTTGATATACCCGGATAAAAGTTGACCTAATCACCACACTCTATACCGCTACACTATACCACTATCACTACGTCCTCCGTACTCTGTACATATTCTCGGAACTATCCTAGTAAATATCTGGTCGCACTAAACCATAAATAAACCCGCCGACCCTCAACCTAAAGCCCAGCCAAGCACAACAAAGGCACCCTTAGGCCGGCTCCGCCCGTCCCTGACCCCCATCCGTTACACCGACCAGGTCCAACCCCGCCCGTCACCAGCCTTGCGCCTCTCCTACCATGGATACTCCACTTACACCCACCTACACCCAACTACGCCCAACACAGGTACTACTTCTTCTTCTTAGGTAAGAACGTTCATAATACGGTGCCCAACCAACCAGCCAGCCAGCCCTGTTCCAGGTAGGTATGTACTCTGCCCCCAACTCATCTTACCGGTCAGCCCTGTCGCCAATCCAGCCGCCCGCGCCCGATTCTAGAACGTCCTGGCCCCGATCGATCGATCCATCCAGACCGGCCGATAATTCTGGTCTAGCCGATAATCTCCCGGGTGCGGGTTGGTCTTGGTCTTGGGTTTGTTGGGGGGGTGGGTTTGTAGGCGTCATGGATTTTGTGAATAGGTTGGGATTTGATGGAGCTGGGGTAGGTATTGTATTGTATGCTAGGGGGTTGCTACGGATAGGGTGGATGAGTGGTGATGTGGGTGGATGGATGGGTGGGTGGATGGGTGGGGTGTGCTTGTTGGTCGTATACAGAGGAAATGTAGGTACAAATCCGCCGCAGAGGTATTTCCTGTAGGCATGACTTACCTCTCAACTGGAGGTGAAGCACACAAATACAAATGATAGATGTAGACATAACTGAAAACATATACAATAACAAACAAATAAGAAAGATCACCGCACGAATATACCCAACACCGACTCCACATCCACAAGGTCCGGCGAGTCGCGCAGATAGTACAATACCGGCTGTGTTCTGGCCTCAGGCCAGGGGTCAGAGGTACTGTATTCTTCAGACAAGTGATGCATATATATGCATCGAGACAGTAGTTCCTTTGCCATCGAGACACTCCTGGTGCTTAACCGCAGGCTCAGCAGATTTAGCTAATCCCTAGTAATGAGTTTGGGAATCTTATAGAAACTACATCCACGATAGAGTTTTCTCCCATCTTAATGGCACTTTCGAAAGCGATGAACGACAGACATCCTGCGGCGTAAATACGACTCGATAGAGCACGAGTAAGATAGTATTCCTGCAGGTCATATCTTCTCATACTGCCATATATAGTAGTTCATAGATTTACATAGATTATGCCCGAACTAGTTCATAACATACATCGCATGAAATAAACTCAAACTAGACCCATCGTTCACACATCAAGAATGTAGATCCAAACTCTCTAATCCATACCATCTAGAATACTCCCGTCTCCACTACCCACGAGATCTCCCCACCCTTACATTCCTACATAGCATCTACAACCAACTCAACCCCAATCCAAAACAACCCATCACGCCATCCGCCTCACCCGCACCACCACCACCACCACCACCACCACCATACGCAAAAATCCCTCCCTCCAACTTGGCAGCTTCCCAACCCAAGTCTCCGAAAACTCATCGTATATCGGAACCCGCCGTTCCCCGACCCCGGCGAATATTTCTTCGTGTCACGCACGCACTGTTTAAGGTTCCGGTATGACGTCGGCTGATCGGGACCGGGTCGTGTTTGGGTGGACGGAGAATAGCCTTTTCCATAACAGATATTGATATTTATGATTTTTGACAAGAAATGGGAAGAAAGAAAAGGGGACGGGTGGCTTGCAGAAGGTTTTGTTTTCTTTGTTTGGTGCTTGGTGTGGATGGGTGGAAGCCTGGGTGGATGTAACGGTAGGCTGGGGGTGGATAGGTACGTAACCTTGGTAGATAGGAGGTATCGAGATAAGTATGGATTGTATGGCTTGGCGGTTTAATTGGGATTAGCGATATTGTATGTCTGATTCGAGGTCCAGTGGGAAGCGCACGTGATGACGTGACCTGGTCCGGTAGCAGGGGGGTCTTGAATCGAACGGTATCGGATGATCGGCAGTTGTTTCTTGTACTGATGGGCAGAGTAATGATATGCTATCTGACAGTGATATCTCGTCTATAGTAGAGGATGGCAAAATTATAACTCTCCTATAGAAAGTTGCGTATCCTTTCACATGCACTAAGTATACATACTCATCCCATACTATAACCTCCTATAATTCACCCAGACAGACAGATTCAATGTACAACTGCCATTACCCCTTTAACCAACCTCGAAGCCTGAAGGTGTATTTGGGCCCGAGGGGGATGTGGAAGTGGTTTCCGGGGTGGTGGTGGGGTTTACAGATGGGAAGGAGTGGAAGGAAAGGATTCAGATTAGGCATTAGACCGTTCGGGAAGAAAGGGAGGGGAAAGAGTTGAAAACATTATCACCACTATTCTTAAGGTAGAATAGATCTTGACCGGGGTGATAATGAGAAAATGAATATGGAGAGAGAGAGAGAGATAGTGAGGTAGAATGTTTATTATGTAGTTATGGTTGTTCTGTCGATGTAATTGATAGAGCAGGACTTAATTGAACCTTATCGAGGCGCTGATATGTACAGGAAGAATGGAAATAATGCAGAGAATAGGAAATTGAGTAGAAGACTTATCTGGAGTGGACTTCATTCATGTCATTTTATAACTTCTTTCGCAGGGAAGAATTGCAGTGATACATGGTTGCTTGAAATGGCACCGGATATCCTATAGCAAATAAGGCTGTTAAATACCACAGATAGTAATCGTGTCTCTTGTATTAGTAGAATGTCATATACTTTGTCCAGATAGATATCTCCAAATCCAGTTTATTCTGGGATAGTATTTTACTCTCGTTTCTGCTTATCATATCTTTGATCGAAAACTGGACCAGAGAACGTTATATATTCAAAAGAGAGCTATCTTTCGGAAACATAAAGTTCATCATCTTGTTCACAGATAAGGGTATAGTTTCTTGTGCTCAACATTCAGTGAATCTCGAATATAGCATAGGATATTAGAGATAACAATGACGTGGTGCTTGGGATGATTTTGACCCTGGAGGGTCTTATAATTATAGCTTGAAAAGCAGGAACGTGGAAATATGACCCTGAACCTAATTCCTAAAAGTTTTATTATTACTCTCTCCTCTGGAGGAGTATTCGTAGCGGTATCATTAGCATTTAAATTCCAGGTATACTTTGTAAGGCCACTCAAAATCCCCTGTATCTAGAGGGCATGGAGATACGGAGGAATGTTTTCCTTGATTTTGTCACTATGAAAGCAAAACGCGTGTGTTGTGACCGGTTATTCCCACGACGTAGAAGTAAGGCCACTGCTGGGAGAAACTCTAGACTAGATAGTTTATCAACAAGGCTTATGACTCGTCAGAAGAACAATGCCCCCAATGCAACCAACCAGTCCATATCAAATCTAGTCATTTTAGCAGCGCCATTTGCCAACACGGTCTGACTAGCACCCGTACTGAGGGATTTGGTGTTCCCGGGGATGGATGTCCTTGATGCCGACGAGTTTGCGGAATCGGTAGGGTAAGCAAAAGGGGTCGTTGAACCGGATGATGTAGATATGGACACGGCGGACGAAGTAGTAGGCAGCTCACTCTCAGTTGAAGACACGGCTGTCCGCGAAGCACTTGAAGTAGACGTTGTGATCTCCGGCTCGGACTCGGAGGTAGTAATGGCCGAGACGGTAGCACCACCAGCAGTCCCGGCAACTGTTATGTACGGCGTGTGGATCGTAATGCGGGTTGCTTCGCCGGTGCAGCCTCTACAGGAAATTAGTCCCGTTCAAGAACTCTGGAAAGATTGTAGCAAGTGAACGAACCCGACATAGTTGCCACAACAGCCAATGAAGACATTTCCGTCGTATTCGCACCTCTCGGCGAGTCCACATCCAACTATTGCATGTTAATGCTATGTCGAGACACGAAGACCTAGGCTGACATACCCCCTCCGTTATCCAGAGCACAACAATTATAAGCACAACCGTCACCACAGCAGTTGCCTACGATACACCGAGACCCATCCGAGCAGGTGTCTCTCTTGTCTAGTATGCCTGCTTCTAGGGGGGAATAATTGCGTTGAATGAGGGTAGGTACTTTATTTGCCGTGGCGGTAAATTGTCCGTAGAGCGTAGCTGTGGCTAAGACGACCGAAAGGAGGCCCCCGAGTAGCATTTTGTCGGCAGGCCGAGAAACCGTATGAATGGAAGACTTGAATATAGTAGAGAGAACAGAGAGAAGTTTTCGACCCAGCGCAAGGTATATATCTATGACTAGGTTCTGCCGTTCTCGTGTTCAGCGACGAGATGCCGTCTCGTATTCAACCTTGGCATTGTTGATCGATATATCAATTGACGATATATTGCGGTCTTGAGGATAGACTGGAGTCGATCTATCGTATTGCTGGATCATGCCCGCGCATTGGCGTATGCATAGTTATCTCGAGGTGGCTGACCAGGTGCAGTGATGACAGCGCCATCGTCTTCGTGGAGTTGCACGCACATGCTACGCATGATCGAGATGTCAGATGCTGTCAATCACTGGATTAGAGCGATTAGTTCCTCAGCTCATGTTAGCTCTAGCTGCGCATTAGGTCGCTGAACATGAATTGCAGCAGATGCAGACGGCATTTGTCGGATATTTACCACATCACAGAATGTTTGTAGACGCCTTGACGCAATTACCTATGGACCGTTCATCGAGCCACGAGTTCCGATATTGTTGCGGCCAGCATCAAAGATCAGACATTTCACGATCGCATGTCCAGTCATAGTAAATCAAGCATGTCTCCCTATCTGTAGCTCAGGTCAATGGACTTGGAATCAAATAGGGCGCCCAGTCCGGCTGCATGCGGTTAAATGCTTTTCATGACTGGTTTGTCAGACGCTAAATGCAGACACCTTATCAGCAGCTATCATGCATCTCGGTGCTCTCGGCCTATCACACATCCAAGAAGTGTGCTTCGGCGGATGCTACCATCCAGAACCCGCTTTCCCTTGTCAGACTGCTCGAGTGATCTATCCTCCAATGTATGACACCTCGATCGGCAGCTCAGGCCCCCTGGTGCTGGACCCCGCATTCTGTCCCTGCCTTGGATCGGATGTCGGCTGAGACAAGGTTTAGGCTAGTCCGATGCACAGAACGCCAGTTGAGCTATAACTGTGTCTTTACCCTTGCATTTCTGGGTATGAGGGCTGAATTCCGAGGGATGAGAGCCGCAGTGATGACAACATCGTCGCCGGACACTATCAATGACTAGGATCGTTGAAGTCGCCACATCTTGTATCTTGGATGAATCACCGGGTGAGATAATGGTTCGGATCGATCGACAATCAATGCCCCGGACGGACTTATCGCCTCCGCATAGACCTGCCGGATTAGGCATGATGACGGAAGAGCTGAGGATGCTCCAGCTCGGAATTCATCTCAGCTATCAGGACCTGAAACCTTGATGCACTTTGCCGATAGATACTTGCAGCTGACCGTAAGAAGCAGAGCGATGAGATGGTGGAACCATGGTCGAGAGAATGTGTTCAGCACGACGGCTGCAACGAGTTTAGTAGTAGTACAAGTGGCACCCTGAAATTGGCATCGTTACAGCGCCATGGGTATTTGAGGGAGAAGTCTCGACGGATATGACTTGGAGAGCGTGTTGATGGTGGTCGATGTATGCGAACGGCCATGAGCACTTGAGTGCCCAAACGTTGCCATCCCCACTTGGGAAGTCCTGCCGAGCCTAAAAAACCCAGCCCCCGCAAAAGCCAAAGTCAAGGGAAAAAAATTTTAACTTATCGCCAACTTATCTATCTCGGTCATTCAGAGGGATTTGTTTCATGACCAATTGATCGTTGCCGTGATTATTCCTCTTGATAACCATCTTGCCTTTCCGAACTAAGCATGCCGGCCTGGTGAGGGGAAGCCATGTCCTTGCATGTTTAGCTCGTTCATATATGAGCTCTCCCCTCAACGCCCTTAACAAGAGTTGAACGAATTTGCAGAAAATGGGAAATTGGGTGCACGACTTGCTCATCGACCTTGCTGCTTTCCCGGTTGGCTGATTTTCTGTCGTCATTGTGCCCTTGTCTTTATTCTCTCCGGATGCCGATGGACGTGGAAAATAACGGGCCGATCAAACCGATCGAATCGGTCGACCAGAGCGTTCAAGATGCTCACGATCTGGCGGCCATGGGCCATGACCAGGCCATGACTCGCAAATTTGACATTTGGAGCATGCTGTCGCTGGCGTTCTGTGTCTTAGGTTAGTTCTCCCCGATCGGATTTTTCGTGCTCTGTGCGTTGCATCCACCCGTCGCGCCAAGACCGGCAGCTAATCGTCGCCCCAGGCACCTACTCAACTTTTGCCCAGGATCTCGACAGCGGCCTCACCAATGGCGGCTCCGTGGCAATCCTCTGGGGTCTCGTGCTGGTCACCGTCTGCAACCTGTGCGTGGCCGTTTCCCTGGGAGAGCTCACCAGCAGTATGCCGACCGCACTCGGCCAGGCGTACTGGGTGTTTCGACTCTGGGACACTCCGCTGGGTCGCTTTTGCTCGTATATGTGTGCCTGGATTAATATGTTCGGCTGGTGGACGTTGACGGCGTCCCAGGTCGCTTTCATGGCCGAGTTCCTGCTGGGGATGAAAGTCATGTTCAACAACTCTTGGGGCGGGGCTGGTACCGGATGGCTGGAATTTGTCGTCTATCTCGGCACCGTTCTGGTGTTGACAATCATTAATTTAATTGGCTGTCGGAAGGAAAAAATCCTTCCATGGCTGAACAACTTTGTCGGAATCTGGTTTACCGGCTTGTTCGTCATTCTGTCTCTGGCTCTGCTTATCTCGGTTGGGGTAAAGAAAGACCTCTCCTTCCAACCAGCTTCGTTTGTCTTCGGGGCCTGGATGAACGAGACCGGCTGGGATGATGGCGTTGTGTGGTTCACTGGCCTGGTACAGGCCGCCTATGGCCTTACGGCCTTTGATGCGGTCATTCATATGGTCGAGGAAATCCCCGCCCCGCGACGCAATGCACCCAAAGTCATGTGGCTTTCCGTCCTCATGGGTGCGATTACGGGATTCATCTTCATGGTGGTATGCCTGTTTTGCATTCAGGATGTCAACGAGGTCATCAACTCACCGACGGGGCTGCCATTCATGGAGTTGATGGTGGAGACTGTCGGCCTGGAAGGAGGAGCCACTCTCATCGCGTTGTTCATCTTCAATGGTCTGGGGCAGGGCATCAGTATTCTGACCACCGCCTCCCGACTCACCTGGGGCTTTGCGCGAGATGGCGGTCTACCCTGGAGCGGATATCTTATGCACATCGACCCCGTGTGGAAGGTTCCGGTGCGAGCATTGTGGTTCCAGGGCTTTTGGATCGCGTTGGTTGGGATTCTCTACCTGTTCGCGAACACGGTGCTCGATGCGATTCTAAGCGTCAGCACAATTGCTTTGACCATCTCGTATGGTATTCCCATTGCTGCCCTTCTTGTGGTTGGGCGCGATAAGTTGCCACCGAGTCAATTCAATCTGGGACGATGGGGAGCGCCTATCAACTGGATCAGCATCATCTACTGTGCCATCACGACGGTCTTCTTTCTCTTCCCAGGTTCGCCGAACCCGTCGCCCAGCGACATGAACTATGCCATTGCAGTTTTTGGGGTGATGCTGGTGGTGGCCGTTGGATTTTGGTTCGTCCAAGGGAAGAGCACGTATCTGAAGACACAGGATGCGATCGACCAGATGATTCAGGCCCAGAGGCTTGAAGTTGATACGGCAGCACAGGCCGAAGAAAAGAAGAAATAGACATGTATATAATTTTGACCTTTAAATGATGAAGTGACCTCACTATCGCGGTCGTCGAGCTTGGTCTTGGTAGAATGTGTGTAGACAAAGGTCAGAACGAAGCCGGGATTAATAGGTGTGGGCCCGTGACCGGCGTGGGCGACGTGCCCCCACGTGTCCCTCACCCATCTCCCCTCCATGGCACCACGTCTGCTCCAGCTGGCCGGGGACAATTCAATCCCAGGAAATCACCAACAAGAACCTTTGCTACGTGTCTGTAGTTTGCTGACGAACCACTCATCCTAGCTACCAGATTGCCTTGCCATCGAGCTACCTTCTGGCTTATCGGACTTCAGTGCATAGTGATACCCAACTCGGCCGGCCTGATTCGTGGGAAGTCTGGAATTACGGCACCAGAGTCCAGAGAGTCGGTATAGAGTCCCGATGGGGAGAAAAATTGCTCACCAGATATACCGTGGTCAGCAGTGTGGACATGTTTGCAGCCGAGATAGGAAATAATCTCCCTAGGGCATTCGGATTTATCGCCTTCAACCGGCTTTCTGATGTGGGAAGGCACCGACAATCGATGATTGGCAACATGCGGATAGGGTGAGCACCGGGGCACTATTGACCAATGTCCTCTCTAGTTGATACTGTTGGGAGAAAGGTACGATAACAGGATGGCGTCATCCTGCGAAGAGAGATCAACAATGGCATCATTAAGGTCGAACAAGCACCCCTAGCTACCCGAACTCGAACCCTGGAGGCTGACACAGCTTTGAAACACATGTATAGGACGGTCTAAGACCAGGCTTGATTAGTAGGGCGGATTTAATGTGTTCCACAGCTCGAATCAATGCCGGAAGTACCCACCTGAGCTGGCTATATCCGAGACTAGATAGTCTGTGCCTGAGCCCTGAAACTTTGTCCGAATAGCTTATCTGCCGAAGAATTGACGCAACATACCCATTACTGCCGACCAGCTCCAAGACAAGCGTTGGAACCTACTCCAGTAGGACTTCAATAGGCATGGAGGCGCGATACTCCTTAAAGGGTACGGAGGGATAGATGGGCGAACCTGGCGCATGGATTGAGTCGACGAGAATCCTGGAATAAGGCTGGGGCAGAATTACAGATTACTGAGGGGTTACCGTCAGCTAGATCTGGATCATCTTAGGTCATCACGGGCAATATTTCCAGGTACGATGAAAAGTGCAATCCGCTACTGACGTGGATGCTGCACTTCTATATCCGAGGCCCGTCGAGGCCTCAATGAGAATCGTTTCAAGTGGATCCAACTCGGAGTGCAACGAATGTGAGGTCAGGAAAAAGCTGCAAGTGGAGCGACTCGGAATTACGGGTTAAGATTTGACGGGTATACGGCATTACGGAACTGCGTTTTCAGCAACCAGTCCTCGGGAATATTAGATATCTCGGGAGGAATGGCAATATAACAGATGGAGTGCCCGTGGTCCTGGACGATCTTCAGCTGAGTGTCTGAGCTTATTCCATCGCGTGGAATCTGACAGTTCTTGAGCTGGTTCATTGGTATGCGCTCGCGGCCTACTCTAAACCGGATATACTAATTGTTCCATACACAGTTGCGACAAGTGGGATTGTTCACAATGGACAACTCGTCTTCTTCAGGGACTGTGGACATTGAGTCTGGGGACTCTTCCATTTATAAGCGCTTGACGCTCACATGGCGCAACGTGAGCGTGCACGTTACTGCCCCCGATGCTGCTCTGGGCGATACACTGTTGTCGGTGGCCGATCCACGGCAGGCTCTGGGGTGGTTCAAAGGGGGTTCGCGGCCTAAGAGGGTAAGCCGAGATGGTGGTAGCGCCTAAGCTATTACTAACATGCTACCAGACAATCCTCAAGGACGTTACGGGCCAACTCAGACCAGGCGAGATGGTAAGACACCGAACGAAAGCAATTGGCAGTTTGCTGACCTTATCTAGCTGCTCGTTTTGGGCCGTCCAGGGTCAGGATGTACCTCATTCCTCCGCGTGCTCTCCAATGATCGTGAGGCTTTTGACGAAGTTGTCGGCGAGACTCGGTACGGAAGCATGGACCACAAGCAGGCCAAAAAGTACCGACAGCAGATCATGTTCAACAACGAAGACGATGTTCACTTCCCCACGTTGACGGTCAACCGGACGATGAAATTTGCCCTGCGAAACAAGATTCCGAGAGAACGACCCGAGCATCTCCAAGGTAGAAAGGATTACGTTCAGGAGAAGAGAGATGGAATATTGGATTCACTGGGTATCGGTCACACCAAGAAGACATTGGTTGGAAACGAGTTCATCCGCGGTGTATCTGGTGGTGAGCGAAAGCGTGTGTCTTTGGCGGAAGTGATGGCTGGGCAGGTATGGTCCCTTCTTTCCTGTGTCTAACAGGCCACTCACCATTGAGTGCTAGAGTCCCGTTCAATTCTGGGATAACCCCACTCGCGGTCTGGATTCCAAGACTGCCGTGGAATTTGCCCGTATGCTCCGGCGTGAGGCAGACGAGAACCAAAAGACAATGGTGGCGACAATGTACCAAGCCGGAAATGGCATCTACGATGAATTCGACAAGATATTAGTCCTCGCGGACGGACTCGTCACGTACTATGGCCCGCGTGCGTTGGCCCGCGCTTACTTCGAAGACATGGGATTCGTATGCCCCAAAGGAGCCAACATTGCCGACTTCCTCACTTCGGTGACGGTCATCACGGAACGAATTGTCGCCCCAGGCATGGAAGAGAAAGTGCCAAACACACCAGCTGAGTTCGAGGCTCGTTACCATCAGAGTGCGATCTACTCCCAGGCGATGAATGACATTGTACCGCCAGAGAAGCTCGTTAACGAGGAAGAAAACCTGGCCCTTGCGGTAGCAATGGAAAAGAGAAAGCAGTATATCCCTCGGAGTAAGAGTGTCTACACTGCTGGTCTTTGGGATCAGATTGTCAGCTGCACTATCCGGTACGTTGCTTTGATTTACTGGTGGGGATCGTCTGACATTCTCTAGTCAATTCCAAATCCTGGCTGGTGATAGGCTCTCCATCATCATCAAGGTGGTGTCTGCTATTCTACAGGCCCTTGTCTGTGGTAGTTTGTTTTACAACCTCAAGTTAGACAGCAGTTCGATTTTCCTCCGACCTGGCGCCCTTTTCTTCGCTGTTTTGTACTTCCTTCTCGAGACGATGTCCGAAACGACCGCGTCATTCATGGGTCGTCCTATCCTTTCTCGGCAAAAGCGATTTGGCTTCTATCGGCCCACGGCGTTTGCCATTGCCAATGCGATTACAGATATACCCATTGTCTTGGTTCAAGTATCATGCTTCTCGTTGATCTTATATTTCATGTCTGCGATGCAGATGGACGCGGGCCGTTTCTTCACTTACTGGATCATTGTCATTGTGCAGACATTGTGCTTCATGCAGATGTTCCGGGCCATTGGTGCGATGTGCAAAAACTTTGGCAATGCGTCCAAGATGACCGGGTTTCTCTCGACGGTCTTTTTTGTCTATGGAGGTACGTTTCAACCGTCCAGATACCATGGAACATACTGATAAAGTCACAGGATACTTGATTCCTTTTGAGAAGATGCACGTGTGGTTCCGTTGGATCTTTTACCTGAACCCCGGTGCGTATGCTTTCGAGGCCCTGATGGCCAACGAGTTTGTGGGCCTGGAACTGGAATGTATCGCGCCTGACTACATCCCATACGGATCTGGATATCCCAGCGGCTCTTCCCCTCACCGTGGCTGCACCGTCAAGGGAAGTAACGCGGAAGGCATTATCGATGGCGCCACCTACATCAAGGAGCAGTTCCAATACTCCTACCACCACATCTGGCGGAGCTTTGGTATCATCGTCGGCTTCTGGGCGTTTTTTCTTTTCTTGACCGCAATTGGCTTTGAACTGCGCAACAGCCAGTCCGGATCCTCGGTCCTTCTCTACAAGCGGGGCGCGAAAAGCAAAAAGGCCGACGAGGAGAGCAGCGTTTCTCCGAAGTCTGAGGGAGCTGTCCTTGCGCAGGCGGGGAAACAGTCCACGTTCACGTGGAACCATCTCGACTATCACGTTCCTTTCCATGGCGAGAAGAAGCAATTACTCGACCAGGTCTTTGGATACGTAAAACCGGGTAACCTGGTGGCCTTGATGGGATGTTCTGGCGCGGGAAAGACTACGTGAGTTTTGTTATGAGACGCAGGGATGCCAGGCTAATCCATACGCAGGTTGCTCGATGTTTTGGCTCAGCGAAAGGACAGCGGTGAGATTTACGGATCCATTCTGATCGATGGTCGGCCGCAAGGCATTAGTTTCCAGCGTACCACCGGCTACTGTGAGCAGATGGATGTCCATGAAGGGACGGCGACCGTGAGAGAGGCCTTGATCTTTTCTGCTCTCCTCCGTCAGCCCGCCAGTGTGCCACGTGAAGAGAAGATTGCCTATGTGGACCACATCATTGATCTCTTGGAACTGAGTGACATTAGAGATGCCCTGATCGGAGGTACGTGCTGGATTTGGAATCTATAGGGTGCTATGCTAACCAAGACAGTTCCCGGAGCTGGTCTAAGCATCGAACAACGGAAGAGAGTGACATTGGGTGTTGAGTTGGTCGCCAAGCCGACTTTGCTCTTCCTGGACGAACCGACGTCGGGTCTGGACGGTCAATCCGCTTACAACATTATTCGATTTCTGAGGAAGCTCGTCGACAGTGGACAGGCTGTGCTGGTAAGATTGCTCGTTGACATCTCGGGGAAATACAAGCTCACCCTCCTAGTGCACCATCCATCAACCTTCTGCGGTTCTGTTCGATGCCTTCGACGCCTTGGTTCTGCTTGCTAGGGGCGGAAAGATGACCTACTTTGGAGAAAGTGAGTTTCACACCTGCCGTACCGACTGGATCTAACCCCATTAGCTGGCGAGGAATCCCACAAAGTTCTGGAGTACTTCGCAAAGAACGGAGCCCCCTGTCCTCCCGACGTCAATCCCGCTGAACACATCGTGGAGGTCATCCAAGGTAACACGGAGAAACCTATAGACTGGGTCGATGTGTGGAGCCGATCCGAGGAGCGCGCGCGTGCCATTGAGGAGCTTGAAGCCTTGAACAAGGAGGGCCAAGCACACTCGGACATTGTGGAAGACCAACACGACTTTGCAACACCGATTTGGTTTCAGTTCAAGACGGTGCTGCAACGTCTCATGACCCAAATATGGCGGTCACCAGTAAGTTGAACATAACCCTTGGTAGAGGTAGATGCTGAGAAAGTCAGGATTACATGTGGAACAAGATCATCCTGCACATCTTTGCCGCATTGTTCAGTGGATTCACCTTCTGGAAAATGGGCAATGGGACATATGCGCTCCAGCTACGGTTGTTTGCCATCTTCAACTTTATCTTCGTGGCTCCGGGGTGTATCAACCAGATGCAGCCGTTCTTCCTGCACAATCGCGATATCTTTGAGACCCGAGAGAAAAAGGTCAGCCCAGAGCCAACTCTTACTGAAGCAGACTGCTAAATACTTATAGTCCAAAACCTACCACTGGATCGCCTTCATTGGAGCTCAAGCAGTCTCGGAAATCCCGTACTTGATTATCTGTGCCACTCTCTACTTTGCGTGCTGGTACTTTACCTCCGGATTGCCTGTTGATGCGTACGTTTCCGGCCATATGTACCTGCAGATGATCTGTAAGTTCCTTCTATTCTTCCACGCTGGACTAAACTGACCAGCCAAGTCTACGAGTTTCTCTACACTTCCATCGGACAGGCCATTGCCGCCTACGCTCCTAACGAGTACTTTGCCGCCATCATGAACCCCATCCTCATCGGTGCCGGCATGATCAGTTTCTGTGGCGTTGTGGTGCCGTACTCGAGCATCCAGCCTTTCTGGCGGTACTGGATATACTACCTCGACCCGTTCACCTACCTGGTGGGTGGTCTTCTTGGGGAAGTCCTCTGGGACGTCAAGGTGAAATGCGAGGCCTCGGAGTATATTCATTTCAGCCCTCCGTCCGGACAGACCTGCGGTCAATACATGTCCGACTTCATCTCGGCACAGACGGGCTACCTGCTGGACTCGAACGCCACCGACAGCTGTTCGTTCTGCCAGTACTCGACAGGCGCGGACTATGCAAAGACCTTTAACCTGAAAGAGAAGTACTATTCTTGGAGAGACGTGAGTGCCTACCCTTCCTTCTGAGCTGTTGGAATACTAACATCCAACAGACAGGAATCACTGCCCTCTTCTGCATCACGTCCTACGGCCTGGTGTTTTTGATGATGAAGCTACGCAGCAAGAAGACGAAGAGTGCAAGGTCGGAGTGAGCACACGTCAATCCCAAGCCCGAACCCAACCCCTACCTCAACTACAACACAACTACACGCTACAACCAGCGCAAGAAAGTCAAGCCCTTCACAGAAGGGACCCAGTATATAGTTTGCTTTTCTCGCACAGTAGATAGATAGACCGATACACCGACTGAGCTCCAGTCATATACATAGACCCCCGTTATACATAGAGTATTTAATACCATATCACATGATACCTTTCCGCAAACCAAAAAGCCCTTATTACTAGCTCCGCGATTTCTTTTGCCTAGTTTCACAATATGTATTCAGCATGACAATTCTCCGCCTCAGAATGCAGGTAATTAGTCCGTGCATACCAACGCGGAGGAATATCTTGAGCGCAGGAAATAGAATAGCGTGTCGTGGAGGTGGGCGTACACGGGAGCCTACTATTACGTCAACTGAATGTTTTAGTGTAGTATTTTAGTAGTTATCAATTTATAAACTACCAAGAGTCATTGAAGAAATCCGGGCTCCGGACGTGGGGGTGGGTGAGATTTTAGTCCTACACCTATATTTGAACCCTTGCGTCATGGGATTGCGGAGTAAATGACCTGAACTGGGATATATATACATCTAACGACAAATCTAATCTATCGATCTATTTATTAAAACACAACGTGACAATAAAGCGAATATGGGTATGGGTATGGATATGGGTATCAAAATCGAAACCTGGGCGTCTCCGCCTGCGTCCTAATATACGCAACATCGACCAAACGGCCCAGAATGACATACTCGAGTTTCAGCTTGATGCTATACACCAACGCCTTGAAGGTAACCTGAAAGGTAAAGTACCCGGCATACTGAATGGCCACGACGGACAAATCCAGGATGATGATGAGGATATTCACGAGCAGCAACTGCACCAACACACTCCGGGACAACCCCCCAGAGTCCATCCGAAGCATTTTAACCGTCTCCCGGATATAGATCCCCGAGAGGAGAAGTTCCTGGACGCAGAACCAGACGAGTTGGATGCGTTCGATGATGCCGAAGCCGAGGTTCACGGCGGGAGAGTCCGGGAGGGCATTGACGGCGAGTTCGAGGGCGGTGCTGGAGGTGTGGAGGAGGAGGCCGTCGATGATGATGAGGTAGAGGAGGGCGCGGAGGAGACGTTTATGGCGCAGGACGAGGTGTAATCGGGACCAGAGGACGAGGGATTGGCCGGTGACCATGCCGGCCCAGCCGATGTCGACGATGACGATCTCGAGGAAGTAGTGGGTGAAGGTGATGGCGAACATTTTGAGGAGGTAGCCGAGGCCGAAAGGGAGGATGGAGATGGCGGCGATCATGAGACTCCAGAAATAGGAGCCGGTGTAGCGTTTGAAGGTGTTGAGGCAGAGGATGACCAGCTCGATGGCATTGCACCAGGCCAGGGCGATGAGGATGGGGAAGACATATTCTTCGACGGTGGTGTCCAAGTGCCGTGTTAAGCCGGTGGGATTGTTGGACGGGGTGTGGTCAAGGGTGAAATAGGGCATGAACGGAGGGCATGGATGGGATGGAAGAGGAGTATAGAGGAAGATGTATGTGATGGTATAGATAGTCCTCCGGAGATGTGGAGAGGATCGCAGCAGGAGGAGGCGAAGACGCCGTCGCAAAAGTTGGCCGATGGATGGCCGAATCGGGTTATGGGCGGATTGATCGAAGCCGGCCAATTGCGTCATGGATCTTGGGAGATTGATTTGGCTGGTGGCTTGTGACTGGTGGGAGATAGCAGGCGGCGGATACAATGGCCAATGACAGGTTGGTAATACTGCTAATCTATCCCTCTTCCGGCCAGTCCCTGTCGGCTAGCGCTCGCCTCCTGATTGGTGACCGTTTGCCGGTACGGTACGAACCCCCCTGATACGGGACGTACTTACCCGGGGGTGTTTGCCCGGTTTGTCCAGGCAACACGTCTCTGGTTTCTGAGATAGCTTCATTACTCCCCACTCCTCCGTGCAGACGAGACAGCAATGGCTGGGACACTGTGTGAAAGAGTCTGAGCTTTGTCTGCAGCTCAACCGAGGTCTTCTGCGCCTGCAGCAGCTACCATCGGATCGGAGCCATTTCCCGCCACTAACCCAATGGAGCCGGCCAGGAACAAATTTCATCGATCCTGCCTCTGAAATTTCCGAGCTGGCGTGCGAAGACGCTGGGCAATCATGATTCCCCGCGCGACCTTTGACTTGACCGGCAAAAAGCCTCTTTATCGCCTTTCCTCCACCGCCGCGCCCTATCCGGCCTATAACCAACCTCGCTATGGAGTTGCCTCCCCGGCTGGCACGCAAAGTCCCCAGACTCCCAATCCGATGCCTGTGAATCAAACGCCATCTCATCCTCCAGCACCACAGCAAGGCCCCGGTAACACGCCTCAAGTGCTTCAGCATCCACTGCAGCAGCCCCAGACCCCACAGCTGCAAACCTCTCACCCCCCACCGAATCACGCCCAATCCCCGGCACAGTTTCCGCAGGTTCTCACCCCGTACAAGGAGAATGGAGATGGAACGGGCATTGCGGACGGGAACCCACACACTGCGAGGCGCCGAGGGAGAATGCTGTTCGACCACGAACTGATCATTCTCTTCAAAGGGTGTGTCGAGCGAAAAGACATGTACCTGAACGATCCCAACCGGGCGGTGTTTTGGGACAACGTGGCGGGTTACATGAACCAGCTGACCGGGCGGCACTTCTCGTCATCGTCCTATCAGCAGATCGTGACAGACCGGAGCATTGAGCGTCGGAAACGGCGCCGCGATGTTGCCAACGGGCAAGGCAAGGCGGAGCCCACCAGCGCCCTGACTGCCGCGATCGATCAATGGATTGCCATGGAAGATCAGCTGCTGAGGAGAGAGACAAGCGAGAATACACCACTTCTCCAGAAACGACCCGCCCCGGACGTTCCAAACACGCAAGATGCCGACCGGGCCAAACGATTTAGACCGCAGCCGACGACTGGCGCTCTTCCCAACCCTCCCGAGACGCGTTATGAAGTCGGAATAAACGATGTCACCCAAGCGCTGGCGCAAGAAGTACGGGATCTACGACAGGAGATGGGAGTGATGCACCAGAAATTGGACATGATTTTGCAGGCTGTCAGGGAATTGAAAGAGAAATAAGGCCATGTCTGTACCCATAATCCAGCCACTGGCTTCTGGGCAGTCGGATCCCAAAGGCAATTCGAGCGACAATGCCTATAGCAAGGGATGCGTTGCGTACGGGTCTGACGCTCGGATCGGCGCAAGCTCGGTCGTTGCGAACAGCCGACGCCGCTCAACCCCTCAGTCCCCGCATCTACACTTGAATCAAGTTCTCCCGGCCATTCTGCACCAGGCTTCTATCTCATATTTCATCCGTATTGTCGACCAAGCACCTATCCCATCATGGCCCCCGTTTTTCGTGCTGAACAAATTGGCTCTCTGCTCCGGCCCGAGGAGCTGTTGGCAGCCCGCGATGCCGCTGGACTGGCGCATGTTTACACCCGGACCACTGTGCCGGAAAGTCTGCAACAAGTGACCGAGCAGGCGATCGCCAGAGTGGTCGAGCAGCAGCAGGCTCACAACGTACGCCCCATCATGACCGGAGAGTATGAGCGACCGATCTACTACGCGGGGTTTTTCGAGAACCTTCAGGGGTTTGAAATGACCCAGGTACCCATCCCGGAGGGATATCGCACCGGGCTTCCGACCACCTCCACCATCCTGAGGCTGGGGATCAAGAAGCGGGATGCGTGCGTGGCTGTGGGCAAGATCGAGCATGTGCACAGCCCTTACCTGGCCGACTGGGAGTATTTGCATAGTCTGGTGCCGCGCGACCAGTGGAAGGAGTGCAAGCTGAGCATGCCGTCCATCACCTGGCATCACCAGCATTTGCGGCCTGGTACCGCGTTTACTGCCTCGAGTCCGTACACCACCGACAAGGAGTATTTTTCGGATCTTGCCAAGACATTTGCACAAGAGTACCGGATTCTGTATGAAGCCGGCCTGCGGTCCATCCAGGTGGACGATCCTGCCATGACCTTCTTCATCACGGATGAAATGCGATCGGGGTGTGTAACGGATGGCATCGATCCGGATGAGCTTCTGGACCTGTATATCTGGGCGCACAATGAAAGTCTCAAGGACCGGCCGGCGGACCTGCACATCGGCGTGCATCTCTGCCGGGGCAATATGCCTGGATCGACCCACATTCTCAGTGGGTCGTATGAGCGGATTGCGCAGCGCATGTTTACGGGGCTAAACTATGACACATTCTACCTGGAGTACGACACGGAGCGGGCGGGCGACTTCCAGCCGCTGCGGCATTTACCGGTGGGCAAGAACGTGGTGCTGGGCGTGGTGTCCACCAAGGAGACGGCGATGGAGCAGATAGATGAGCTGGAGGCCCGGGTGTATGAAGCGGCAGATGTGATTGCGCACGGCCAAGGACGGAGCCGGCAGGAGGTGCTGGACAGCACGCTAGGAGTGAGCCCGCAATGTGGTTTCTCCAGTGCGAGCCGAGGCCGGGGCATTGGAATGACAGAGGCGTGCATGTGGGAGAAGCTGCAACTGGTGCAGAAAGTAGCCGAGCGGGTGTGGAAGAGCAGCAGCGGCAGCAGCAGCAGGAGCTAGAGATATTGCCAGGCGCGACTAGACATCGGTTAGGTGTGATGGCGTGTCAGAATAATGAAGATCATCACCGTGAAGACACATGTCCGGCTGCCAGGCACGCCCGTTGCATGATGCATGGCGCTAGAGGCCACCGGCCAAAGTCACTAAGGACTGCCATCCTGCAGGATGGCTCGCACGTGGCCAACCCGTTGGGTTCCGAGCCTCCGACGGCTTCCGTCCGCAACCCTGACACTTTGACATTAACAAGCACAACTGGGTCCTCGGTTTCGGCACATTCCCGCCCCGGCCATGCTTAATGCTTTCTGCACAAGTTTCTGGCGGACTGGGCTAGGATCTATATAGCTGGCCCGTTGGCACGGCCTCCATCAATCTAAATCGCCCACTATCTGTCTGTCCGCCCGCCAATAATCCGTGGCCCCTTCACCATGCACCTCCGTCTGGCGCTGTCGCTGCTCCCCCTCACCACCCACGCCATCAACATCATCTCCTCCAACGATGATGGCTGGGCCGAGATCAATATCCGCACTTTCTATGACTCTCTCACCGCTGCCGGCCACTCGGTGGTGATCTCCGCCCCGGCAGAGAATGAGAGTGGAACCGGTAATGTCCTCCACTCACTTCAATGCCCTGCCACTGACTGATTTGTCTAGGTTCTGATGATGCCACCCCCACCAACCTGACTGAAGCGTGCGAGTTCAACAGCTGCCCCTCAGGGAGTCCGGCGTACGGCTACAATGCGTCCGAGCCGCGGTGGAACTACGTTAATTCGTACCCGGTCACCTCGATCAAGTATGGCATCAACACGTTGTCGGAGAAATTCTTCAGCGGCTCCCCCGCCCTCGCCGTGACCGGGCCTAACGTCGGCGCCAACCTGGGCCTGTCGGTCTTCTTCTCTGGCACGGTCGGGGCGGCGACCTACGCGGCGAAGCAGGGCATCCCGGCCATCGCCTTCTCCGGTAGCACGGGCTCGCAGACGGCGTGGAACGTGAGCGTGCCCACCTACAGCACCGTGTACGCGGAGCTGTCGACCAAGCTGGCGGACGCGCTGGTTGCCTCGGGCACACCGTACCTGCCGGACGACATCTGGTTGAACGTGAACTTTGGCGCCGTCAGCGACTCGAGCTGCACCAGCGCGGACGACTTCAAGTTTGTCTTGTCGCGTATTTTCACCGCCATCCCGCTCATCTCCGGCGACGACGTCGAGACCTGCGACAACGACAAGCGCTTGCCCACGGAAACCAAGGTGGTGGACTCGGACGGTTGCTACGCCAGTGTATCGGTGGGAACTGCGAGCGACAAGCTGGACGCGAATTCGACGATTCAGGGCGTGGTGCTGGAGAAGCTATCGGGGCTATTGACGTGCTTGGACTAAGCCTGCCACACCGTGTACATCCTGCCACCATGCCTAGATTAGTAGACCCGCCAGCCCTAAATCCTGAACTCAATCCGCGTGGTCCAAGCCCTGTTGATCATTGGCTAGGGTTGGGACGTCTCATCGATAGATTAATGTCTTGCGTTATTAATTTAGCCTCGCAAGGTCTCCGAGCCCTCCAACACCCCTCCATCGCACCTGACCCGGTTCCTGACATGTGGCGTCAACCGGGAGGATTGTGCTTGATGAATCCTGCAGCAGGAGTACGAGGCCGTGAGGAATCCCTCCGAGCTGTGCCCCACCGCGTCGCTCTCAGCTCCTTACCTGCCGATCCTTGATCCTGTCGTAGACATAAAAGGGTGATCCTCCCGGTAGAGCTTCCCCTAATTAACAATCACGATTCCTCATTCTTTCATACAAGCTAAGAATCATAAGAATCATAAGAATCAACATGTCCCTCCGCACCCTCCTCCTCGCCGCCTCCACCATCTGCCTCGCGCAAGCCAAACCCCGGCTGCACGCCCGCGACTGGATCGCCAGCGACGAGATCGTCGGCTTCAACCAGACGGTGCCGGATGACGCCACGGGCGATTTGTATCTGGCGTATCAGCCATACTTGAAGGTGGTGAATGGGTGTGTGCCGTTCCCGGGTGTGGATGCGGAGGGGGATACCGAGTAAGTTATGCCTGTCTTAGTGCAGTCCCTCAGGGTCTTAATATGGGTGGCTTCCACCAATCACATCACCCGCCCGTTTTCTTGCGTTATCTACACTTGTTTCCTCTCACCCTGACCCATCCCCTCCCCCCTCTTCTCAATACTGACCAAAAGGTATAGCGCCGGCCTCTCCCCCACCGGCTCCTCCGACGGCGACTGCAGCTCCAACACCGGCCAAATCTACATCCGGAGCAACATCACCACCACCAGCACCCCATCCACCTCCTCCCCCGCCGCGCTCCTCTACAGCTGGTACATGCCCAAAGACGAACCCAGCACCGGCCTCGGCCACCGCCACGACTGGGAAGGCGTAATCATCTACCTCTCGTCCACGGCCACCATTTCCGCAGACAACATCCTCGCCGTGTGTCCCTCCGCGCACGGCGGCTGGGATTGCTCCACGGACGGATATACCCTCTCCGGCACGAAAGCGCTGATTAAGTATGAGAGTATTTGGCCGTTGGATCATAGTTGTGGGTTGACGGATGTGGTGGGCGGGACGCAGCCGTTGGTGGCGTGGGAGAGTTTGACTACTGCTGCGCAGGATGCGTTGCAGACGGCGGATTTTGATAAGGCGATTGTGCCGTTTAAGGATAGTACGTTTGATGAGAATTTGGCCAAGGCTACTTATTAGTTCTTGGGGTTGTATTTATCTACTGTGGAATATTATTGGCTAGGAATTGATGAATGCGCTACGTTTGAGGGTTATTGTGGACGAGTAAGGTAATTGGTCTTTGTTTATTAGTGTAGGGTTTTTAGCCAGAGTAAGATCTAGGTGTATTTGTTGATAGTAGAGGTGTGAGCAATGAGATTTTGTCTAAGTAAGCAGTGTTATTGGAGACCGTTCGAGATAGCACTTGCATGGTTATTCATGCATAAGCTGTTGATTTATCTCGTAGATTTAATTTATGAAGGTATACTAATGAATATGCTGCGTGTGGCAAGTCAAGTGATATTGTAGCTATAGTAGCAAGTATGTGGCAAGTATGTAGCAAGGTATCTAAGCACTAGCAATGCACTGGTAGTAGTAAGGGTTGTACGAGTGGCAGCTCGCGCCCGAAGCACACTGAGTAGCACCGCTGTAGTTGATACCACCGCACTGGCCGTACAGAGACTGAGTGCCGCTGGAGCCCGCAGCAGCAGAGGTGACAACCGGAGCAGAGGTGATGGTCGACTCGGGCTCAACCGAGGTGGCAGCCTGGGGAGTGATGGTCACCAGGGTGGTCCAGGACGAGGGAACCTGCACCGGGATCTGGGTGTAGGTCGAGCTGGCGCTGGCGACCGGGGTGCTGCTGCTGGTGGCCACAGCCGTGTCGGCAGCAACGCTGGTGACATCGGCAGCGATGGAAGTCTCAGCAGCAGTGGTAGCAGCGGCAACGCTGGAGGAGGCCGTGGCGACGGCGCTGGCGCTAGCGCTGCCCGTGGCGGCGGTACCGGTCGAAGTGATGGCCGAGGTGGTCTGGGTGATGGAGACGGCGCCGGTGTACAGGGAAGGACCGGGCACGGTGTAGGTGCTCAGGGTCGAGTAGATGTTGACTAGGATGCCGTTCTCAGTGGCCGTGTAGAGCTCGGTACCCAGAACACCCGAGGGGGTGGCCGTGCCGGTACCGGTGACCTGCAGGTTGAAGCACTGGGGGTAGTTCTGGGCACCATCCTCTTCCTCGGCGCTGTGGAGAGCGATGAGCTCGTGGCGAAGGACGTAGTTGCCAGGGGCAATGGACGGGGGGATCTCGACCATCCAGCTGTTGTTGTTGTTGATCAGCTGGTCGGTACCCCAGGTACCGGGGACCTCGGTGTCGCTGACCAGACCGACACCGTCGATCTTGAAGAACTCGAGGGTGGTCTTGTCGACCGTCTCGCAGCTGTCACCGCAGTTCGCCAGGAAGTCCAGGACGGGACCGTGGTGGGAGTCCGGCCAGGCAGTCCACTGGATGTTGACCTTCTCACCGGCACCGACGACAACGTGGGCCTGGGCGTTGGTGGCGTTCTCGTGGCAGATGATGTTGGGGTTGCGGTAGTCATCGGGCGAGATGAAGCCGTTGCCAGTGTTGGGGGTCGTCCAGGCAGCCACCTTCGGGGGGTCGGTCTCGTAAGGGAAGGAGTTGATGTCGAAACCCTCGTAGTAGACACCATCCACGACGATGTTGGTGACGTGACCGTGGGCGGCAACCTGGGTGGCCGACAGCAGGGCCGTCAAGAGAGAGGCAGACTGAGCGTGACGCATTGTGATGCTAGTGGGTTTTTTTTGGAAAGAAAGAAAGGTAGAGAATGTAAGTGATTGTAGAGTAAAGAGCGAGCGATCCTGCGCAAGGAATGTGGAAGGCCTCAATCAATGAAGCGAGAAGTAGTGAAGAGAATGATGAAGAGAAGACTTGCTTGAGGAAAGAATCAACGAGTCGAGGTGCCATGGCCTTTTTAAATCCTCATCGCGCCCTGTCAAGATTGCTGGATACTCTAACTGTGTCACACTTCAAACCACCGCTGGAGCCATGAACCCACCTGGAGTCGGTCTGACCACCGCGGCGGGGACCAGACTGGCCGTTCGGAAGCGCTGGAGCAATTAAGGTGAGGGCGACTCGGCGGTAGGGCAGGGGCAAGTGTTCCAGATGGCGCCGATCCGTCTGATATTGAAGCTATCGGCCGGCTAGGGTCTTGGCTGTCGGAGATTTTCACGCCAACGCCCGACCATTCTGTCACTCGCAAGTGAGCTTATTTCTTGTCAGTTTCATTCCAGCGAAGCTTCTTCTAGTGCATTGTGGCCGTTTGCGAAGAACATGTTCATGTTCACGATGATTACGCCGATGTCGCCTGACTTCTGCCCGGGTTAAAAATAGGCGCGAACATGGTGGATCCGCCGCACTAGCCACTCCAGAGTCAATAGCTCATCGGAAAAATGCTGGCCAGACTCACATAGATTAAACCTGGCCCTGGCTGGTGTTCCCCACCAATCAGCTGCCCCCGAGGCTGGACAGCCGCCGTTCCTGCAGCAGCGCCGTCCCTGACAATTTTCCTCCAGCCAACGCCCGCCACATCCGACCTCCGAGAGAGACTCCAATGACATTCAAGTGGATCATCCAGAACCTGTATTGCAGCAGTACAGAGTATAGCTCAAGCACATGCCATCCACCGTTGTAGTGGACCAAATCTGCTGACCGACACGCGTTGCCTGGTTCTGCCCACGCCCTGGCTAGGGTCCAGGGTCCACGCGCCTCCTGAGAATAGTGTGAAGCTGTCCGCAAGCCTTGCATGAATGCAGCGCTGTTCAGCCACCAGCGTTGTCGGTTCGACCATGACGACATGCCAATCTCTACAACCAGCATACAGCATGGCCGTGCGACGACAAGCAATGTTAAGATGCTTAAGCAATTAACCTTATCCGAGACATCATCACGGTAGCAAGCCGAATGCCAGCGACGGTAGTGCTGTGGCGGGACTGGCCTGTGGGTACTCCTGAAACGGCTCCTCCTTAGTCCACCACCCTGTCACACTCACGACTCATGATACATCACCGCACGGCCTGTTTTCCTGGTAGCTCCTAGTCGGATAGCCGCCGTCTTCGGTGAGTAAGCGGCATTACTTTTCGGGGCAGGACGAGGGGCGAAAGCAGCCAAGGTGGAGAACCAGCCTTTGACCGTGCAGGTAAAGACGATATTGCAGGGGCTTCTGAGTGCCAAAGCAGGATCTAGATGACCCTTACAATGGTTTGTGGATGCCACCTTCCTAGAGCATACTCGGACTCTCGAGCGCGTAGGCGCCGGGGCATCTCAGCCGATCCTATCACAGCAACACACGACCTGCGGGTCAGCCAAGATGATGCTGCTAGTGATGTCACTATATGCAGCATAGCCTTGGGATCATGTTGTTATTGGGGAACTCATTTACCCCTGGTGGTGGTCGTTTGGCATCCAAATTGGACAGGTGCTATAATGACAACCCAAAAAAGGCCGTCATGCATCTAATCCGGGATCTGAGACACCAACAATTCAAAGGACCACTACATGACATGGCTAGAGTTCAACGGTTGCTCGGATCTGACTCGTCATATTGCCAATACCCTTGCCCCTTCGCCAGGGGTTTGACCTAACAGGCTACCATATACATATCTCGGGCGCGAGGGATGTCGCATTCGTCGCATCCACCCAGACTGCTCTTGGTCTGACGACAGCGAGACTGTGCACTCTCAGATGACCTGAAGCGCTGCAGCTGCCTTGGGATATGCTCTCGGTTCGCATCGATTCTGATTTGACCGACCGTGGTGCTCGTTTTTGGCCTAGGGTGCCCAGACTGTATCTTCTAGGCGCCAAGATGCTCGAGTCAGAACTAGCGGAGGCTCGCAAACTCTGCCATGAAGCAACCTCGAGAGTGGCTGCATGAAGCCTTCCACATGCCCAAGGCCTGGGCATCTGCGCCCAAGAACAGGTCTGGGGTCGCCGGATACGGGAATGGTACTTTGATGCAGAACAAACTCATGTGCTCACCCCCTTCTGATGAATGATGAAGACTGGACAACGAGCTTAAGTAGGCCCATCGCACGGCGGCTCTGTCCGTCCACGATACTCTACGTTGCGTTCTGAACCACCTGTGCGTGGTGTCTCACTTGTATCTTCAACGGCACGCTCTGAGTCACAATGAGCAACAAGGGAACTGACCCTGAGGCACCATCCTCGACATCCTCTCATCTTGAATCTCTCTCCAAGGAGAAACAAGATGAAAAGGTGGCTCAGGACTGGACTCGCGATGTAGCCGAGAAGAGTGCACTACATCCACGAAGCTGAAGAACCCACCGGCTACCCTGACCCGGGATGAGCTCTTCAGGGATGTAGAGTCGTTCGCACGCGAGAAGAACTTTGGAGCACATAATAAACGAGCTAAAACGGGGCGCTCTGGTAGCTCAAGATCCAAAATCGTTTGAAAAGCTTGACGAACTATCCGAGGGTAAGAAAAAGCTCCTCCGTCGTGAAAAAATCCCATGGATGGAGCCCGCCATTTATGATGCACTTTATGACCAGTGAGTACGCCCACCCAGGGCACATTCAGGTCTGACCATGTAGTACTCTGCGCTGGTTCGGCAATCGTCCAAGGTATGGACCAGACAGCAGTCAATGGTGTGCAGGCGTATGTAATATCTCCAATCATCTGGATGTATGCTAAAAATGGCAGATTCTACTTTGCCGAGTTCAACGTCACAAATACCTGGCAGCAAGGCCTCCTGAATGGCGCCCCGTACCTATGCTCGGCACTCATAGGATGCTGGACAACAGCGCCAGTGAATCGCTCGTTTGGGCACCGGGGATGCATCTTCATCTCCTGTTTCATCTCCTTTGCCTCGTCCTTTTGGATGGCAGCGGCACACACCTGGTGGAATCTTCTCCTAGGCCAGTTCCTTTTTGGTTTCGCGGTCGGTGCCAAGTCAGCCACAACTCCCGTCTATGGAGCCGAGTGCACTGCTACCATCATCCGTGGGGCGTTGGTCACGATGTGGCAAATGTGGACGGTGTTCGGGATCATGCTTGGTTATATTGTCTCGGTCGCATTCATGGATGTGACGCATCCCACTATCCCCGGCTCCAACTGGAGATTGATGTTAGGATCGACTACCATCCCGTAAGTCCACTTCCGCCTTCCTGGTCACCTCTCTGGGATGCGGCATCATCAACTGGATCGTTGCTCTCCCAGCCGTGTACACCATCGACACGTTCGGTCGGCGGAATCTCCTACTGTCCACTTTTCCACTCATGAGCCTGTTCTTGCTCTTCATCGGCTCTTCATTCTATATCCAGATGACACCTCGCGAACCGCGTGCGTGGCAACGGGTATATACCTCTTCATGGTGGTGTATTCCCCAGGCGAGGGACCGGTCCCTTTCACATATTCTGCAGAAGCATTCGTAAGTTACTTGCACCAGTATATGAAAGGTCTTGCTGATGAACGCACAGCCACTGTACATCCGCGACGTGGGCAAGCCATTCGCAACAGCAACAACCTGGGGCTTCAACTTTATTGTCTCTTTGACGTGACTACCACTGCGGGACGCGTTCAGCCCGCAAGGAACGTCTGGCTGGTACGCACCCTGGAATATCTTCGGTTGGATCTTCTGTTATTTCTGTCTGCCGGAGACCAAGGCGTTATCGCTGGAGGAACTGGATCAACTTTTCTCGGTGCCGACGACGAAGCATGCCAAGCATTATGCGGGGATGTTGCCGTGGTATGTGAAGAAGTATATCCTGCGTGGAGATGTGCCGCCGCAGAAGCAGCTTTATGATTATGAGTAGTTGGAAGCAGAGAGAAAGAGGAAGAGGAAGAGAGGGAGAGGGAGAGGAAGAGAAGAAGAGGAGAAGAGGAGGGAAGATGGCAGGGATGGGGGATGCTGGATGCCTGCCAGGCTAGGCAGACATCGATCCCCTGCGCTCGTACTACTGATACAGTGTCTTATTCAGTCATTATGTTCGGTCGCCCATTCTTTACTATCCAAGAGATAGGAATGTCTCTTCGGTCCCGGCAATTCCTATACGCCCGCAGCAGAGCCCCCAGATTGCTCTGATATCATAGTGTTCTTCACTAGGACTGGAGATATAATGGTGTACGCCTACGCACGCTGGGTGAGAGGGATCTTCCATCTCCGTCGATGATTACTCAATTGCAACTAACATTCATGACCTGGCACAACTCAGTGATAAACATTGGCAGAATACTCGGACATTTGCAGTCATTTAACACGGCATTGATATACTACTTAAGGTTGCCATGAGTATCACTGTACCACCAGACTGCAAACTTCAAGCGAAGATGTGTATTCCACCATGTCTGACCTGGTAGACTAAAACATTATGGAAAGAGATGGATGTCTCCGGGGACCATTTTGGCTTGGTCTTCTCCATGAAATGCCCTCAGCATTCGATACTGGTGAAAGCCAACAACGTTCTCTGGTACCTTAAGGGAACGAGCGATTCGTGACGACACACTTTCTTGAATTCTCGCAAATGATATCGGATCACCGTATACTGTTAGACAGATTGAGAAGAGGCGATTGTTCAAGAGGATCCATAGAAATTACTCACGGCCAATGATAGATTTAGACCTTTCCGCAATGGAATTTGATGTCGAGATGCGCGTAGAGAAGTCAAATTAGAAACGACGCACGGCTAGATCGCTTTATTCAACCACTTGGCGAGACTTTGAGTTTCCCGACACCACGATAGCTAGTTCAAGCAAAGCGGATTCTCGTGTGCCGATCCAATAAATCTCCAATTGACTACCACGTGGAGCGAATCCGGTGGCATCAACGGGATGCCCCAGACGGACCAGAGCCTGGGGAAAGCTTTCGACAGTCTAGTGACTTCACGAAGGAGCTTAGGGAGTTGCATCCGGGCAGGTATTCTAGGTTGTTGACATCGGATGTTTTCGTACTGCAAGATGGCTCTTTTCCGCTTCGTAGATTACGGCTTGTTCTTGTTCTGGTATATAGTTGTGGCACACTTAGAGAGGATCATGATAGGCCATCCGAAGGGTTCCTGTTGGTCGGTTATATATATCCGAAATGAATCTCGAAGGGTATGTCAAAGCCGCTTAATCGCCAAGATTCTGCACTCCCCCAGTTGTTGCCTTCAGTATATGAGATATATTATGAGCATTCCCATACAATATGCCAGTCGAGGAACAGTATTCGAATAAGTAATGATTAGTAGGAGGTCCGTATAGAGTATGTTAGGAGGACAAATTGCTCTGGGAGAATAGATGCAATGATCCGGTATATGTAGTGAGATATGCGTCCAACCATTGTGAATGCCCTTGTAGGTGGCAGCTTTATCTAACTGGTGAATCCTGGTAATGAATATGACACCACATGATGCTCGTATGTATGAGTGACAACGGGTACGATCATTCGATCCCTGTTCTAGAAGAATTTGAGCCGTCATCGGCGGGATCACCCAATGGCGACCCCGGTCGGGCCTCCCTTCTTCATGCAGACAAGTGCCGGGTCCGTTCTCCAATTCGCCGGCTTGGCAACGATGGCCATTGGCCAGGAACCTGAGGCGGAGCGGAGCGCCCCACGGGTGTGGGCTCGCGAATTAGGTAATGGGAAGTTGAATGGGTGCAACGTTAGGATCCACCCACACAGGACCGCCGCCGCAAATTTGAAGTGCTGTTGAGACTTAAGACTCCGCATCGGAGGGTGAGTCAGAGGGCGGTCATTTGTCAGTTTGCATTCCTCCCGGACAACTGAACCTTTGACGGTTGACAAGTTCGTGCTAGGTTCTTGCTGTGTGTCCATGTAGAGCTGGTAGGGCTGTTGTTCATACCTTAGACGCCAGAACCTTGCCGCCGCCAGTTTCTTCACCGACCCACTCCTCGTCACGTTGCATCTGTCTCATCGCGCCGTGAGGCCAGTTGGGATTTTCACCTCCCATCTCCGCAGCCATGGCCCATCCGTCTGGCCATCCCTCTGGCGACAAGGCCCAACCCGGTCTCAATGTGCAGACGGGCCAATTCTTCCAGGATGCTCGTGACGGGACCAACCTGCATGATGCGGAAGAGAAGCAGGACGACAAGAAGGGTGACTCGATGTACAATGACACCTTTGGGGATGAAGAGTATGCTGAGGTCAAGTACAAGGTCTTGAGCTGGTGGTATGTTCATTCCTCCTTTGTCGCTTTAGCGACGACTGACTGATATTTCCAGGCAATGCGGCTTTCGTGAGTGATACTACTAGCTGGCTGCACCTTTGTTTACTGACCAAACAGTCATGGTTGCTGAGACCGTTTCTCTGGGTATTCTGTCCTTGCCTGCCGTTGTTGCAGAGCTGGGTCTGGTTCCGTATGTCTTCGTAATCGGTGGTCAATCGTTTTTCTAATGCGATACAGCGCTATTATCCTCTTGCTCGGTCTGGGTCTGCTGGCTACTTATACCGGTTACGTCATCGGCCAGTTCAGATGGGCCTATCCGCATATCCAAAGCCTGGCGGATGCTGGCGAGATCCTTCTTGGGCCCATCGGTCGTGAGGTCTTTGGAACAGGCCAGCTCCTACTGGTGGTCTTCATCATGGCGAGCCATCTTCTGACCTTTTCGGTCGCCATGAACACCATCACTGACCATGGGACGTGCACCATGATCTATGGCGTCGCGGGCCTGGTGATCTGCTACATCCTGTGCTTACCTCGGACATCTGCGAAGATGTCCTATCTCTCCGTCGCCTGTAAGTGCCAACAGTTGCTGTTGCTGCCGTTCAGTCTAACAATGGGTAGCTTTCATCAGTGTATTCGCTGCGGTACTGATTGTCATGGTTGCGGTTGGTATCGAGCGTCCTTGGAAGGGAAGCCTTGCCGCGACTGTGGATACCAGCTTGTACAAAGCGTTTCTTGCGGTCTGCAATATTGTCTTCTCTTTCTGTAAGTCATGCCATTCGATCCTATGAGGCTCCGCTGACAGCAGCAGCCGGCCACGTTGCCTTCTTCGGCTTCATGTCCGAATTGAAGGATCATCGGGAATACCCCAAGGCGCTTTGTCTTCTCCAGAGTATCGATACGATCCTCTACATTGTCACATCGGTGGTGATCTACATCTACGCGGGACCGAATGTCACGTCCCCTGCGCTCGGCTCCGCCAGTCCTCAGGTGGCCAAGATTGCTTATGGAATTGCTCTTCCGACTGTAAGTGCTTCCCGACTCACCTGGTCGCCTCTAACATTGGTAGATCATCATCGGCGGGGTTGTCAACGGCCATGTCGCCTGTAAATACGTCTATGTCCGTCTCTTCCGTCACGGGGATCACATGCACAGCCGGGGTCTGGTCGCGACGGGATCCTGGGTAGGCATCATGCTGGGACTGTGGGTGATTGCGTGGATTATCGCCGAGGCCATTCCGGTGTTTAGTGATCTGCTGAGTCTGATCGTATGTCTCTGCCTCTTTCGACTTGACTCGACTGACCGGAATCTAGGCATCCCTCTTCGCCAGTTGGTCTACTTGTAAGCAGCTTATCCCCATTGTCTAGTTACATACTAACCCAACACAGTCGGCTTCAGCGGTATCTTCTGGCTCTACCTCAACAAAGGCCAGCTTTTCTCTTCTCCCCGGAAAATCGCATTGACAATCCTCAATGTGATTATTGTCGGGATTGCCGCATGCATTGTAAGTACCCGTCCATCGTCATCAGCCCTTTCTAACCATGGTAGTGCGGTCTTGGACTCTACGTCTCGGGGCGGTCTCTTCACGATGACGCCAACAGCAACAGTTTCTCCTGTGCAAATAACGCCTGATAGATATATGAGATCTATGGTATATACGTGTAAAGTAATAGAGATATTTTCAGGTCTAATCAACCGATAATTGAACGGTACATATTCCACCACATATTATCCGATCACCCGCAGCCGAGATTCCTTCGGCCCGCGCCAAGGTCCGCCAAGACCACCGCTGCCCGGCAGTCTTGGCGAGGCTGTGAGCAGTCACGCTGGTTGGGAATCCGGGTTGTGCGGTTAAGCAGGTCGGTATCTTCTGGATGAGGAGCATGAAGGAGGATCCAAGTATGATGGGGGCGACGTAGCTGTCGTGCTAGGTGCATGGGTGTCGCGGAAAATATTTATATGGGGCCAGCGCCTAGGGAAATGAGGTGCAGCAACCGACCGACGCACGTGCTTTTCCCCGTGGGGACTGTTTACCCCCTCTTTTCCCTACCTTAAACCTTTTGCCTCCGGGGATGGTGCCACCCAACATGAGGCAGACCATGATGTTTCACCCACCACAACCACGATCGTAGCCTCTTCGGCCATCCTTGATGTATCAAAGCAGCCGATCTCGTCTGTGCGACGTCTGTGCCGACCGAAGCGCCAACTATCTCCCACCTCAAGCAACGGCGGAGTCAAATTTCCTAGCGCCACGTACCTCATGCCACACGTGGAGAGATGCCCACATGCTCAAAATCCAACAGCTGCACTCCAGCTCGCCATGATGCAATGTCGCTTCGGCTATGTTGACTTGTGTAGCCACTGGTTGGCAGGGGAAGAAATGATCAGCGTCAGTTGTCTTGGCTGCAGTCACCGCCGTGCAACCGGAGATTGCCTTTCACACAAAGTTTGGAAGGGAAATCCGCCATTGACGCGATGCGGCATTTCTGTCCAACGGCTTGGCGGTTGGTTGTTTCAGCTGCAGGTGGCAGCTGGTTGCAACAGGTATTTTGTCTATTCTTTGTATCACATAGCTAGACAAAGCCTCGCAGGAGGTATGCTGTTGTGGGTGTTGGTAGAGGTATAGTAGTATCAGACTCACCCATCCTGAACAGCTCAAAATCCATCAACAACCCATCACTGCACTTATCCCACCACCTCGGAATACCAGCCTATTGAAACCGCTGCTCTCGGGTATCCTTCCTTCGACGGCGGTGTCTTCCGCTTCCCTGGGACCAAGAGCTCGGCATGGCGCTGCCCAGCTCTTGGCCCGGAGCCAAGGAGGGCGGCTGCCCGCGCACGGCGCATCTCCGCTTCCCTCGTCGAATCCCATCCTCTCGATTCTGCCGATACCACCCGATGGTTCAAGCGAGAGTCAAGTAGAGTTTTCAGCCAGGGATCCTGGTCGTCGAAGCAAGCAATGGTGCCGACCTGGTCCGATGGGGCACCCCGCAGGAGCCTCGGTTTTTCCGGGGTACACACAAGATATAAGACTGGTCGTCTCCGTCATGCTGAGTTTTGGGTACTGCATCTTTTTTCAGATCCAAACATCGCCATGTCTTCAGTGCCTACCTTCGCCGGCTTGTCCGGTCGAAAGTTGATGTGGTCGGTGACCTCATGTGCAACCTTGGGCTTTTTACTTTTTGGCTATGACCGTAAGGTTCCGACTTCGCTTAGGGTTTAGGAGTCAGCTAATGATTGCAGAGGGTGTGATGAGTAGTATCATCGATGCTGACCCGTTTAATGATGTTTTCACGGCTACAAGAGACAACTCGACCATGCAGGGTGTGGTCACTGCGATTTATGAGCTTGGTAAGTAAACACCTTGGGTCTGAAGCCTAGTCTAACATATTTAGGCTGCCTTGGCGGCGCTCTGTTTATTCTTGGCTGCGGTGATTGGCTTGGCCGCAGATATTCCATCATGTTGGGGGCTACCATCATGATCATCGGAGTCATTCTCCAGATCACGTCTTTCTCGGGACATGTTCCGCTGGCCCAATTCTGCATTGGACGTGTGGTCACCGGCATTGGAAACGGCATGAATACGTCGACGATTCCCACTTACCAAGCAGAGTGCTCGAGAACCTCCAACCGTGGTCTGCTCATTTGTATTGAGGGCAGCACCGTGGCAATCGGAACCCTAATCTCCTATTGGATTGACTTTGGGGCCTCTTACGGCCCCCCGGACCTCACCTGGCGATTCCCCATTGCCTTTCAGATCTTCTTCGGTCTGCTCATTATCTTGGGTCTTTTGTTTCTGCCAGAGTCTCCTCGATGGCTGTTCACGCAGGAGCGCTACGAGGAAGGCGAGCGAGTCATTGCCGCGTTGCAAGGCAAGGAGATCAGCCACCATGATGTTCAACTGCAGAAGACCATCATTCTGGATTCCCTGCGCGCGTATGTTCCCGGACCCCAGCGAATGCTCCCGCTAACCTCTGTAGTTCTGGCATGGCCACCAAATCTACCCCCATGTCGGCCGTGTTCACCGGTGGCAAGACGCAGCACTGTCGCCGCATGTTACTGGGCTGCTCGTCCCAATTCTTCCAGCAAATCGGTGGATGCAACGCCGTCATCTACTATCTCCCAGTCCTGTTCCAACAATCCCTGAACCAAACCGAGTTCATGGCCATGGTCCTCGGAGGCGTCAATATGATCGTCTACTCCATCTTCGCGTGCCTGTCGTGGCTGCTGATCCAAAAGGTCAGCCGACGCAAGCTCTTCCTGGCCGGCTCCTTTGGCCAGAGCGCCTCGATGATCATCACCTTTGCCTGTCTCATCCCGGGCGATGCGCAGGCTGCGAAAGGTGCCGCCGTGGGTCTGTTTACCTTTATCGCGACGTTCGGAGCGACGTGGCTTCCGCTGCCCTGGCTCTACCCGGCCGAAATCTCGCCCATCAAAACGAGAGCCAAAGCGAACGCCATCTCGACCTGCACGAATTGGCTCTTCAACTTTCTCATCGTGATGGTCACGCCCATCATGATCCGGAACATCAAGTGGGGCACGTATCTCTTCTTCGCCGTGATCAACGCCTTGTTCATCCCGATTATCTACCTGTTCTACCCCGAGACCTCGGGGCGGTCGCTCGAGGAGATCGATTTGATTTTCGCCAAGGGATACGTCGAGAAGATGACTTATGTGCGGGCGTCGAAGGAACTGCCCCATTTGACGGATGAGGAGATTGAACAGGTGGCCATTCAGTATGGATTCGGGCCGGCGGACCAGGCCCCCAACGGGGATAGTGATAGTGCCGAGTTGGGGAAGACCGAGGTGGATCCGGAGAAGAACTGATGCGATGTGATGCAGTGTATGTATACCTTGCTATAGAGTGTGGTAATTAGATCGGCAATGGGTTGTTTTTTATCTAATAGGTGTCAATAAACACTGAGTAAAAGTGACCACGCCATCATGATTCACTGGTGACAGACACGGGATGCTAAACAGGAGCCATACCGTCAGGATTCACGCTAAACTAGCCACCGCAACTAACTGCAGACATTAGAGCCAGCCTCCGCTTCCATCCAGCCATACGGAGTAATGATAGCGTGATTGCACAATACTACCCCGATAAGATCCTCTCCTTAGGGCACCGGCCGTACCAGCCAGGATCCAATCTAATCATTCCATCACTACTGCAGGCTACCAATCATCCCCCACCGACCTCCCGGCCGTGATAAGAAATGCGGAGAAAGATACCTCCTTGATAAGAACGACTCCTCGGCCTGTCGTCCCCTCACCCTCACCATCCCAACCATGCCGTCGCCCTCGCCCTCGAGTACCGCTCGAGCTAGCACCTCCTGTCGTCGCTGCCACCGCCGGAAAAAGCGCTGTGATCGAACACTACCGCAATGCGAGACGTGCTTGCATGCGCGCGTGGCGTGTAGCTTCCTGGATGATGATCGGCTGGTGGGGACGTATTCGATTGCGTGAGTACCTGCTTATCTGATAACCTATTCATTCCTTTCTCATGCGCGCAGGTACGTCCAAGGATTAGAATCTCGGGTTCGAGAGCTCGAGAAGGAATTATCAGCAGTTCTTACATCCCCACGACCAGGTTTTGAATTCGACCCGCCCATCGTGAACTTCGCCACGCCTCCGGAGACAGATACCTTTGATGAGTTCCCTCTTCTCACACCCCCAGTGCAGGCGCGAAAGGATATTCTGGCCGAGGAGGTCAAGAGACTCTCCCTGGAGGCTACGGCAGAGCGACATCTGGGTTCGTCGTCGGGGTGGTCGTTTGCGAAGCTCACTCAGGCGGTTCTTCGACGGTTGTCGCCGGATAAGGCGGAGTTTGTGTTTGATGGTGTAGATGATGGGTTGGATGGGCCTCTCCCATCCTTCGACGATGCATCGGGCTCGCTTCTGGATTTCAATGCCTTTTCTTCTCCCTGTTTGTTCCATCAGCTCTCGCTGTCCCAGGTCCTGGAAGATGAGTCGGTGCTGGCTGATCTCCAGCTACCGGACAAGGGGCATATGACCTATTTGATGGACTTTTATTTTGCACACTCGCATACCCTGTATCCGATCATTCGACGGAATGAGTTTATCACGGTATTGTGGCGTGTGTATAACCATCCAGAGGAGCCGTTGGCAGGGTCGGCGCTGTGGATGTTTCGGGTCTGGATGGTTCTGGCCATTGGGTCGACCGCACACTCGTCGGTATCGTTGGTCGAGAAATCGGAATCGGTTCTCTACTATAATAAGGCGATGGGGTATTTTGAGGAGGCCTTCGAACTGGGTGATATGGTAGGTTGCCCTGCAATTTACAAGAAACGGGCTAAAGAGCCCAGGCTGCACTCGAGGTATTGATGCTGCAAGTATCGTACTCCTTCTTCAACCAGATCGGACCGAGTACGTCCTTCACCCTATTGATGTGCCCTACTAAGTGGATTGCAGATACATTCTTCCTCGTCGGCGTGGCCGCTCGCATGGCCATCGGAATGGGTCTTCATACCTCCTCGAGCTATGCCAATCTCTCGACCGACGTGATCGAGTATCGCAAACGAATCTTCTTCTCTCTCTACATGATGGACAGGTACGATCCCCACACCATCCCCTCCCCCACATTAACAAGAATAGAGTGGTATCCATCTCCCTCGGTCGTCCATTTGCCATCCACGACGACGACATCGACATCGAGGTACCCCCATCCCACCCCATCACCCTATCCCTCACCCTATCCCATCACCACTAACAAATATAGCCCTTCTCCGACATCGACGATGAACCCCCCCACCCCCTCCACCCATCCACCCTCTCCATCCCGCTCCACATCCTCTCCCTCCGTCGCATCGCCAGCGAAATCGCCACGACCGTCCACTCCCCCCGCACCACCCCCCTCTCCCTCCCCCAACGAGAACACCTCCTCCAAACCCTCCACAGCAAACTCCTCACCTGGCGCCGGACCATGCCCTTCCCCCTCCCCTCTACCCCCTCCCCAATCCCCCACCTCAGCACCAACTGGTACGACCTAAACTACTACACGCACCTAATGATGCTCTACCGCCCGTCCCCACTCTTCCCCTCCCTCGACGAACATAAAGTCAAGATACTGGCAATGGCCGCCGCCATGTCCATCCGTCAGGCCATGAACATGCACCGTCAGCACCGGTTCGCGTATAACTGGCTGAATTTGCTGACTGTGTTTCAGGCCGCGGTGGCATTGGTGTATGCCACGGTGGCGCAGCCGGAGGAGTTAGGCGGGGTGGTGAGGGAGGGAGGGGTGCGGGAGGATTTGGAATTAGTGGTGGAGTTGTTGGGGGTGTTTGGGGGGAAGTTTCGGGTTGCGGGACGGTTGGGGGCGTTGGTGAGGGGGGTGTTGGCGAGGTTGGAGTAGTGTTCATCGATGGATTGGCTCCGTCTTTCTGAGATAGGGGATAGATATGGGGAAGATGTCGATGTCTGGTAGGATCTTGCATGAGGGAACTGTCTACTAAATAAGCACCCCACTTCTATAAAACCCTAAGACTGCTTGCCTATGCCTATAGACCATTCCATCAACACCATCCACCCCCTCATTACATACCAATTCCAAGTTCCCAATGAACGAAGGAAGAAGAACATCTGCATCTGCAATATAACCCTCCCAGGCACTATCTCACACCTCACGGCCAGACACAAACAAACAGCACGATACATCTTCACCCACAACTTCTACGCCCTGTCCCGTTCGATATAAATCCAACAAACCCTACTTAATACCTCATGTCCCCTACACGCTCCCACATCCTGCCTACTTGGAAACCAAAACCACGCGGCAAATAACCGAATCCCCTCGCCTTAGGGTGTGCTTTGTTTGCTGGGTATATATATGATGGGTGATTAGTACTTGGTCTGGTCACTCATGATGATATATTTCTGCCTGCTGAAGACGAGGTACATGGTAAATGACCAATCTCCACGCCTTAGGGTGTGCGGGTGGGGGTGCTTGGGTAGGTTGGTTTTGGGGTATTATTTATATATTTAGGTTTTTGTAAGGGGTGACAGGGAGGGGTATATGTGGAGTGTGAAATGTGAACTGTGGAGAGGAAGACGAGGAAGGGGGAGGGAAGTATTAGGGTATATTTCATCTTTATTTGAAGATCTATGTTGAGGAGGATGATTCCAGAAATAGCCAGGTGTGTCACTGTTGATCAGTATTAATAGCGGTATTGTGGATAACTACAATCCAACCACAGAAAGCGTACTGAAGTGAACATACAAATGTAGCAAAGTGAATATGGGCATGAGCTCCACTCTCATTCACGTAGCGAGACATGTATACCAAAACTCTGTCACTCTAACGATCCGATATCATCTCACAACAAAGTTTAGCTGTTCACTCAGTGCACGGTGTGAATTGGGTTAAGTGGGGAGGGTAAATAAAATACCCACGGGGTCCCATGTTCTGGGAGTATCCTTCCCACCCTCTGTGTCTAACCCTACTTCCATACAATTTCATATAAATCACATCTTTCCACCCTACCATAACCATACATGCACCAAAATGAATCAATCCAAACCAACAATCATCGGAATCTACGGCATCCCCGGATCCGGAAAAACAACCCTACTATCCCAACTCAAGAACCAGCTGAACCCCGAATCCTTCTCCTTCTATGATGGTTCCAGTGTCCTCGACTCGCTCGTTCCTGGCGACCTCCCTGCCTTCCAATCCCTCTCATTTTCCGAGAAGACAACCTGGCAAGAAAAAGCCATCACATCTATAAAAAGTGAATGTACTGCCTCCGGACAGACCGGGATCGTCACCGGGCATTACATTTTCTGGGACGATATCGATCAGGAAAAGGAGACGGTCCTGACGGAATGTGTTCTCAGCGTGTATACCCATATTCTGTATCTGAATATCCGTGCAGAGGTGGTTTATTCTCGTCGGGAGAGGGATACTGAGCGCCAGCGCGCACGGATTTCCATCTCGGAGTTGGGGCGGTGGATGGAGGAGGAAATGTCCGAGTTGACGGGGGTGTGTTTGAGTCGCGGGATTTTGTTTGTGAGGTTGATGCCGTTGTGTCTTGAGAGGATTGCTGCGCTGGTGGAGGATTTTAGGCGGCATGATGAGGTGAATAATGATGGGGTAGTGGGGAGGTGTATTGATGGGGTGGTTTCTCCGGCAGGTATGGGTCTGGAGAAGGTGCTTGTGTTTGATGCGGATCGGACCCTGGCGGCGATTGATACGGGGAAGAGGTTCTGGGAGCATGTACCTGGGGCTGGATGGGGGATGTTGCAATGGGTGTTTGGCAGTCAGCTGGGATATTCGTATGCTGCGTTCCGTCAGGTGGTTTTGCTGTATGAGCAGGATGTTGAGGATGAACAGTATGAAGAGATCTGTGGTCTGGTTGCAGCAGAGGTGATGTTGTATCCCGAGGTTGCAGGTCTGCTGCGTCGGGTCTTGGAGCATGCTCATATTGGCGTTGTTGTGGTGACGTGTGGCTTGCGGCGGGTGTGGGAAAAGGTCCTGGAGCGAGAGGGCCTCTGGGATAGGGCCAAGGTGATTGGTAGTGGGAGGATCTCGGATGGCTATGTGGTGACTCCCCGGGTCAAAGGTGCCTTGGTGGAGCGCCTGAAGAGCCGTGGTCTGAAGGTCTGGGCGTTTGGGGACAGTCCGGTTGATATGGAGATGCTTCGCTGTGCTGATCGTGCCGTTGTGATTGTTGGTGATGACGGTATCAGAAGTAGCACTATGAATACCGTGCTCGAGACTGAGATTGATCACGGCTTCCAGGCTGTCCAGGTGTTGCTTCCGGAGTCGGTATCTCCACGCCTTGATATCGCAGTCCTTCCGGTTATTACATTGGATGACCCGAACTTCCTGGGACCAATCCTCGCATCTAACTTTCACCTCGTCCACGCCACTCACAAAGGAGCAGCAAAGCTGCTGCAGACTCCCATGCGGGATGCTGGGATAGAAGGTCCGGCTTTGCGCAAAGCTCACAGACGAGCAGGGTTCTACCTGGCAGCCGAGTATCTCACGGACCTGGTTGGCCTGGAAGCCTGCGCTATCGCTCACGTCCAAGGAAACACGACTATTGGCCATCAACTAGCCGACGAAGCAAGCACTGTCATCATCGCCTTGATGCGCGGTGGCAAGCCCATGGCGTTTGGTGTCAACGACGCTTTCCCAAAGGCCAGCTTCCTCCACGCAGCTGAGGTCGAAGACGTGAAGCTGCATCATGTGCAGGGGAAAGCGAATGTCATGCTTGTTGACTCGGTTGTCAATAATGGGACAACCGTTATTGAGTTCGTCAAACATATTCGCAGCTTGAAGAAAGATATTCGGATTGCGGTTGTTGCGGGGGTTGTACAGGTCAAGGCGGTTGCTAAGAATGGCCCGTTAAGGGCTCTGGCGAGAAATGGTGGCTTGACGGTGGTTGCTTTGCGGTTGTCGGAGAACAAATACACCGGAACCAAGGGCACAGATACTGGGAACCGGTTGTTCAATACGGTGGACCTTGCTTGAGCTATCTCCTATATGGTCAGGCCGAGCGAGAGGTGCCGGTATTGTTTGAACTTCATGGGCTGTGAAGAATGCGTTGATTGACTTGTTCCTCCTTTCGCTGGTTGCTGACATTCAATGAAGCTTCGTGAATTTGTCCTTGTCGATATGTCCTTGTCTGACTATCCAGAATGTGTTGCTAACGATCGTATTTTGCTTTCATCCTGTCAGCTGTTCGGAATGTGCTACTGTGAAGTCTCATGAACAATTCTAGATTTAGAGATATTCGATGACTCCAGCCAGTATCGGTGACAATGAAGATTAAGTAGGATATCAGTTTCTCTCACCTTTCCAGGCAGCCATAGCAATGCTTTTGCTACTAAGTGTAAGCCGTACTCCTGCTATTTGTTGCGTGCTGTCCTCTGCCAATATATCTCGTCGATACCAAAAAGATTGCGTCTTCGAGAAGTGGCACTTTCAAGAGGTTGCCGCGAATTGTCTAGGATCTCAGCTCCTCGGTCATGGGATCTTGACATGTTGTGGGCGGGACAGAGTGTGTCACCAACCATCCTGACATTAACCTAGGTGAGATTGATCGGAATGTACGCAGTATGAACACAAAGTAAAATTCTCCTGCGAAATGGATCCTTTGTCAGAACAAGGGGATATATAAAAGATCCTTGTCATCATCTGCTAGCTTCATTGTGATTGACAGCATAACATGATGTTGGTGCTGTGAATGACGGGGCATCATGAAAGAGGAAAGCTGCGGGATGATGAGAAGGAGACTGGGTAGCAATTGTCTGGCAGCCGTCGGCACCGTACCCTTCAGTATTATTTGGACTGCATCTCGTTTCTAACAGGTACAGTCTGAATGGGTCAGGCAGAGGGTACAATTACACCGAACTCAGTATCAGGCATCGAGTCTGGGGACCCTGCAGGGGGAATGTCTTGGGGTTTCTGCTACCATTACCTATGTGATTTATTGATACTATGCTCACTATCGATACCTAGAGATGTTGAAGCAAGAGCTGAGTGAATACATGATACAACCGCAAGCCCCCCGTCAGCCTATCAAACCGCCCACCTTCGCTGCTGTCATTGGACATGACAGACGATCAGCCCTACTCAACGGCCAAGGAATCCTCCGCCAACCCCATGACAACTGCCTATCACTGCACCAAGACAATAGATGATCCCCGAAATAGCAGCAGACAGGCAACCGTGTTTCAGGGGTGATCCGATGACGTCATCTCAGCCTTCTCTCCACTTCTCCTGAATCTCCCATAAATACCCCGCTGTCAGATCCAGGGTCCAGCCCCGCCTATCTCTCCTCACCACAACAGCAGCAGCAGCAGCAGCAACCATGCCCGGACACTTTGGTCAGAAGATTCTCAACACCTTCGGCATCGACCATCACGGTCACGGCCAAGGTCATCCTTACCAACAACCGCCCCCACCAGGGGACAACCGGCTCGCCGGCAACCGCATCATCCACAACGACGAGCGTCTCCTCTCCAACCACCCCGCGGGCACCTACCCCCGTCTGGCCCGTCTCAGCGACGGCCGGATTCTCGCCTCGTTTACACGCTTCTACGGTGGCGGTGAACGCGCCCTTCTCGTCTCCATTAGCACCGACAACGGCCACACCTTTACCGACCATGGCGAAGTGACTCGCGGCCACGGCGACGTCGACAACATGTTCCTCTTAGAAGTCGGGCCGGGCGTCGTCCTGGCCGCCTTCCGGAACCACGACATTGGCCCCGACGGGCCCACGCACTTCCGCATCACGGTCTGCCGCTCCTACGACTCCGGACACACCTGGTCGTTCGCCTCGCAGGCGGCCGAGAAACCCGCCCCCTTGGGCATCTGGGAACCGTTTATGCGACTGGGTCGCCGACCGGGCGAGATCCAACTCACGTACTCAGAAGAGTTCGCCCACAACAACCAATGCACGATGCTCGTCCGGTCCTACGATCAAGGATCGACCTGGACGCCGCCACAATGTCTGCACGGGGCGGAAGATCCCCGTCGCGACGGGATGAACGGGATCGCGCGCACCTGGGATAACGGACGGGAGGTATTAGCGATGGTATTTGAGACCACCAGTTACGGGACATTTGACGTGGAGATGTTGCTCAGTTATGATGACGGGGAGACGTGGGGATGGCGCCAGCAGGTGTATGTCCCCCCGCCGGGCCATAATGCGGGGGCGCCGCAGATTGCGAGTCTCGGGGATGGATCGTTGGCGGTGATTTTCATGACGGATGAGGATTGTGATGAGGTGTGTTGGACACAGAATGCGTGTGTCAAGGTGGTGTTTGCGGGGCCGCCCAATGAGGGCCGGGTGATGTGGACCAGGCCGACCATGGTTTGTGGCGAGTCGAGTCATTGGCCGGGCATTTTTACCCTCGATGAGAGGCGGTTGTTGGCGTTGTATGAGTGTGGAGGTCCGAAAGCGAAAACGATTGCGTTGGAGATGTAATTCTGATGTGGATCTGCTTGGACTAGACGTCGTGCAATGGGTCTGATTATATGAATGATCGAATTTAGGCTTGATGATCATATTAGGGATATGATAGATAAGATCGGAAGCTCCCTCCCGCCGGGCCGGACGACATCCGAGCGCGGGTTCGGATCGGGGGGGTGCCGCGCGACACCCATTGGCCACACCCTCAGAAGCAATATGAACTATCTATACCTTGCAGCCTCAAACCTCTAAATGATGATAAATCATTTCCTTAGTATATAAACCTCCTCTCCCTCGGACCTATATCTCCATCAAACATACTCTCACACTAGATACCCACCTGAATCTAATCCCAACACCCTTGACACACCCAATCCACCAACTCACCCTCCAACCCTCACCCAAAAGAACCCTTTGAGAGATAAAAAAAAAAGCACCATGCGCCTCCACCAGCCCCGCACCCCACCCCTCCCCCCAAACACCACATTCACCAACGGCACCGCCATCATAACCGGCGCCAACACCGGCATCGGGCTCTCCACAGCCCGCACCCTCCTCCACCTGCACCCCAGAACCCTCATCCTCGCCTGTCGCAACCTCCCCTCCGCATCCACAGCCCGCGACACCCTCCTCGCCTCATACCCCAGCACCAAAACCAACATCATAACTAAACATCTCGATCTATCTTCCTACGCCAGCGTACGGTCCTTCACGCGGGAAATCACCTCCGAGGTGGAGAACTTGGATTTACTGGTTTTGAACGCCGGAAGCGCCTTCTTTGCGGATTTCCAACTAGGAAACGAGGGCAGGGAGAGGACAGTCCAGAATATGTTTCTTTCGAATGTCCTTCTCTTACTGGGCTTATTACCCCTGTTGGAGAAGAGTGCTGGACGGGTTACGTGGGTGGGGTCTCGACGGGCGTATGAAATCATTACCCGTTCTCATCCAGATACCACTTTTCTGAATATCGAGTCTGGGTCGATATTGGACTGGTTTGATAGAGAAGAGGGGTATGATATGATGAACCGCTACGGGGAGGTGAAGTTTCTCTGTTTGGCGTTTTTTTATGAACTTGCCACAAGATTACAGCAGAGAGGAGGGGAGGGAGGGGGAAGGGTGATACTGAATATGATATGTCCCGGCGCGGTACGAACAAACCTAGCGAGAAATTTACCGGTTTGGTATCGGCCGCTGGTGTGGGTATTTCAGAAGTTAGTGAGTCGGAGCGCGGAGGAGGCGGGGGTGTTGGTTGTTCGTGCTGGGGTTGTGGTGGGAGGAGAGAGTCATGGGGTTTTCTTTGGGGATCATGAGGTTGAAAGGGTGCATCCGTTTTTTGAGTCCGATGAGGGGAAGCGTGTCGTGAAGGGCATTTGGCAGGAGACTATGCAGGAGATGAAGCGGGTGGGGGTGGTTCCGGAGGATTTGTTGGGGCGTGATTAGGGTTGTTGGGATAGGCGTTGGTACTCGTAGCTATATAATGTTATTCGGTTATCATGATCATGAGGATAGACTGAATTATCTCGTGCGGTCAAGTATCCGCTCTCGTTAGGAGCTTCTTCGGGTTCAGCAGATTCAAATCGCTGGCCTAGTCTCTTCTCGTACGCCTCCTTATCGCGGAGCTTGGTAGTGATGACTGTTTCTGCATCCGCAGCCCAATAGTCCGATACCATTTGGGAAGACTCCGAGGTAACCTTATGGCTGGACACGAATATCGGATGAATATGCTGTTCAAAGAGATGATACAACCCTTTTGGGCTATCCAAAGCTTGCAGGTACCAGAAAGTCCCAATCTGCCAGCCTGTCCTCATGAGATTCGCTCGGAATGAACGGTCATCATTGATAGGGGGGACTGAACTCTCCTCTTCCTCGAAAATGTTCACAAACTCCTCATGTGCCTGTCGGAATTCTTCCAAGTAGCCATCCGTCAAACCATCCACGGAGCGACCGGTCAACCAATACGGAGGTTGCAAGGTCTCTGCCGGGAGGGAACAGGCCCACTCGAGATCAATCACACATGTGATATTCCAATCGTTGTCTACGAACACATTGCTAGGGTGGAGATCCGTCAGACTGTAAAAAAAATGGGCCGTCGCGAAGCTCTCGGTTGGTAAAATGGTGTAAAAGCGCCCGCATGATAGTCAGTCTGGCCATCTGGGCCTGACCGTCCTCGTGATCAATCAACGAGTTCGGTTGATATCGGATTCGATTGTCGTGACAGGACAGAATATCCAGATAGTATGCATCTGCAGTCGCATACGTTAAGCTACGACTGATGGTTGGGATTCCCCCATGTTCCAGCTGATGCAGGCGGAGACATAAAGGCCGGTTGGAGAGCTGCAGCACCCCGTCCGAGTCTAATGTCCAGTCCAAACCCCCACAGCCGCGGAATCGGGATCTCCGGACACTGCTCTCGCATCCAGATAAACGTGGCCGCTTCGCAGCGAAGCGTTTCATCCACGTTGCCCGGATGTCTCGATTCGCCCACCTTGTACGGCAACGGGAACCGAATGACGGCTCGCTTTGCCAGGGGCTGATTGTGATTGCTCACATAGATTGGAATGCAGACATTGAAGCTGCCGTGGAGCCATTCTTTGACGGCTCCCAGCTCGCAGGTGTCGGATGCACAAAGTCCGAGATGTCCGGCTGCCACCTTGGCAATCTCGGCGCGGCTGGTATAGAGGGAGACGAAAAAGTCGATGCGTTGTTCAGGATAGTCGAGCTCCAGAAGCATGTCCTCTTCTTGTTCGAGGGCTGACTCTAACGTAGTGGTCCCTCGAATGAGGGGCAGGGAGGCCTCGCGACGTGTCATGCCGGCATGGTACAATGATTCCGACTCACTTGGCCATTATCATCCGATGAATATGATGGAGGATGGAAGTCCCTGGGTAGATGAAGTTGACTTCTTGGCTTGGCGCCGGCCCCTGATTTATACCCTTCACCCGCCTGCAGGGGTTGCTTCTTCTTGATTGGATCACCGATGGGATCAATTTATGTCTATTTACCATTACGATGGCAATACGGAGTACTTCGTACTTCTTTGTTTGATAAGAATGAGATCGGGGACTGATTCCGTAACACTACAAGTATTGTGAACATTACCGACATCTTGCTCATACTCCACCAATTGAAAAAGCATACATCTGATCCTGTAGGGAAACATACCATCCTAGAATGCTTGATATCGAAGAACTACATTTGAGGAATGCATTCTATATCACAGATTGCTCAAAATTGAGCTGTTTATAGTAGTTATTCCCATAAGCGATTCCACTGGCCGATTGATCTGCTTGCAGACGTAATTACGATATACGCAGCTTCCTAGTTTTGCTATATGCTGGGTAACAATGTTGTATACCCTCTCACTGTGCCTCAATCTGAGTCTCATATAGGATATCTGGCAATGTGCTGCTGCAAGCACGTAATCATTTGCGTCCCTAGTATGGTGAAATGCCTGTTTCAACCAGGCGGTGCATCGAGTGCAAGAATAGTTGTAGGAATGTTCCCATAGTGTTTGGATCGGAATTTGCGAATCGGTGGTAAAGTCTGAGAGTGGTTGATACCCCTGCTTGTCGTTATATATTCACCATCGACATTCGGCCTCGACTGGCGATATGGGATTGAGAAAGCATGCAAAATTGCAAGTCGGTCAGCAGACTGATGCATATGCTGCTTCCTGAACACAGGATATCCCAATTCAGTTCTCCGAGATGTTCAGTGTCAATCGCCGTCCCAAAGTTGGCCAGTTGCCGGTTTTCGGGCGGATGCTCAGCGGAGTGCTATCGTAGCAGATAGCCCTTTGTTGTCTCACCTTGGGTATCAAGTACTCGACCCATTCTGACTGGTATGTCGCCGTCGGCGTCTCCGGCGCGACCCATGGGAGCTTTGGCTCGATGTCCATGAATATACCGAGTAGAAATCGCTGCCCGCAAACGACCCGCTCTGTGATGTACTGTGTCGACCACTCCGGCGACGATGCGAATGGCGTTTCGGGTCTGTTTCTCCGGCCGACGCTACCGTGGAGGCTCGATCCAGATCGTCTGCGTCTTCGTAGATATACTCTTCTCCACTGAGTTCGAAGGCTTCTGCTGGTAATGCCTGTTCTTGAGAATGGGCTTTGTACTCCACCCCGTTTTCGATGCCTTTCTCATTCATCTTTCCGCCCTCTTCATCGTTCTTCGCAGCAACGATCCCCAACACTCTCGGGACATCCTCCTTCCCAGATCCAAACCCTAACCCGTTAGCAACACCCCACCCCTACCCCGGGCAAGAAACTTACATTGTTCAAAAAACCCCTTCTGCGGCTTATACAACCCCACATTCCCAATCTCCCCCTCCTTCACCCCCGGCAAATACATCTGCACCAACGGCTTCCCATTGTGCACATCACAATACACATCAAACGGAGCAATCTCCTCGGGAAACTGAACCGCCGTAGCCACCGTAATCGGATAATACGCCGGAATTAACAACCTAAAATGCGGCCTCCTCTTCCCTCCCCCACCCCCCCGATCCCGCTCCGCCTGCACCCGCCTCATCGCCTGCATATACCCCACCACCGCATCCAAATTCTGAAACAACCCAATAAACCTCTCCCCCAACACCCCCCTGGTCAGAATCAAATCCTCAAAATGATGCCTCCAGATCGTGTCCGGATGATACACCAAATACCAGGTATCATCCGGCTCGGACTTGATTTTATGTTGGAGCATGTTGTAGACCAGGGTGGGGAATTCCGAGGCCACGCGGAGGGCGTTGTCGCTAGCGAGGGTGGTGTTCAGGGTCTCGAGGTGGGTGTTCAGTTGGCGCAGCTGGGCGGTACCTTCGATGGCTTGGTAGATGGCAAGGGCGGCGGCGGCGGGAGGGAGGGTCGTGGTGGCGAGGTTCAGGAAGTAGGTGCCGTAGAGGGGGTGGTCGCCGTGGGAACCTTGGGCGATGAGGGTTTGGGAGAGGAGGTCGTGGCTGAGTTGGGTGATTTCGTCGAGGGTGGTGAGGAGGTGGGTTAGGGTTTTGAAGACCATTTTGGATGTCTGGTGTGCTTGGGGTGGTGGTGAGGGTGGGTGAGGGTGATGTGGTGAGGGGTAGGTTGGTGAGGAAGAAGGTGGTTTGGTTTGGTTAGGGCAGGGTTTGTTGACTTGGGTATATTTAGTTCTAACTGAGGGATGATGATGTCCACGTCTTGGTTTGTGGGGCTGGCTGGGCGAATAGGATCCATCAGGCCAATAGACAACGCATCTGTTTGATGTATACCAGTGGCATATCGCCTCACTTTGGGTATCAGGAGTGTACTATAAGAGCTATTTGCTGATGATGTTCTACTTTGTTGCTTGGTGATTGTTCATAGTGGGTAGATTAACAAGAACACTGGTGATGTGCTATTTAAACATGATTGGCTGATGTATGCTGTCAAGTATCTTAGCGGGGCACTGCCAGGCTATAGTATTAGTGGGTTCAGATACATGGATCAATAGCACAACGTCATTAACTATACTGCACTACAATTGTCCCAGCATCCAAGGTATTCATGAATGTATAGCGTGTACTAGCACTCCACAATCCACATCGCAAGTCAGCAATCGTCTAGCTCTTGCAACGGTGAACGGAATGGCAGTCTACCTGCTGGTTACTTATCGGCACCATCCTTCTTAGGAGTAATCCCAAACAGTTCATTACAGTCGTCCGTGTCCCAGATATTCTCCTGTGGGGTCTCAGGCTCTTCCGATGGCTCCCCGAACAACTTCAGGTTATATGATTGGTCCCAAATATTCTCCTCTCCTTCTTTGTCCCTCTCCTTCTCCTTCCCCTTCCTCTGCTTCTCCTGTTTCTTCTTCTCTTTCGACATCTTCTCCTTTCTCTTCTTCCCCTCCTTCTTCGATAATGGCGGATCGCTCGCATTGTCTGACCCCAAACTCATCTCTTCCGTCGTATAAACTACACTTTCCGTTTCATAGTTGACATCTTTTTCATCATCCGCCACATCCGTCTCATCGCTTACTTCTCCCGTCTCCTCGACCATGGCATCCGTTACAACCGCAGCGATGTGGTGTAATTCGCAATCACACCAAGTTGGCGGAGTAGCCGGTGCCGATGGACCATCTCTCTCCTCCAGATTGTACATCTTCCTCGACAACAGCTTCCATCCATGCAGCAGATCATACGGATCTAGAAGAACGACACGATCACGACCATCCGAGCCAGGGGCAACCCTCGACCGCGGAAAGAGATATCGCTTCCTTTTCACCAGTTGATGGACAAACCAGAGCACCCCCAGAATGACAATATTGTGCTTTCGGATCAAATCCCCTGCTCCGATCTTCGGGGGCCCCGGCGCATCGAGAACCGCCTCCAATCTAGGATCTCTGTACCGTTCGAATAGTTTCGGCCCGTCAACTTTGAATTCCTTGTTACGACCGATGACCCCCTTCAGATAGGTTCGGTATTCCACCCACTCGTCGAAGAGCGGTTGCGTGACGGGATCACTGAAGAAGAGCGTGTGCACTGAGCTGGCCCACGTGAACCCGAAACACCCGGCCATGTTGGCATTGCTGCGTTGGATACTGTTCACGTAATAGGTGGTGTAGGCGATGCCGGGGTACTTGGTTTGGTCGCAGCGGTCATTTGCGGCGGATTGGTTGGATCCTACCAGTGGTAAATATGTTGTGCTTCGCCATACTTGAAGGAAATATCTAACCCACCAAGCAGGCTACGAAAGGAAATGGGTGCTTCATCACTTACTACTTGATTGGCCCGACCTCGATGCCATGGTTAGATGTAATCCCCTGATAGCTAATATCAGGCACTGTCCAGCTATGTCTGTTTCTCTTTCGCCATGTAGCCAACGAGAGCAAAGAGCTGGAATGGCAGTTTATAAAGAAAGCGACAACATAATTGAGTCGAGGAATAATGCAACATGTCGAAGGAGTATACCAGAGGAAGACGAGGAAAGTTGTCCATCAACCGAACTTTCACTCGAGGCTGGTACCGGAGACTGCCATATTCTCGTGCAACTTGGGCTAGCTGCCAATTTAGCCTGCAAATGTCGACAAAGCCCTACTTGTTACCCGGCCATAGCGTTGTAAGCAGCCGACTGGTATCCCAGTCTACTTCTTTCTTCCATTGTAATAGAATCAGATTTCAGCTCTAAAAAATTGGTCCACGACTATGGGACCACCCATTCCAAATATATGTCATTCCATGGCCTTAAAAACATGGTAATAAAACCAAACAACGAAGTGATGGAGAAGATCCCTGTCAAAAACACGTGTCAAATCCCCTGACTACGTGCATATCAGCAAAATCCCAACAATGGCAACTGCAGGAACTGCACCTGTGTGAATACTCGCATTCACATAACCCACCCCCTCCTCCCTAAATCCACCTCCACTACCCCATCAACTTCAACTTACTATGCAACCCACCATGTTCGAATCCACCATCAACTATACCATAAACCTCACCCCTTGCGCAAAGGAAACCCATATACTTCATCCCGCGATAATAGTTGCCAGGAGATTATCAATATTACATTAATGGATGATAACTGCTCCTGCCCCTGCTACTACTAGCGAGTGGACTCCACCGCCACGAGGATACTACCAGTCCATAGCTACCAGATTCGAAACACATATCAAGCACCATATCCAACATAACTCACATTATAATGTCCTTGGTTCTGGAATACCGCGATCACACGTAATTAGCTTGCCTCAAAGTCCAAATAAAGTAAATTCTACCTTCTATGCCCCAAAGGAAATATAGGTTTTACGAACGAAAATTGTACAAAACGGAGATTGGATTCCCCTACTCCGTATTCCACAGACAGTTACTACTTAACCCCTAGCGGGCCTTAACATAGGCTATCACAAACAAAAGGTTCCGCTTGCATTTAGGAAATTATGCTGGACAGCTACACAGACTGATTTTGAATCAGACGTTCTGCAAGGCATTCAAGGAGATAAATGGGGTATTTTATTGTTTTATGCATATGGGAAATTCGGGATGAGTGATCTTGCAGAGAGGATATTGATGTAAACGATTTGGACTCCCTGTTCAGTCAATGCTATTGATAGTAGATTTGCCTTAGGGCCGCTATGGCGGAGCTATTTCGGAAGATCGTTCAGCCGGCATGTGCCAGCAAGGATGCCTGCAGGCTGGCATCTCCTAGACTGGATTAATTGACAGTGATATTCCAGTCCCGGTTGTACACCACTACAGGTCAGTGGCATACCGCTTTGTTGATGTCTGCTGACTGGACAGCCCTACCCCGGAGAACGACATCGGGATCCCGTTTATCTTAATGAGCAAAGCGTCTGGATGGCCCCTGGGAAGAGTATGGAAAGAAGCAGGTTTGGGTAAACCGGAAGTGGCGGCAATCGTGACAACCAAAGTCCTTCACCAATTGGGGGAAATAACCTATCAACTGTCCCAGTTGCGCGTCAATGAGATCGGCTCGCTCTTTGAACGAGATGGAGTCTTCCGGGTGGGGGAGTGTCTCCCGTGGCCATATCTTACACGATCGGTACACTCTTGAAGATGTTCCCCGAGGGCCATTCTCAGAGAAGGAGTTTTTCGACAGTCTCATCGCAGCGTTGCATCAGGGATATCAAGTCCTACTTTACTGCCCAAACATCGGTGCCGCACTATACAGAGCTGTACAAGGATACAGAGCTGTACAAGGAAATCCAACTGGAAGATGAGCCGATAGAGAAGACGCGAAAAGCAGAACATGACTATTTTAGAAACCTGGCATTCAGACTTGCCATGGCTAGGAAGTTGACCCTGGTATCGCAGTGGAAGCTGCAATACACACATTGCAGCCTCCGTAGCGAAGGGGAGCTGTTCGTCACAGACTCTCGGTTGTGGAAGTGGATCATGGAATTCATGCAGCAGTGGGAGACTATCTATCAGTGATGTATACTGCTGTATTGGTATAGTCAAATCAGAACACATCGCATGACTGGATCAAAGTCTATCACTAACATGCTGTGTTATAGCTCCATCAAGCCCGAAGACAGCCACCCATGTGAACAACCCTCGTCACCAGCTCTATAATCTAATAACAAATCTAACGTATCTATAAACACCCCCGGAGATACTCCCCCAACGCCATAATCGCCATGGCCTGCCCATACGGCATCGCCGTCAACGGAATCTTCTTATAAAACTCCAAGCAATCGCCCATGCCCGTGCCAAAGCTTGTCTGCTGCAACTCGCCCGTCTCATCCACCGCCCCGACCACCGCCTGGATCGCCTTCTCCGCCACCGCGCGATACTCCTTTGGTAAATATCGCTTCCTGACAGCCTTCAGAATCCCATACGCAAACCCCGCCGTGGCCGACGCCTCCACATACGAATCCTCCTGATCCAACAACGTATGCCAAAACCCCTCGTCCGTCTGCAACCCCCTCAACGCCGCACACTGCGCCACCAACGTATCCAACATATGCACGCGAAGGGGATCCCCCTCCTCCAACTCCAACAACTCAATCAATTCCGGAATCACCATCGTCACCCAACTATTCCCTCGCGCCCACCGCGCCTCCGCAAAATTATGCCCCCCCACTCTCCCCTCCCCCTCGTCGAACTGCCACCCATGAAACCACAACCCGGATTTCGTATCGAAGAGATACTTCACATGCACCAACACCTGCCGTTTCGCCTCCGCCACATACTCCGGCCGCTTCAACAACCGCCCAATCTTCGCCAACGGCATCACCGTCATCATCAACGTATCATCCCACAGTTGCTGATGATTCTCCGTCACGTACGTCACATGTTGCATCCCCCCGTACTTTGTCCGCGGGAGCTCATACATCGCCCATTCCGCCCAGCTCTCCAACCAGGGGAGGTATGTCACGTTGCCGGTTTTCTCGTACACGTAGGCGAGGGTCAGGAAGACCGCCATCGTGTTGATGTTCTTGGTGGTGCCGCCTTCGGCGAAGCGGGCCGCGAACCAGTCCTCGATAGTTTTCAGGAGGTGGGGGGAGCCCGTCAGCTCGTAGTATTTCCAGATGCCGTAGAGGCCGATTCCATGCGTCCATTCCCAGCCGTGCCAGGATTTGGTGTCGATGATGCGGCCGTCCGAGAGGGGGAGGAGGAATTCGCCGGTCGTGTCGTGGATGGAGATGAGGTTTGTGATGAGGAGGTTGATTTTTGTGTGGATGGTGGGGGGGGTTATGGTCGTCATGTTGAGAGTGCTTCGTTGGTGTGCTGCTGCTCTGCTGCTGCTCTGCTGCTGCTGTGGTGGTGGTATGTGGTGATATAAGTGGGATTCCAACCCTAGCGTCATGATGCGGGGGATGTTCGGGCTAATCACCCCCGAGCCACTGTCTCGGCACGCTCGTGTATCATCCCAGATGGAGCAATAGATCCATCAGGATCCCCTAAGCGAGCCCACTCGGGCCAATGTTCCCCGCCGTGGCGGCCCCTGCCGCCCCCGGATTCACCCCAGATATGTATCCCGGGGTAATGATCTTATCACATCTCATCAGATGATCAATCTCATTGGCGTGAAAATGCGACGGCCAAGATACACTCAGACCCCTCGTCGGATGACAGATAAAAGGCCGTTCCCTGGCTGTATTTCCCCTCATGCTCGTGGTCAGACATCATCATCATGTCGGAGAATATTACTACCCAGACTGCAGAGGATAAGGCGGCGTCCACTGCGGTGGGCGTCAAGCCGAGCCAGGATATTTCTCATGTGGAGCGGGTGCTGTCTCCGGATGATAAGCTCAAGGGGGATGAATCTCGGGTGGATACGGAGGTGTTGGAGTATGCTGCCCGGGGACAGATCGAGGTGGATGAGGAGGAGAGTCGTCGTCTGCGTCGGATGATCGATCGCCGGGTGTTGGTGATTATGATTATTACGTATTTTCTGCAGGCGTTGGATAAGGGGACGATGTCGTTTGCGTCGATTATGGGCATTCGGGATGATACGCATTTGAGGGGGCAAGAAGTATGCCCCGTTTTCCTCTCATTGCCACTTCTATATCGCAATGAGAACCTGACTGATAGACTTGCAGTACTCCTGGCTCACAACCTGCATCTACATCGCCGTGCTGGTGGTGGAATACCCCACCAACTGGATCATCCAGCGCGTCCGCATCGCCAAATACCTCGGCTTCAACATCATTTGCTGGGGGACGATCCTCGCTCTGCATGCCGCCTGCCATAACTTTGCTGGCTTGGTTACCGTCCGCACCCTGCTCGGCATCTTCGAAGCGGCCTGTCAACCCTCCTTCGTGGTCCTCTCGGGCATGTGGTACAAACGCGACGAACAAGCCTCCACCGTGACCTACTGGTACCCCCCCATTCCTCCCCCCCAATGCCCTCCACCCTCTAACCACGAATCAGGTACATGATGAACGGCGGCCAACAAATTGTCGGCGGCCTCCTCGCCTACTGCTTCAGCCTGATCGGATCCCACCGCGTCCTCAAATCCTGGCAAGCGCTCTTCCTCACCTACGGGTGCCTCTCGATCCTCTGGGGCCTGTTCGTCATCTACTGGATGCCGGATTCCCCCATGCGGGCGAAATGCTTCACCGAAACCGACAAGCACAAAATGGTGGAACGGGTCCGCGCGAACCAAACCGGCCTCCAGAATAAAACCTTCCGCGCGTATCAAATGTGGGAAGCGTTCCGGGACCCCCAGACCTTGTGTTATTGTGCGATTCAGGTGTTTACCACCCTGCCCACGAGTGGGTTAGGGGCCTTTGCGAATATCATCATCAGTGGATTCGAGTTCACCGAGTTGCAGACGCAGTTGTTGGCCATGGTGTTGGGGGTGTATATCATTGTGGTGTTGTTGGTGAGTGCGTGGTTGGTCAAACGGTTTGAGCAGAATTTGTTGGTCATGTTGGGGTTTATTGTGCCGTAAGTAACCCACTCCTCGTATTTTGATGCTGAAGGGAGGGGCTGATCAGGCAGATCGTTCATCGGGACGATTGTGCTCATGACGGTGCAGAATACCAGTCTCAGCACCAAGGTGGGGTTGCTCATCAGCTACTACATTACCTTGTCATTCTGGTCCGCCCAGAATCTCGGCCTCTCGATGGTGACGCGCAATATTGCCGGCGCGACGAAGAAATCGACCGTTGTGGCGGCCACGTTTGTGTCGTGGGCTGTGGGGAATGCCATTGGTATATACCTCCCTCCCCATCTCCCTAAAGTAGCAATGCTGAAGTAGCAATGCTGATTCATGGTATAGGCCCCCAAGTCTTCCTCACCCGCGACGCCCCGCGGTATTTCATCGCCTTTGGCGTGCATCTCGGCTGTTACTCGGCCATGACGCTTTCGGTGATCTTCCTGCGGTTCTATCTCATCCGGGAGAATAAGCGGAGGGATCGCGCCATGGCCGAGATGGGAATTGCCCTCGGAGACGAGGATCATTTAGCTAGGGCCTTTGAGGATCGCACGGATCGAGAGAATGTGTATTTTCGGTATATTTATTAGCTGCCCCCCTTTCTTATGATTTTGTGAATATGACATGGATATAAATACTATCCCCTTATTTACAACCAACCCCCAGCTATCCCCAAACACTCACCTCCATCGTAATCACTGTCAAGACTGAACCAGCTCGTCCACACTCTTCATCTCCTTATCATTATTCTCCCCCACATCCAACGCCACCAACACCCGACTGACACAATTATACCCCGCAATCCCAGTCGTCAATTCCACCACCTCTCGATCGGAGAGCCCTGCGGTCTGTAGGGCGCGAAACGTCTCCTCCTTGACCTTGACCGTCCTCGTCATCTCATCCGCATATCGGACCACCGCCCGCTGTAACCCCGTCAACGCACTCCCTTCTAACTCCCCCCCCTCTGACTCCCCTGCAAGACTCGGCAACTCCCGCACCGCCCGCAACTCCTCCGCCTTCACCCCCCCCTTCAAAGCCAGTGGGGCATGCGCATTCCACTCATAAATGGCGTTGGTGAGCACGGCGACCCGACACACGGCGAGCTCAAGCAATCCCTGGTCGATGATCGTTTGGGTGCGGATGGCGCCGAGGAAACTGTTCCAGCCGTCGGCGACCGGGGGGGAATGCAGTAGGGAGAGGTCGAGGGGGATGAGCGGGCGGGGATGTCGGCGGGCGGCGATGCGGGCGTAGATGTCGGTGGTGGTGGGGGGGGAGTTTTCCGGGGGGGTGGTGGGGGCGTAGGGGAGGCGCATTTTGAGGGGTGGTGTGGTGGTGTATTTGGTTTTGGTGGTGGTGGGGAGGAGTCTGTAGGGGTTGGGTCTGGGGAAGAGGCGGAGCATAGATGATACTACTTATGTAGTAGATAAGTAGAGGATACTCTGGTTTTAAGGATAAGGATGATGTTCGTTTATCCGCCCGTCCCGAGGTTGGTTGCCGAGCGGACGGTCGGCAGAACAAGTGCCGATCTATACCAGTGCGGAGTATGTCTGGTTCTTGGGAATACTATGCGTAGTGGTCATTGATTCTACTTATTCAGTTATATCTAGCTTTACTGGTTGTATATATATCTGGTTTACTACTGATATTCCTTGTTTCTCGTTTACAATATCTCCTGCCTCATGTATTAGTTTTATACAAGCCCGAATAAAATATTTTTATCTATATTGTCGTTCTTGCTGGTCGATAGTACGTACTCCGTGATCCTAAGTGAACTGGTATCCCTGGATTCCATGCTGCAGGGGTACTCTCGTGCCTTAGTTGCTGGACAGCGTTCTGTACGGAGTCACAGGTAGCATTCATTCCATGGTATCAATTGATAATGACCGTCTGCACATACCACCCCCGCAAGGGTTCCACCCTCGCGCATCCCTGGGCTGGTCTCAGCGCTGCCGTTAGCTACCTATCTCGGTATTGCATGCAAGGGTCCTGCAAGGGCAGTGGTAGAATGGAACATACATCCTACCCTGCTGCCACCTGCCTGCCAGCAAGTCCGAACTGTCGTATCCTGTAGAAAGATATAGACCGCCAGGCCCTTATATATCCCCTCCACCATTCTACATCCGAACTTGCGAGACTCGCGACCATGAAGTGGCTTACCTTTCTTCTCGTAACCCTGAACATAGGGATCGGTAGATTCCCCTCCCCCCCCCTCATCCCTCCCAACCATACTAACACAATCAACAGGAACATCCTCAATCATCTCCTTCTCCCCCCCAACAAACCCATCCATCATCTACAGCCTCACCATCCCCAACACCACCACCCTCTCCACCCCCGGCCCCATCTACCTCCAAATCACCGCCCCCACCACCCTCCAATGGATCGGTCTCGGCCAAGGCGCCCAAATGACCGGCGCCAACATGTTCCTCCTGTATACCTCCTCCGCATCGAAAATCACCCTCTCCCCCCGTTCGGGCCTCGGCCACTTCGAACCCCAATATACGTCCTCCACTCAACTGACCCTCCTCCCGGGGACGGGCATCACCAACAATGGGAATGGGAATGGTTCCACCATGACGGCCAACCTCCGCTGCGATAACTGTCTCACCTGGCAGGATGGCACGGGACGCATGTCGCCCCTCGATCCGGACTTTCCGTTCATCTGGGCGTATAAGGTCGGGGTACCGATTAACTCGGCCGCGTTGGATGCCGACCTCTCGATCCACGACGAGATGGGTCAAGTTCGGGTGGATTTAACCAAGGCTGCACTCCCGGATACCTTCTACACATCATCATCATCATTAGGATGGAATGAAAGTGGTAGTAGTAGTAGCAGCAACCTCAGCACCCTCACGAACCCATTCGCATCCTATAACCCATCCACGGACTCGATCTCCGCCCTATCGACCCCGACACCCACCGGGCCCCATATTCCAAAGAATATGAAACAGGTGCTCATCGCACACGCCACGCTCATGGCTCTGGCATTTGCAATCCTGTTCCCGATGGGGGGGATGATCATGCCACTCCCCGTGTCTCTCCCCGTGCAAAAAATCACTCTCCATCGGATCACCCAACTCCTGACCCTATCCATTACATTGGCGGGTTTCGGAGCGGGGGTGTATATCGCCCACGCCGCAAACCAACTGCGCAACCCGCATCCCATTATCGGGATGATTGTCGTGGGAGTCCTTGTCCTCGTGCAGCCAATTCTGGGAATCCTCCAGCATCGGAATTTCAAGAAGGGGAACACGGGGGGGCCGTTCGGGGTATGTCATCGGTGGGTGGGCCGGGGGGCCATGGTATTGGGCATGGTGAATGGGGGCTTGGGGTTTCGGTTGGCCGGGGTCGGGGGGGTGTTTGCCCCGAAAGGCGCGGTGGTGGGGTATGCGGTGGTGGTGGGGGGGGTGGGGATTTTGTATTTGGGGGTGTTGCTGTGGGATTGGGGGGTGAAGGGGAGGAGGGATGAGGAGAGGGAGGGAGGGGTTGGTGGTGAAGGGGAAAGGGATGGTGGTGGTGGTAAAGGGGAGGAGGGTGTTGGGGAGAAGCCAGGAGTGGTCATGGAGGAGAGGTGATCTTCTCGCACTTGACGTTAAAATAGGATTGTGGTTACGTAGAATGGGGGCTAATTAAGATGAGATAGGGGTAGGATGTGGATCACGGTGTCAGTGTCAGCACTTTATCGATTTAGTAGTCATTAATTATATCATCTTAAAATTTGAGCACCGCCTTGCCCAGGTTCTTGCCGTGGAAAATTCCCAACAATCCCTCCGGCGCATTCTCAATGCCCTCCGTCTCGTGGATCAATGACTTGAAGGTGCCCTCCTTGATCCACTTCTGCACCCGCTCCTGGTGCTCCTGCGTGTACTTATCCCCCATACCCTTGTCACCCACGATGAATCCACGCATGTCCAGACGCTTGGTCAGCACGTAGGTGATGTTCTTGATCGGGTAGCCACCGCCGTTGTACTGCGAGATCATCCCGCAGACGACAATCCGACCAAAGTCGTTCATCGCGGCCAACGCCGCCTCGAGGTGCTCGCCACCCACGTTCTCGTAGTAGATATCGATCCCCTGAGGGGCCAGACGGGCTAGCGCGTCACCCGGCTTCTCCGTCTTGTAGTTGAACCCCCCGTCGAAGCCCAGCTCGTTGATGATAAAGTCGAGTTTCTCGTCGGAGCCCACGGAGCCAATAACCGTCAGGCCCTCGTGCTTGGCCAGCTGGCCGACGAGCTGGCCGACGGCCCCGCTGGCCGCCGACACGAAGATCGTCTCGCCCTTCTTGGGCTTGCCGATCTCGTACAGGGAGGAGTAGGCCGTCAGACCGGGCATGCCGAGGGCGCCGAGGAAGACGCGCACATCCTCGATGCCGAGGGGGTTGGCGAGGGCGCGGACCTTGACGAGCTGCTCGGCCGACACGGAGATGTACTGCTGGATGGGGAGGTAGCCGATGATGAGGTCCCCCTCCTTGTAGGCGGCCGCGTTGGAGCGGAGGACCTTGGCGATCACGGCGTTCTCAATCGGGCTGTCCAGGGCAAAGGCAGGCGAGTAGGACTTGATGTGGGCGGGGCGCATGCGGCCGCGGAGGTAGGGGTCGAAGCTGGCATACAGGGACTGCACGAAGATGCCGTTCTCCGGGGCCGGGGCATTGCCATCGTACGAGACCGGCTCGACGGTGACATCCTGGCCAGGGACAAAGAAGCCAGTGGGGACTTGCTTGAAGATGAGGGCGGAGTTGGACATGTTGCTTAGTTCACGAGACAATAGCCTGCTGCCACTCCCCTTTGCGGAGCAGGATCCCTTTATAGTTATCCTGGAGTGGCGATTACAAAGCACCATGAGAAGCTTCTCGAGGCGAGGATCCAACCTGGACCTTCCGGAAACGGCTGGTGTGGGTGGACTCGTGACGATGAAGGGGCAGATTGGGCGCAGCAACCACAGAACCACGGCTCGAGTGGATCTTGCAGACATTGAGGCAGTCGGGGGATATGCTTCTTCAGGGCAGATGCACCGGCCGGGACCCATCGGTCACCACATTTATGCCGGACATACGAGGATAAAAGGGTAAGTGTACTGTGTGCTTTGAGACCGATTACTAAATGCATGCTTATCAAGCAAAAGATTTCGTGTGGTGGTTTGAGTATGCCTCGGTATCCAATTTTGATATTGTCGGAGCATCGGATGATGCCATTTTTAGTCAGCCCGTTTCACTTTTTTTCTCAGGGCCTCGGTTCCGACGGAGGCCTCAACCGATTTCAACCACACAATTTCGGAATTGTCGACTGGGGATGCCCCTTTCAAACAACACGTCCAGCTCCTCAAAGGTCCTCCCCTGGGTTTCGGGCAACCACCAGAAACAATAGCCCGCGCACAGCGCACTCGTCCCGGCGAAGAGAAATCCGAGTTTGCCCCGCCAATTCCCCTCGTCCTCGTTCATCGCGTACGGGATCGCCACCGCGAAGACCACCGACCAGATGTAGCAGCTCACCGTCGCCAACGCAATGGTCAACCCCCGCAGTCGCGCCGAGGAGACCTCCGCCAACAGTACATAACAAATCGGGCCCAGCGTGAGGTCGTACACCAACGTGCATGCCAGCATGAGCCCGCATTGGCCCCACACCGTTCTTGCAGTCTGCGGGACAACGTCTAAGACTCCGATGAGGCAAAGCACCACCGCCAATACCGAGCAGCCCAAGAGATACATCGACCGACGACCCACGTACGGCAGCAGCAGCCACGAGAGACACGTCCCGAGCAGTCCCAATCCGGTCAGCCCCAGGTTCATCGAGAATGCATGCGACGAGTCCAACCCCGCCAGCTCCATAAAATGCACGGCATAGTTGATGAAGAAGACATTTCCCGCAAACGCCTGCATGTTGTAGACCATCACACAGATGATGAGGCGACGGCGGTTCGGTCCGCGGAGACACTCCCGGTACGGGGGTCGACCGTCGTGGAAGCTGTCCTCCAGATGCAAGGTCTCCTGGATATGGGCGAGCTGGCGGGATACATCTACGGCGGGAGTGGCGAGACGTTGCAGCGACACCAGTGCTGCGTCGTGACGCCCTTTGCGACATAACCAGTAGGGTGGATCGGGACAGAAGAAGATGAGCGCCAGCATGATGCATGGCAGAGCCCACTGCGTGGCAATGGGGATCTGATACGACAGGGTGCTATCCATCGCGGCAGTGCCTTTCAGAATGCCCGATGCGATCAGAGAGCCGATGGAAAAGGCCAGGTTGGTCATGGTGGCAGCAAAGCCGCGGAGGGCCACTGGGGTCACCTCCCCCACGTAGGCAGACGCACAGATGGGATAGAACGCAATGACGCAGCCATTGATCAGCTCGCCCACGAACAGCTGGGCCGGCGTGTGGCTGAAGAACTGCACGAAGATGAAGCCGATGGACAGGCACGAACACCCGGCGATCATCACCCGCGGACCAAAGCGGTCGTAGGCAATGCCCGAGCAGAGCGCCCCCACGATGGCCCCCAACAGATTGGCGTAGTTAAATGCCGAGAGCCACTGGGCCGCCAGAATGGGCCGCCCCTGGTAATGGTAGCCGTAGGTTTCCTTGAAGACGTCGAGACCAACCAGGCCTTTGACAATGCCACCATCCTAGTCTGTCAGCCCGCGTCTCACCGGATCGGAGTAACCTACAATGCCTTTGAGGATAGTTGCCTATATCTGTTAACATTGGTTTCTGCGAGCAGCGGATGCCTTACCAAGTTCATAAACGCCGCCCACGCCACCGCCGGCCAGTGCCGTCGCATGGCCGGCCAGAACCCCAACGAGTGTTCGTCGTGAATAAACTGCTGCGAGGACTCGGCCTCTCCCCCAGCCGGAAGGGCCAGGACCACCGTTAGTTGCTTCTCCGAAATGTCCATGGTGAACAGGAATGGATTGTGGCAGAATTTGCGCCTTTTATGTGTGACGCTCTTGGCTTCTTGGCTCGGTTGGTAGCGCCTTCGCATAACCATCGATTGTCGGTCTCTTCTATTGTACAGTCCTATTGTATATCCATTTTACATCTCAACCCAGATAACCATAACGCCATTCCACACGCTAAACTTCACTAACCGGAGACTCCAGGGTCATTGGAATACCTGCCAGAGGTTTCTCCCGCGGAGGCCAGTTCGGGGCCGGATAACTGAGCAGTTTGCATACATCCTGTGATTGTTAGCAGATGACAGCGCAGATGGCAGAGGGGACAAACCCGTCGTCTCCGTCGGAAATCATCGTAGAGTTTCTTCCAAATCTCCCGGTCTTTGCACCCGCTTTCATGCACTGTACCCGGCTTGACCTTGCATTTAGGCAGCATGTCGGCGATCAATTCCTGCGGCCACATCACCCACGGCTTAGGCAACGGCCAGTCGGAGAAATGCACCAGTTTTGCCTCCGCCAGCACCTTTTCCGGATCCCACTCCTCGTATTCGTTGCCCAAGAACGCCCGGTGGTCGTCCTTGCGGAACTCGCCCGTGACCAGCCCATACTGCCGATGCGGCAAGACCATGGCCGTGTCCCCGTACCGCTCGTTCATCAGTTCCATATCATATTTGACCCGTGAACTAACGTTCGACTCGACCTGGCCATACGTAATGGCATGGGCGGAATCCATCAACGCATACCACTCTTTGAAGGACGGTTGTAGCACAATCAATAGTGACGAGAGTTGTCTGGTATCCGGGAGCTGCCAGTAGGCGCGGGGCATGGCGACCTGCGAGGGAGGAAGGAAGAACAGTTCGTCCATGTTCTGGAGAACGGTGACGTCGGAGTCGATATGGATGACCCGTTCGAATTCGGTCTCTCCAAAGGCGAGAAGCTTGGAGATGCTCTTGTCCCACGATTCGTTCGGCCCTGACCTGTTAGCCCGGTTTGCTAACTTCCAGCGGTTACCCACCTGCTCCAGCTTTGACCATCTGCACGTCAATCGGCACCAGCAATACATTGTATTTCTCCGCGGCTATGGCCAGTAATTGACTATCCCGGTCACGGTCGTCATCCACCAACACATCCCAGTTCTCGGGGTAGAACAGCACCCGCTGCGCCCTGCTGCCGAGCCGTTGCAGGGTATCGAACACGATAAGCGCATTGCACAGGTATGGGCTGGAAGTCGCATATTGACTGTAGGCGTAGAGGGACCAGTCCACGCGGTCATAGTCGATATGGGGAAGGGGCGGCGGCGGGGGTTTCTCGCGTCGTAGGAAGAGGATGAACAGAACGAAGACGAAGAAGGCGAGCCAGACCCGCGGGCTCTTGAGGTGGCGGAGTTGGCGCTTGATGATGGACCAGCAGGGTTCATCCGGGATGTCGAAAAAGTCGGCCTCGGAGGAATCCGAGCCCCTCCGGTAGGGAAGGACAGGGACTTTTTTGACTGCCATGTTGCCAGGTTAAGGGAATGGCATCGTTGTATGCTGCATCTCAGGGAGGCAACGACATGACCGATAAGTAACTAGTTATGCAGATACAGTGGCTGAGTCAGCTGTGCGGGATAAAAATACTGTCCAATCAGAGCATATCACGGAGGGCTTATCAATGCGATGAATTGGGAGGAAGAAACACTCCATACTGGAGAGTATGAGCCTATGCTGCTAGTATACGGAGCATAGGATGCAGAACACTGTCAATGCGGGGTATTTGATCAATGCTCTCAATACTCCAGGCTAGTCCCACAGCCTCTGGCGGTATCGACCTTGACTGCAAGTAAAGAGATCCTATACTGTTTCAATCCCCGCCATAAAGTCCAGGTGCATCTCAGCAATTGATGGCGAACCAACTATGAGCTGCGACTACTCCCTGGCAACTCTTGTGGAAAGAGAATGACACCATTTGAGTGAGATATTGGTATGCTCGGAGATGTATTTCTCCGCCCCGACCTTAGTCATCCTTTTTAATGTTGTTCAATTGCAAGATAAGAAAAAAAAGAGCAAACAAAGCGATCCTCTCCTGTAGCCTTTGACCTGCTGACTGCTGACTGCTCACTGCTCACTGCTCACTGGAATTCGTCCCTGCGTGTAACTGGGAAACCTGCGGTAACTGTGTGTACTGTGTGATTGTTCCTGCTCCGCGCCGAGGGATTACTCCGGACCACCTCACTCCCCACTCTTCCCTTCATTTCTCGCCATGGAGCTTTCCCGCATTCTTCTCGCCATCGCCGTTTACCTTGGTAAGCCTTACCTCCAGTTTGACTGTCGCTCACTCTAACCCCTTCAGTCATCCGTCTCGTCCGCAGTCGCTTGTCCAGCAATAACACCGGCTCCACCATGTCTCACGGAAAGGTCATCGAGGTCGACAAGTACGTGATATCCCCGCTCTGCAGATCGTTCACTAACCCAGCCAGCCCCGTCATCTTCAAGGCGCTCACCTCCTCGGGGCCCGTGGTCGTCGACTTCTTCGCAACCTGGTGCGGTCCGTGCAAGGCCGTCGCTCCTGTGGTCGGCAAGCTCAGCGAAACCTACACCAACGTGCGCTTCATCCAGGTCGACGTCGATAAGGTCCGTTCGGTGGCACAAGAATTGGAAGTCCGGGCAATGCCGACCTTTGTCCTGTTCAAGGATGGTCAGCTGCAGGAGAAGCGCGTGGTGGGCGGCAACATGAAGGAGCTGGAGGCAGCCATCAAGAGTATCACGGCGTGATGGATCAGACGGAATGCCCGAGCGTGCAGGATTGAAGAAGCAATTAGATAGCAGCATTTATTCGACGGCCTCCGGTTGTATGTTCATGCCTGGCCAGGCTTATCGTAGGCTGCCACCCGCCGGAGAACGCCGCCTCAGGCAACAGCCGGTGCTCAACCACGAAATTCCCCGACTGGAGGAGAGCCGCCTTGTGTCACTCTGTAGATACAATCACACTTGCTCCGCTGCTCCGACAACGTGCACTGGCGTCCATCTGTATCACGGGTCTATGCACAGCCGTCATGATTGGCAGATAGCCGTCCAGGCATCCGACGATCGACCTGCATTCATCCCACCTGCAGGGGCAAACCGCCGCCATGCACACCGGCGTGCGGGGATGACAACAGCATCTGAAACCACACAATAGAGTTCGAGGAGGGGTCACTTTATAGTCAGCTTCCCCGCTGCTGCTGGGTGTCTAATTCCTCACCCGAAGCAACCACATCGATTATCATGGCGCTGGATTTCACGGTAAGCTTCATCCCCTCTCATGCAGCCAATCTAACATCACAGACCTTTTATAATGTCATCGACAACGAGCTGATACTGACGGCGCAAACCCGCCATGGTATCAACCCCGCCACCGGGCAGCCCAACCCCGAGGTGCCTCTGTCGACGGCCGAGGATCTGGACCGAGCAGTCGCTGCGGCCACTCGGGCGTTCCGCAACTGGTCACGGACCTCGTTTGATGACCGCCGGGCTGCCGTACATGCCTTTGCCGATCGTGTCGAGGCCAACAAAGAGGCATTGGCGGCGCTGCTGACCCGGGAACAGGGCAAGCCGCTGAACCAGGCCACGACCGAGGTGGCCATGGCTCTGCAATGGGCGCGAGGGCTCAGTAGCCTCACCCTCCCCGAGACTATCCTGGAGGAGACCGAGGACCTGCAGGTCATCCAGCGATATACTCCAATTGGGGTCTGCGCTGCGATTGTGCCCTGGAATTACCCATTGCTGCTGGCTGTCGGCAAGATGGTTGCTGCTGTCTATACGGGCAACACGGTCATCGTCAAGCCTTCCCCGTATACCCCGTACTGTGATCTGAAACTCGCTGAACTCGCAATTCAATGCTTCCCTCCAGGCGTGGTGCAGGCGCTCAGCGGAGATGATGACCTGGGACCGATGATCACGGAGCACCCGGGCATTCATAAGATCAGCTTCACGGGGTCAACTGCCACCGGCCGCCGGGTCATGGCAAGTTGCGCCAAGTCCCTGAAGAAGCTGACTCTGGAGCTTGGGGGGAATGACCCGGCGATTATCTGTGAGGATGTGGATCTGGATGTCGTGGTTCCCAAGGTAATTCACCCACCTCCTGTTTTGAACACCTTCGCTGACCCGACAGGTGGCCATTCTTTGTTTCCTGTGTTGTAGCCAGATCTGCATGATGATCAAGCGGCTTTATGTGCACGAGAAGATCTACGACGAGTTCCGCGACAAGCTGGTCCAAATCGTCCAAGCGCTTAAAATGGGCGACGGCGCCGAACCGGATGTATTCTTTGGACCTGTGCAAAACCGCATGCAGTTTGACAAAGCCACCGATCTCCTTGACGACATTACGAGCAATGGTCTCAACGCCATCGCCAGTCATGTCGTCCCCAACTCCTCTGGCTTCTTCATCACGCCTACCATTGTCGACAACCCTCCTGACACCTCTCGGGTCGTTCGGGAAGAGCCTTTCGCCCCGATCCTGCCCATCCTTAAGTGGTCCGATGAGGCGGACGTGCTGACGCGCGCCAATGACACCGAGTATGGGCTGGGGGCGTCTGTATGGAGTCGCGACCTCCAACGCGCCCGGCGCTTGGCCGACCAGCTCGAGGCAGGATCAGTGTTTATCAACACACACTTCGAATGTGCCCCGTTTGCGCCCTTTGGCGGATACAAGATGAGCGGCATGGGAACGGAACTGGGGGTGAATGGCCTCATCGGGAATTGCAATTCGCAGACCCTATGGATCCGAAAGGGCTAATCCATATACTTAATCTGTCACATAATGCAACTCAAATCATGCTATACAACCGGCCACCTAGCCCCCACCTTGCCTGCCAACCCCGCCCTCTCCACGACCTCGCGACTCCTCCGCTGCGCCTCCCGTATCACCTCCCCCTCATCCATCGTCAACAACACCCCATCCTTGACCACCACCTTCCCATCCACCACCACCAAACCCACATCCCGTCCCGTAGCCGTATACACCACCGCACTAACAGGATTAAACCACGGCTGCATAGCCACTCCCCGCGCATCAATGGCCACAAAATCCGCCTTCTTCCCCACCTCCAAGCTCCCAATCCACCGATCCAACCCCAACGCCTTGGCCCCATTAATCGTCGCCATCTCTAGCACCTCCTCGGCCGTCACCACCGTCGGATCCCCACTCACCCCCTTGTGGATAATCCCGGCGAGTTTCATCTCCTGTAACATATCGCAGGAGTTATTGCACGGCGCGCCGTCCGTGCCCAGACTGATATTCACCCCGGCGCGCTGTAAATCGGGGACTCGACATGTCCCGGAGGCGAGTTTGGCGTTGGAGGTGGGACAGTGTGCGACGTGGGTTCCGGATGCTGCTAACCGCGCGATATCCCCGTCGTCGAGGTGGACCATGTGTACGAGCACCGTCGAGGGGGAGAGTAATCCCACGCTGTCGCAGTAGGACATGGGCGTGTGTCCTTCCCCCACGGAAGCAAAAAAGTCCCGGTCTGCAGCGACCTCGGCACAGTGCATCGTGATGGGGATGTTATGTTTCTTTGACAGCGCCGTCATCTCTTGATATAGCTCAGAAGATACCCTATTCCGTTAGCACCCCCCATACCCCCCCACAGAAACCACCAACTCGGAAGAAAGGAAGAAACATACCCCCCCGGCGTCCTCGCCCCAAACCAAACCCGAATCCGATCCTCCGCCTTCCCATTCCACTTCTCCCACATCTGCATCGCGCCCCCGAGCGAGGTCTCCCGATCCTCAATCAACCCCGGATGCATCGCCCACGCATCATCTTGCGCGTAGCGGCCCGTATCCATGACGATTTTGCCCAAACAGCCTCGGATGCCACTTTCCTCGACGGCGTGGCAGAGGCCGTCGAAGCCGTAGCGGTCGGCGAACTATCCCCTTGATCAATATTCTATTTCTCAATACAGTAACAGGGATTGGAGAAGAAGAGAGGGGGAATAGGGGGAATGGGGGGGAGGAAATATACCATACTCTCCAAAAAACACGTCGTCCCACCCTTCAACATCTCCACCACACTCAACCGCGCCGCGGCATATCCATCCTCCGGGGTAAAATTCCCCTGTAAGACCCAAATGCGCTCACACAACCACGACACCAATTCCAGATCATCGGCGCACCCACGAAGCAAAGTCTGGGCCGTGTGCATGTGTGTGGAGATTAAGCCCGGGATGAGTATGTGGCCGGACAGATCGTGGACTTCGTCATGGGGGTATTTGGTTAGTAGGATGGGGGTTTTGTCGATGTCGGTGATGAGGGTGGCGGAGGTGCGGAGGGCGGCGTTGGTGAGGATTCGACGGGTGGGGTCCAGGGTTATGATGGTGGTGTTGGTGAAGAGCATTCTGCTTCTTTCTTTGTTTCTTTTTGTTGATTTCTTTGGTGTGGGGGAATTGGGGGAAAGGGATAGGTGTTGCATTGGGTTGGTGATGGGTCAGGTTATAGATGGGGGTGGTGGTGGTGGTGGTGGCCCGGTGGACGGAGACCTCCGATGAGATGAGTGTGGGGGGCGATAAGATCAGATGGTGGTTATCGGATGCGGGGTTGGTTATGACTAACAGGGGAGATACATTAGAGATCTGAGTTAGTTGGGGTTTTAGTTGGAGGGCTGATTGGCTAAAATAGCATTGGTCAATCAGGTGCATGGTAGTATGATGGATCGGTTGAGAAAGGTTCGGAGTCTGCCACTAGTATGTATCAGCAAGCCCAGACGGGAAACCCATTCAACCCAATAGCATTCTCCTCAGCATCTCGAGGAGAGGCTATCGGTCTTTGAAGAGGTGCAGCAGCAGATTCTGAATTTGAAGACCTCTAATCATGCACAGATCTAGAAACACATCGCAAGAACCATATATTGAATGGCCACCAATGATTATCGCATCGGTATCGTCATCATATATCTGGTGCTGGGTTTCACAGAAGACTACTAATATAGCATAAGATCAATGACTCATTGTGATCCATTTGAGTATGAATGTAAGACATGCAGATCACACCAAGGTTTGATGAAGTGTACAAATACTATAATCCACCCCGGTTTGCCTCCGTGTACCACTCGTAATAGCACGGAATTGTGCGATTCAGCCTGCCTTCTTCGAAATCCTGAGCCTGTTGACAGTCAGCCAAGGCTGTTACTCCAATACTAGAACTTACCAAAGCATCCACAAAATAGTCTATCATCTCCACCTCCTCTGCGAACCATTTTTCGTGTCTCGGTGAAAGAGCCCCTCTGAAAATGTTTGGGCGTGAGTTGTGTGTGTTGGCTTTGGAACTTGGGTAGTTGAAAGATACAATCAGAGATGAAGAATGCTCATCCCTGTCGAAGATTCGATGTGATCTCTATTGCCTGAGGCAGAACCACCCACTTGCCTACTTGAGGTTTTGCGCTTCGTAGCCGCTGATTCCACCCGGGTCTAAGCCGATCCCTCCAACCTTGTGTTCCGAAGGTGTAACAGTAGTACCTTTTTATAGGTTTTGAGGCGCCCAGGAAATCAAAACTGGGCAACCGGAGGAAAACATGTGGGATGACTCTTAAGCGCCGATCTAACAGGGGTCAGCATCTAGCGTCTGCAGGTTGATTGGCAGGGTCCGCCTATCGTATCTTCAATTGAGAATCAGGCGTCTTACTTGGTATATAAACGGAATGCCACCTTGAATTTAACAATTTGATTAGTCACTGTATGAAATGCAAACAGACTGCAAGATGATGGATTGTATTGCAGGGTCCAACCGTGGGCTGGTGAGCGACAAGAAATCCTAGGGGCATGGGTTAGGGATATAGTTGATGGGTAAATGCGTGTCGGTATTGACGATATGTTGATGGTACGGACGTTACGAATGCCCTGATAAATATGCATTCTATGTCTCAATCGATTGGTGCAGTCGCATCAAAAGAAGCTCATGTTATTCATGGGTCATTGTCGTAGTAGCAGCATTGATCTACCCCAGATCTGCAATCTACAGTCGTGCCGACTGCAAACAGTCCAAATCATATTCCCTTGCTAGAGCATCTCCACAGGTCACTCCCGTCACATACGCAGTCGCCTGCGTGTGGTTGTTTGTCAACAGAGGTACCACGCTCATGTCGGCCACTCGCAGATTCTCGATACCAAACACCCGGAACCGACTGTCCACGACAGCATCAGCTTCCCCAGGCTTTCCCATCTTGGCGGTCCCCGTCATGTGCCAGCTGGAACCCAGCGTGTTCTTCCAAAACTCCAGGATATCTTCATCCGACTCCGATGGCGGTGCGATCAAGGTGGACACAGTGTCCTTCTGGAACGCTTCATGCTTTGTCACCTCGAGCGCATGGCGATAGATTTCAATACAGGCGCGCCGGTCAAACGGATGAGAGAGAAACTTCGGGTCAAACAACAATGGATCGTCAGGGTTACTGGATTGCAACCGCACTTCGCCGCTGGACTGTTCGTTCATCAGGAAAACCAGCATACACACGTAGCTGTAGTCCTGGACGACCTCGGGTGAGATCAGATGCAGCGGAAAGTGCGTCATAAGCTCATAATGTGGTACCGTGTCGCGCTGTAGGAATTCCTGCACCGTCAGAGGCAGTGCTTTGAACTCCGCTGATTCCACCAGACGGTCCGACTTGAGCCAGCCGGCACCGATTTGGCACGAGTGCCGCGCCCACGGCCCGGTGCCATCTTTTGTCCATTGCTCCAGGGCTGACGCCATGGCGGCCTTGTCGCCAAAAAAGGCATTCCGATCGTTCGTCGTTGTGCTACGTTGAAAGCACAGTGGAGCGAAGAAGTGATCCCGGAGACCCTGTCCCACGGCAGGCAAGTCCTTGACGACGGGAATCTGAAATCGTCGCAGTTGTTCTGCCGGCCCAATCCCAGAATGCATGAGGATCTTGGGCGTATCGAGCGAACCCGGTGTCAAAATCACTTCTTTGGATGCGAGATCTGCGCAGACAATTAGCTTTATCATTGACGCATCTTCAGCACTGCTTACACGTCTTCTCCTTGGTGACTACACCAACGGCCTTGGTGCCTTCCAGTAGCAGCCTCAGCACTGGCGCCTTTGTGATGACAGTCAAATTGGATGGCGCACGCTCCAAGAGGTCCGTTGCAGTGACTCTCCGGCCCTGGTGGGATGAGTTGATGACCAAGGCCATGCCAATGGGATCACCCGAATTGTGATCAGGGTTCCGCGCAAGGCCAGCCTGCTCGAAGACATCCATCATGAGGGGGAGATCCTGCTCCCATTCGGCAGCGTAGCCGACCTTCAGTCCGCCGAACGACCCATGGTCGGAAGCCCTCGGGGTTGCGTATTTAGTATATCTCGGGTCAACAATGGCCCCGTTGAACGTCTCTAACTCTCTGAAGCGAGCCTGCATGCGCTTCCAGCAAAACGAGTCATCGCCAACCAGCGTCGCCCATTGGTCATAGTCGTCTCGTGCACCCACGGTATAGACACCGAAGTTGATGGCGCTGCTGCCACCCAGCACCTTCCCCCGAGAGTAATCAATCTGTCGGTCATTACAGTGTTCCTGCGGTGTGGTCTTGTATCCCCAGTTCAAGTCCCCGTTCATAAAGGTCTGCCACCGTTGGCCATCCACGCGCAGGGACGGGTCGTCGTTGCGACCGCCGGCTTCCAGCAGCAGAACCCGAGGGTGTCTCGCTGATCGGGCGAGCCGTGCGGCAAGGGCGCAGCCTGCTGGGCCACCTATATCGCTATCAGCTGAGCGGTCTTAGTCAGGGGCGATCATACTGACCACCTACAACGATGAATTCCCACGTCTCCTTAGAAGCCATGATGAAGTGAAAATCTCAGAATGACAAAAAGAAGAATCCCAACGAGCAGATTCCCACCTTAAATGGGTTGACAGGAGCTTGGCGGGTGGGCCTTTCATGACAGCAAGATCGACAGTGAGAGTTGTGAGAACACGAAGAGAACCCCGCACGCCCGGAACGATCCATCCCTGGCCAGACTTAGGGACGGAAAAGAGGCGCTTCGGCGGTCACCTGCCGTGTCGATAGTCGTGTCAGCCGTGCGGTACGCATTTTGGGATGTCCCCGGCCCACTGATAGAAGGCTAGATGAGTTGGAGGCCACTAGATCGGGATCAGGGTTCCACTGCGTGGAGTCCTAGCGATGATCTCTCTTTCTGCGAATGATTTCCGGACGGCAGAGCGTTGCCCTGAATGCCGCCTCCACGAATACCTCTATCGTGAAGAACCTCAATTTCACAGGGTCGAGTACTTTCGCCCCGGCCTCCATCTGAGGGGATCCCCCTACAGGCCTGTTCGGGGCGCCATTACACCGATCACCAACCGATTTCTTGGCTCTGGTAGACGGAATGAAGGGCCAGAGTGGAGGTCAGAGTGGAGAGAGGTCAAAGCCTAGGGCGAGGGGGAATGGAGGCATTCGAGGTTAGGGCATTAGCTAGCTCGGCGAGATTCGCCGACGCTGCAATCGGGGAAGTAAGGAGACAGATATACTATTCGCTGTGGCTCGGAGGGAAATGTGGAGAGCTGCAGAGACGCGACGTCAGCGACCATCCGGACGGATCACCAGGGTTGCAGTTGCTTATCATCCACCCACCGTATTTATTCGATGACTTTGCCAGATGGAGGATCAATTTCTTTCCCGACACGCCATCGCACCATCGACAGGTCTGCGGTCTTGGAGACTACCTCGCGATGAAGACATATTGAGGGGCGTTCCGCTTGCTCGGGCCAATGCAGAAATCTCAACCGGTAGCTGTATCATTCTCACCATTGATGGCAAAGTAAAGAGCAGATCAAGGTGAGGAGCAGAGGAAGATGAAGGCCCAGGGAACATGAAGAGCTCTGTCGAGCTTGATCTGCGCGGCACATGGGCCATGGAGCAGTCCAAGGCTTATCATCATCGGACGAAACACTGTGAGCAGCGGTGCCCATCATAGAAGGCAGATGGGCTTATTTGGAGGAGAGTTCGGAGTCCGGAGAAAATCAGCATGGCTGGGGGAAGTTGTAGGAGGCCGGAGTTGTTGATCGGGCCGCCAACAAAGAAGGCATCACGCCGCCGCCTGCAGGCTTGAGCGCGAATCCCCGACCTCTCGAGTCAATTGCAGGTGACAATTAGATCTTATCCAGATGGCAATTCACGGTCTCCTGCTTCTACCCCTGCCAACGGATATATCGCATACTATACAACAAGCTGCCTCGTACTACTTCAAATATCCCGAGTGAGGTATTAAATCCTCCTTGAAGCCCATCTGTACTACTTTCTACTAAGCCTACGACGGGCTCGCACATATCCATGTAGGATTCATACAACAGTATGACGGTCGCTGGCCATCGTTGAGCGACCTGCTATACCCCTCTGCCAGCCTGGCAACCCCAGGTAGGTCCTTCCCTCGATACCCCAGCGAATGTACAGATAATACCCACCTCATCATTCTCACTCGTCAGCATCAACCGCAACAAATTAATCATGCTGGCAATTGTGGGGTTGCTCCTTGGGCTGCTGTCCCTGGTTAGCGGCAGTGTCAAATGCCGGTGTCAACCAGGCGACGCATGCTGGCCTTCGGAACACGATTGGAAAGCCTTGAATGACTCCATCCACGGTCATTTGGTTCGAGTGCGCCCGATCGGCCACATCTGCCATGAACCCTTCTATAACCGTACCTCCTGCAATGAGCTCGCTCGTTTGCAATCCGACGCTAATTGGCGCGCAGCGCAACCAGGTGCGAAGAGTCTATTGCCTGTGTTGGAAAGGTCTTGTTAACCAGCATCACGAGCAAATCACAGGAGCCCTGCAAAGCTTCAACTGGGAGAATTGGCCTCAAAAGCACGAGAGCTGCGCCATCGAGGCCAATCCAAACTCGACATGTCAGCAAGGGCGCATACCGTGGTACTCCGCAGTGGTCCACTCGGTCGACGAGATCCAGGAAGCAGTCCGATTTGCCAAGCAAAGAAATCTCCGGTTGGTCATCAAGAATACAGGTCATGACTCCTGCGGTCGCTCCGGTGCCCCCTATTCTCTCCAGATTCTGACAAATCGCCTGAAGAACATCACCTTCCATAACGACTTTGTCGCCTCTCGGGGGCACTCTAGAGTAAATATCTCGGCCATCACTAGGGTCCCAGCCGTCACGATAGGGGCCGGGGTCATGGTAGGCGAGCTTTACGCAGCGGCAGCTTCCCGAGGGTATATTGTTGTAGCGGGAGAGTGTACCACGGTGGGGGTTGCCGGGGGATACCTTCAAGGGGGCGGAGTATCAACTGTCCTGAGTCCAATGTACGGCTTGGCAGCAGACCATGTCCTAGAACTGGAGGTGGTGACTGCACAGGTATGCGGACCCCCATGGATCGCTATCGCGCTAACAGGCCTAGGGTGACTTGATCATTACAAATGATAACCAACACCAGGATCTGTTCTGGGCCCTCAAAGGAGGCGGAGGGGGCACCTACGGCATTGTCACCAGAGCCACAATGCGAGCATTCCCAGATATGCCGTCCGTTATATCCACCATCCATTTCACATCCACAGAGGCAGATGATAGATTTTGGCAGACCGTAACACACGTTGTGAGCCTGACTCGGTCTATGTCTGTCAACGGAAACTCCGGGCAGTACATAGTAGGTCGCCTGTCGAACTTCCACTGGTTCGTTAACTGGACCATGTTTGTGCTGAACGAGACCAATTCACAATTGGTCGATAGCCAGGTTCGGCCCTTCCTAAGCCTTCTCGGCTGGCTTGGAATCAAGTACCAGTACCATTCTACTGTGTACCCCAAGATCAGCACCTTCCTAGCCATCCCCAAACAGGCAGATATTGGCGGAGTCGGATACCTGCAGAGCAGTAAAGTGGTGTCGGAGTCATTTATGGCTAGCATCCGCGGCCCCTCAGGTCTGGTGGCGTCCCTCTCGAAGCTTGCATTGGATCCTGGTGCGCTGGTGACGGTCAATGTGCTTGGCGGACAGGTGAACATCAACACCAGTGGGATGCATACCTGTGTACATCCCAATTGGCGGTCATCTGCCCTCCTGGTAGTCTTGATGCAATCATTCCCCCCCACGTTCCAAGCGCAAGCTGCTGCACTTGAGAAGCTTATCCGAGTAAATGCGCCGGTTCTCACCTCGATCGACCCAGGCAGTACCGGGGTCTATTTCAACGAGGCCGCCCCCACGCAGGACGACTTCCAGACGGCTTTCTGGGATCGCCACTATGAGCGGCTACGGCGCATCAAGAACCAGTGGGATATAGACGGATTGTTCATGGTCCGGAACGGGGTAGGCAGCGAAGATTGGGATGTGGAGGGCATGTGCCGGAAGAACACGACCGCACGGTCCTCGAGACCAAACTATCGGGCAAATGCTTTGCCATCGTAGGCTGGTGGTATTGCCCGAGGCCAGGGATGGAAAGGCCCAGAGTATTTCAGTAGATACTCAATGTTAGCTGACCCTGTTGTAAATCTGCAACTCTAGTCTCCTTCTGAATGCGGCAGCGTTTGATCTCCATAGCCTGAGACGGATCTCCCAGAGCTGAGGCCGAATAGGAAAAGTAAAGGGCAACTTAGAGACGCTTGGGGTATGGTATAAAGTTAAGAGTGCGTTGATCCAGCCCTGGTACCACTGGCATGGAAGTTGGGAGGCAGGAAAGAGGGTTTCTGGAAGAGGGGAAAGGTTGAAGGTCGGATACGAACATATACTTTGGGGCGTTGGTTTCGGACGAGACGATCCCAGGAGGAGGGCATGTGACCATGGATGGACTCAGCCCCACCCACCAGCCACAGCCACTTGCCGAGTTCGTCGCTGCCCCGGCAGTCCTTCAGTTGGTCCCGGCTAGACCCCGCCCGGCCTAGTGCCTGCCGGCGAGAACCAAGCAGAGCGCGCGCAGAACCCGAGCCGGTGGTTTCAACCCCGGACTTTCCTCTCCCTCTTCCTGTCTCTCGCTTCTCTGTCTTTCGCCTCCCCGCTCCTTTCTCTTTTCCAACATCTTCATCGCCATTCCACGGCGGGTTGAGTCCGTCCCTTTATTCTGCACTCTCTTCTCCCCCCTCCCTTCTTTCCTTCTCCTTCCCTACCCTTCCTTGCGCTTTTCTTCTCTCGGCGACCTCCTTCAACTATACTTTAAATAGACCTTCTGTGGCGCCATCCAGAAACCTTCCGACCCTCTCTCCCCTGTCGCGCTTCAGGGTCCCTCCCTTCGGTCGGTACGAACGGTACAACCGGTACGAACGCCCACCCTGATCGTCACCGGTGTTACTCCTCGTCGCAGAAATAGAACGCCGGCGCTGGCTTGCGCTCCATGGCCGCTCTCTAAAGACGGGACCTGCGCGACAATTAAAGGAGGCCCGTCTGGACCTAGTCATTCGGGACCCCTTGCGATCGGCTTGGTGAAGATAAGGATGCAAAATAAAGCGTGGTTTGGTTTCACATCTCCCATTTCGTCTCGTCGCTCGATTGCCTGGAATCATGACTCGAGTCACCGGACTTTAAAACCAACTTGATATGGCGCTCCGTTCTTCAACCCGTTGCAATTGGAATCTACAAGCGGTCTACTGCCCGTACTCTCTGACTCTGAAAAGTCTGGGAGGGTAGGGCCTGCTCCCTCACTCTACCCCAGCGCACACGTTACTGCTTATCGCGACATGTGGGACTCCCTCTCCAGTCCACCCGAGGGCCTCATTGGAGGTTATCAAGGGGGCAGCCTCGTGATCAAAATTCTCATGGCAGTCTTCAGTTCAATTGCTCTCTACAATGCCGTTGAACTTGTCATCCTCATTTTCCTCACCTTCACGCGCTATAGTGGTCTTTATTTCTGGACCATGCTACTCTCCGCTGTGTTTGGCGTCATTCCCCACGCCATCGGCTATCTGCTAGAGTTTTTCGCCATTGGGCCGATCTGGTTCGCGGTCACCTTCTCCACGATCGGCTTCTATTTCATGGTCCCCGGCCAATCCATCGTCCTCTACTCCCGGCTCCACTTGGTGGTCCAGAGCCAAACGCTACTCCGGCGGGTGCTCTACCTGATCATCTTTGACGCCATCGTCTTGCTGATACCCACCACCATTCTCACCTATTCCACCATCTATATCGGCACCGTTCCAATCATTAAGGGATACAATGTGGTGGAGCGGATGCAGTTGGCGTGGTTTTGCGCGCAGGAGATATTCATCTCGTTCATCTACATATTTGAGACCCTCAAGCTCCTCCGGCTGCGACCGGAGAAGGACCCTGAGCGGCATAAGACCATGTATGAGTTGATCGCCATCAACCTGGTGATCATTCTGCTGGATGTCGCACTCTTGGTTCTCGAGTACGTCGGCCTCTACACGCTGCAGACCACTCTCAAGGCCGCCGTCTATAGTGTCAAGCTCAAGCTAGAGTTTGGTGTCCTGAGAAAGCTTGTCTCGCTTGTGAATACACGCCACTCGGAATCGAGTTCGTCGGATCAGGAAGACTTCCCAACCTTTGTTGATCCGGACCAGATCACTGGGGATGTAACACATGCGGCCCCTGCCAATAGTCGAAGGCAGTCACGGTATCCGTGGACCGCCATCTCCATGGACAGTCTGATTTTATCCGAACGAAGAAGTCAGCACGTTACTTCTTCAGAATTACCCCGCTCTCCGTGAAGTGCAACTTATTCCACCCCCCCTGTCTCACTCCCGAGAGACTCCCACGCCGCTCATTTAGCGCACGGGACTCCCACTGTCCCTGGGGTTCGGCTTCTGTGATCGTGTATATAAGCATTGATAGATAGTTTCAGATGAGTATACTTGTACATACAGCCGGGTTTGTATATATATATATATATATATATTTTTTTTCCCCAGCGGCCGTGATTCTTGGGTGTAATTAGCGAACCTCCGTGTGGGGCCGGATGTCCGACCCTGAGACAGCGGATGTAGACCAAGTCGCAGAATGAAAGCTGGGAATAAGATGGGATCGCGAGGGCCATTCTGACGAGCCCGGGGGGAGGAGTGGGTCGGAACTCGGAACTAGGCTGAAGGCCGGCTCGGAATCATCGTCACCAGCTGGGCCCTGATCGAATGGGTTGGATCCGTGCATGAGACCGGTGCGGTGCATCGGCAAGCTACGAGTGGACACCGCGGTGGACCAGTCCAAGCTTGTCGGGGAGAAGAGGAGCCCTTAATGAGGTATCATATAGTCCAGTCTCAGCAGTCGGCCCTACCTCACTATGGAGACACTACATAATCGACCGGCACACATCTTGTTTCTGAAGGGTTTCCAGGCAGACTAGCGACCAAGCCGCGCATCTTACCGGATCACGACCAGGCTAGTGGCCCAAGAAGACCGGGCAGATCGTTACGATCGTATCCGTCGGGGCCACGGAGTTAACCTTACATGCATCCCAGTGGTGGGATGGCTGGTGCAGTACCTGGACCCCCGTCCAGTACCTGATTCCTGGGGACCTACCGATGTGGTACACCATACGTGGCCCTGCCAGTGTCAGTGCCACCATCTGGTGAACCCTGGGAGCATAACAACCCAATTATGGCAGGGATTCGATGACTAAGGGGTCCTTACAATAACTAAGTACTGGTACTTAGGACATCGTACCCCGGAACAATCCCATGATGTCACCATGGCATCCTTCAATACTGTGACTACTATTGTCACTCCCAACTGACTTTCACCCACCTTACTAGCACTTATGCCTGAGTTGGGGATCAACCAGTACCCTGCTCTGCTCTTCCTCTCCTAAGGAAGAATTCAGGGCCAAAAGACAGGTCTGAATCATGTTGGGCTTCCACAGGATTTATCTAGTCGGACTGACTAGTAAGTGATACTTGCATCGACCTAGTCGGGCCTCTGCAGTGGAGTTCATATCGATACGGACGAGCCGGAATAACGGGAGGCCAGCGGAGGCTGAAGGTTTGATTGGCAGGAACGTTGCCCGATCGTTTGGGATGGCGTACGGTAATTTACCGTCGCCCACTCGGGCGGGAAGCCCAGTGGGGGGCCTCAAGGCTCTGTGATTGGCCGCTGCCAACTTTTTGCCCATCAACGGCTTGGGGCTAACCCCAAGCGGGCAGGCGGCCTTGACTTACCCGCTCTATCTGGCAGTCACCCATGGGGACGGACCACCGACCCTCGATGAACTGAATCTTTTTCCTCTCCCTCTGACTGCACCGCCGCTGTCCTCGTCGCTGGATCGCCTGCCCCAGGGGCGTTTGAATTCCCGACCCTTACCTCTCTCTGGTAACTCTCCGGCCTCCTTTCCTGGGCATTGAGCCACGAACTATATCACCATCGCCGCCGCTATATCGCTCCCCGGTCACCATCCCACCTGCAACCCCTCATTTGGTATTGAACCTCCCACTTTCACTGGTATGTCAATGTTCTTGGGCTGCCCAGCCCTGCCGTCGGGCCTCGTTGCCCACTGCCGGCCAGATTTCAGGTCACCGCTAATCCTGTTCTCGCGATACTCCAGAATTTTCCCCATACCTCCCCGAGATTCTCCATACCTTACGCCACGTCCCGGGCCAAATAGCTTCGTGCGGTCGGCTTTATCCCAGGTTTTTTTCTTGAGCGTTTAGTCGGCTGGACAGAACGATCAGCTCGTTCTTTCCCTCTCAATAATCGACGTGGAGGACCTGTCCTCGCATCGCTGATGTCACCCTGCCGTTCCTACTCCCCAATGCGCCCTTGACCGTCCGTGACGAGAACCCAATTCCTCACAGGGCCACCGTGCCCTAGTCTTAAAAATGGTGTCGAACAATTCCCCCGCCACGGATAACAATCCGCCCCCCGAAGTGTCGGAGACCTTGAACGAAGACACCCCGGTTCCGGATCAGGGGCACACGGCGCCCATGGAAGGTGCCACTGTCGGCGGGACAGATAGAGTATACCCGATTCGATCGATCATCTCCTTCAACCCTCCTCCCACCGCTGCGATCCAGCCAACCGTAACGACCGAGCTACGTTCGCCTCGGAGTGGGGCGCGCTCGTATTCGATCATTGACGCGGAGACCTGGGATCAATTGAATTCCCAATCCACCACTTCCCCACAAACCGATGCCTTCCTCAGTCAACCGAGTAATACTCCGGACCGAATGGGACGGCTTCCGCAGCAGCTTCCCGAGATCTACTCCCCTAGCTCGAACGTGGAGGATCAAGACCTCACCAAGGACACGAATTCCGCACAGCGAAAGCTAGGACCAGTAGGGGGTGATGCCAGCCTCGTTACCGCGCGATTCCAGCATGTGATCACAGAGGGTGGCCATGCTGTCGTAACCGGCAACACCCCTGATTCTTTTCGCGCATGCGAAGACGAACCAATTCACATTCCCGGCGCTGTACAAACCTTTGGCGTGATGGTGGTGCTGCGCGAACAGCCGGGGGATGTTCTGACCGTTCATGTGGCCAGTGAGAACTCAGAGGCTATTTTAGGCCACTCGCCAAGTAGTCTTTTTGCGTTGGAGAGCTTTTCCGACATACTGCAGGCCGATCAAACGGACATCCTTCTGGATCATATTGACTTCATTCGCGACGAGGCATATGATCCCGCTGCGGATGGCCCGGAGGTCTTCATCCTGGCTGTTAATGACCGAATGGGGCGGCCTCGACGGTTTTGGTGTGCCATTCACGTCAATTTGGCCCACAGAGACGTGATCATTTGCGAGTTCGAGTTGGAGGATGACCGCATCAATCCTCTGAATGCTACGGGACGGACGACACCCACTTCCCCAACGGATACCCTGGGGTTCGAACCGACACCGGATCAGCTAGCCAGTAGCACTGTTAATATAAGCCAGCCACTACGAGTCCTTCGGAATGCGCGCAGGCGAAGGGGCGAAGCGGCTGCCATGGAGGTGTTCAGTATTGTTAGCCAAATCCAGGATCAGCTGGGTGATGCGCAAAACTTAGATACATTGCTTAACATCACGATTGGGATCGTCAAGGAATTGACCGGATTTCACCGCGTCATGATTTATCAGTTTGATACAGAGGCCAATGGAACCGTGGTGGCAGAGTTAGTCGACATGAGAACGACCAAGGACCTGTATAAAGGGTTGCACTTCCCATCGTCGGATATTCCGAAGCAAGCTCGCGACTTGTATCGGCTCAATAAAGTTCGTATACTCTACGACCGTGAGCAAATGAGCTCCCGGCTGGTCTGTCGCAGCGTTGAGGACCTCAAGACGCCGTTGGATATGACGCACGCCTACCTGCGTGCGATGTCTCCGATTCACATCAAGTATCTAGCCAACATGGGGGTCCGTTCATCCATGTCCATCAGCATCAACAGCCCCCATGATCTCTGGGGCTTGATCTCATGTCACACTCACGGAGAGTCCGTGATGCGGGTGCCTTTTCCAATTCGAAAGATGTGTCGGCTGATCGGCGATACCCTCTCGCGGAACATCGAGCGTCTCTCTTACGCATCCCGTCTCCAGGCACGCAAGCTCATCAACACCATTCCAACCGACGCCAATCCCTCAGGGTACATAATCGCTTCGTCGGATGACTTACTGAAGCTATTCGATGCCGACTACGGTGCCCTGTCGATCCGAGGGGAGACCAAAATTCTCGGGAAATCCACCGAGTCACAGGAGATGCTGGCGTTGCTCGAGTTCCTCAAGATGCGTCAGCTCAACTCCGTGGTCGCATCGCATCATGTGAAGAAGGACTTCCCAGACCTGCATTATCCTCCGGGATTCAAGGAGATTTCGGGAATGCTGTACGTGCCTCTCTCGGCCGATGGCAAGGATTTCATCGTCTTCTTTCGACGAGGCGAACTCACTGAGATCAAATGGGGTGGCAATCCGTATACGAAGACCTTGCGGGATGGCCACCTTGAGCCCCGGGCGAGTTTCCAGGCCTGGAGCGAGACGGTCATCGACCGGGCTCGCGAATGGACCGAGTCGGAAGTTGAAACCGCCGCCGTCTTGTGCTTGGTGTATGGCAAGTTCATCAAGGTCTGGCGACAGCAAGAGGCGGCGTTGGAGGGTTCGCAGTTGACAAAGCTACTTCTGGCCAACTCCGCCCATGAAGTCCGAACCCCATTGAACGCCATCGTCAATTACTTGGAGATCGCCCTAGAGGGGACCCTTGACACCGAAACTCGCGACAACCTGACCAAGTCCTACTCCGCCTCTAAATCCCTGATCTACGTCATTAACGATCTGCTGGATCTCACTAATACCGAAAAGGGACACAGCCTCATCAAAGACGAACCCTTCGACTTGCCGTTGGTTTTCAAGGAAGCGACGGGGATGTTCGACGGCGAGGCGCACCGTAAAGGGATCGACTATACCATCCGCACTCATCCGGGAGTGCCCAAAACCGTTGTCGGCGATGAACGGCGCGTTCGGCAGGCCATCTCTAATTTGATCTCCAATGCCATTCAGCATACATCCACCGGTGGTGTCACTGTTGAAATGTGGCGGGCTCCTGGCAATGCGGTGCCGGGGGTGGCAAATATCCATATGACAGTCCTCGATACGGGGACGGGCATGTCTTCCGCTATGCTCGAAACCCTGTTCCAGGAACTGGAGCAGGTTTCCTCGGAAGATGACAGCTACTTCTTCGATCGAGATGCAAATGGGGGCTCGCAGGAGAATACCAATCCACGCGAGAAAGGTGTCCTGGGGCTGGGGCTTGCTCTGGTCTCCCGCATCGTGCGGAATACTCACGGTCAGCTCACCGTGCGGTCCGAGGAAGGGAAGGGCAGTCGCTTCCAAATCTGGCTCCAATTTACTACTCCAGATGATGCGCCCTCCGATGCACTTGATGGCTCGGGCCCCCCGACGCCGGATGATGGCTCGATTCCGTTTGAAGCAAAGGAAGAGTTCGTTCTAGTCGATAATAGCTCCTCCGCTCCAAGTGAGGGATGGCGACGTGATGGTAGCCATGACGGTGAAAATCATCAGTCTGACGGTGAGGTCGGTGCCGCCGTCATGCCAGGGATTTCCATCGATCGCGCGACAGATGAAGCTGCCGGTCTGCTTCCATCTTCGGATCGTCGCAAAGTCGTTACCTTGCCCTCAACCCCCAAACCATTAGAAATTGACTCGCGCGAGACGCCTCCGACATCCGCTCCACCTCCACACCCTAAAACAGACTCTGCAGGGCCTACTGAAACGACCGCTCCTCCTCCGGAAGCAGACTCTAAGAACCATCCCGGCACGTACAGTGTTCTTGTTGCCGAGGACGACCCTATCAATGGCAAGATTGTACAAAAGCGACTTGGGAAAACCGGTCACACTGTTCATCTAACGGTCAACGGCGAAGAATGCGCGGCTTCCTACCGCGACGATTCTGCGCGTTTTGACGTCGTCTTGATGGACATTCAGGTATGATCCCTCCTTGGGCAGTGTGCGATGGGTATACTAATACGAGTCAGATGCCGATTGTGGATGGGATCAACTCGACCAAGATGATTCGCCAGTTTGAAGCCATATCACCAGACAACGCAGCCCTTTCCCCAATCGCGAAGCTGAACAAGCGAGTCCCCGTCTTTGCAGTTTCAGCCTCACTCCTGGAGAAGGATATGTCCTTGTACGTTGATGCGGGCTTCGACGGATGGATCATGAAGCCTATCAACTTCAATCGTCTGAAAGTGCTCTTTGACGGTCTCCAAGATGAAGGTACTAGGAGCAACGCTACGTATCATCCTGGCTATGACTGGGAGCAGGGCGGCTGGTTCACATCTACTCCCCACGAGGAGCAATAATACACGACTCCATTCACTTCTATCCCGGATCATCTAATCTACCTACCGACTAACGAAAGTTGAACATGCCTCGATCATGCTATATGTCGGCCTTTCGTTCTATCTACCTTTCTTACACAAGCTTCTCTGCATCGATTTCGCAAAAGCAACCCAGCAAATTCAACGGCAGCCATGATGACGAAGAAAACGAGTGATCCACATTTTATGCGATTTGTTTTGACCGGTCGGGCCCCATCTTTCCAAAATCTCGTTCTTCAATGTATACCCCCATTAGTTGATATGTCTCGGCTTTACATCTGTTGCGTTCCAACATGGGATCTAAGTCCGTCCATCTATCATGGTTTGATATGCGCATGTTATGTCTATTGGTCAATGAGCATACGTACAGCCAGATAGCAAACATGATTTCGTTTATTTTTTCTATCAATTGATCATATGATCATGTTTTCCTCACTGTACCATATGTCACCATACCTAAGCATGGGACCCATCGTTATCTTTCGGGCGTGAAATCTGCATGCATTGGGTTATTTCAGAAGCGACTTCTCTGTCTTTTTACCTTTCTTCCCATCAGGGAAGCCTATGTCATTCCATCCCTTGACACAGTATGTATCATCACAATCAACAACAACACTATCCAAACAGACACAACTCTTATCCCGCAACCCAAATGAGATAGAACTAGATACATAATTATTCACACCTAGTACGTAGTCCTCTCATCCATCTTAATAAATATACCTTGACCTCGACCTTTCATTCACCGCCTTGAGACCAGATATCATCTCTCTCGACATTGAAGTATACTCAATCAATCATACATGTAGAGGTGCGATGTACTAAACATAAATCCCGTCCTTATTCTATCCTATTCCACGGAGTAGACGTATCTCAAACAATCCTACTGCTTATTTTAGAAACGACGGCATCAGGAACAAATGTAAGTATTTGGATTCAAAGGATATTATATACGTAGTACTTACAGGGATTACGATGAAAGCCTATGCAACTGAAGTGAGATATGTTTGCGGGTGGTGGTGGTAGTAGTAGTAGTAGTAGTATATTGAGTTACTTGGGTTGTGAGAGTGAGTTACGATTTTTTCTAAATTATTGTGTTTGGGGATGGAGAAGATAGAATAGAGGGATAGTGATAGTACTATGTACTGTATACTGCTTAGTGGGGCGGAAGAGAGAAACATGTCTAGTATATTTTCTAATGAGGGTGTGATTTGTTTTAATTTGTGTTTTCTTTTTTCTTTTTGAATGGTGGTCCCCGGTGGGGGGGGGGGGGGGGTGTAGACAAAATGTGTATATTTATTCAAAGGGTCGGTAGCGCTAGTGAGAAATGATCAATGTTATGGGGTAAATTGAATTGAGGTAAGGACTGTACACGCATGCTAAATCACAGGGCTAGAGATGTCAAATCGTGATAGATATATAAACGGTCGGACCAAGGGCACTTCGTTACATGGAGGCAGGTATAAGGAAGGGTATAATAGCAAGTCAGATCTCCGAGGCTGAAACCTCCCGCTTACGAGGCCCAGCCTCTAGATCAGGTATCTCATGAACCAAGTGCTCCGCAGAGTGGACCCGGGGTGGTGTGGCCAGCTCGACGGAGTCTGAGGCATCGATCGATGGAAGATCGTTGGTGTAGGTCCGGTGGTTGGTGTTCGGCGGGCTGGAGTTCTGGTCGCTGCTGCGGCTGCGTTTGGTTTCAAGCACAACACTGTCGGGCGAGGTGAGAGTCTGGTTGTAATGGAAGGCCTGATGACGAGTATGAACATGACGATGGTCTGAGTTATCCCCAGTCGAGTTGGAGTTATGATACTCTCCATCCGAGTCACTGTGAACGAGGCGAATAAGCTTGTTCAGGGCAGCAAACTCGACCAGTAACTTGGTACTGATGATGAAGGGGACAAAGGCCGCCACGACCGCGCTGGCGACGGTGAAATCAACGACCATGTTGGCCGTATCCAGAGCGAAGGAGACACCGCCCGCGAAGATCAGGGCGATGATCAGCTTCCGGCCCTGGCGGCCCCGGAGAAAGATCAGGGGCCGGAGGTTACGGATGGTTGCCCAGGCGTAGAATCCGAGGATGATCATCTCACGCAAGCAGTAGCCCACCACAGAGATTTTCTCGAGAATCATCACCGCCTGTGTCCAATTACCGCGGCCATGAACGGCGGCCGCGGCGGGCACAGTGATCACATGAGGGAATTGGAGCAGCAGAACACTGCCGATGATCATGTAGAGGATCCATCGGGGCTTCCGGCCACCGGTGACGAGGTGGACACGGGAGTAAAGGACAAGGGAGTTGCTCACACTGATGGTGGTGTAGGAGAGCACGACGCCAATGGATGAGGGGAGGAGGGTGTCAGCATTCCCGAATATAAACAGTAAGCAAAAAGCGCAGGCGATAATAGTTCCCACACTCGCGATCAGCAGACTCCAGAAGTATAGGCCGCGGCGACGTTTGAAGAAGTCAAAAATAAGATAGACTAGGCCCATAGAACTGAAGGCGGAAATGGAAACGAAAGCCACGACAGTATAACTGTCAGCGGTTGGCGTACTAGGGAATGCATTTGCGGCGTCCCCCATCTTGAATCATTGTTTGATTCAGGTTTCTCAAGGACATCGAGGGATATCCTCGAGAAGAAATGGGGAGAGAGAGACCGTAAACATAGCATATAAGGAACAGGACATAACAAAGGACCAAGTCAAGACTGCGGTCCAGAAGAAAAGATTTCCGTCGCCCACGACGCACGGTTCGTACCAGAGGCGCAGCCATAACTGGTCCGGAGATGGAGGCTGTCATGGAGAACATCCCCAACGATTAGTAGGGCCAGGACAGGAGTCATGGCGGCTCATCAAGGTTAGCGCTGGCTCTAGTACCCCTCAATGCACCGAGTGGGATTTGCTGATAAGGTTCTGATATGCTCGGATGGGGAACATGGAACCGACAGATGAACCGTGCACCATGGTGTCTACGGCACGCATCGGGTAAGTTGCAGGAGAACCCCGACGTGCATGTTCTAGTTGTCATGCATCTCTCCCACCGGCGCGCGAAGTGGAGCACCATGCGATAGACAATAGCCGGACATGATCAGCAATGCCCTCCAATGCCTAACTATGAACTGACCTGGACTCGCAGGATGAGGCTGTTGTGGCCGAACTTCTTTCGGCCAGAGATCAACCTCGGTTCCTTGGTTGAGCGCGGTGAGCGCAAGAGTCTGGAACCACCGCTGCGCTCAGACTCGGCGCGGAAGACCTGCGAACAAAGAAACTTGGGGAAATGTGTCCCCCAGATCCTTCTGGCCCATGGGATGTGATCGTGTAGATTTTGCAGCCGACAAATTGGAGACTAGGACCGTGGAGCACCTAGGGAGCACATTGCACGCAGTCGCTCCCCCTGATGTCCGAAGGCCGATCATCAGATCGGTTTTATCCCGCGATAGATGCAGGTAGCTGGATTGAGTTGGTGAAACAGGAAGCCAAGCACACTATGGGGAACCATTGTTGTTGATAGTTAACCGAATCCGGGTATACCGTTACAAAACAACGTGAAGGTTGCTTTCAGAACAGGGATGATAGCAGAGATCAACCTTGCGGAGGAGCTTCGGATATGTGGCCAGGAAGGCAGAGGGCCAGGCATTGGCTGTGGCCACACCCCTGAGGCTGCGCGAGGGCCCGGCTTTGCTCGACCCACCGGATGGAGGAGGTGGTCAGACGAACCATGGCCTGCACGGCCTGCACTGCCGAATCCCTGGGGGGCGCGGGGTCGGACCCCCCGGATTTGTCGGATCCGGTGACATTGTGTGATGTGATCATGGCAGGATCTGGGCGTCGTCCAGGACGTGCTAGACCAGGTCCTGGCTCTGGATCGGGGGCCGGTCCAGGGCGATTCATTGCGTTATTCCCTCAGGGCATTGTTCTCGGGCCGTCGTGATAATTTGGACCAATAAACATGAGAGCTGCTGTGGCGAAATCAAGAGGAGAGTGAGAGGAAGAGTGAGAGAACAAGGGAGGAAGAGAAAGAGAGAGAGAGAGAGAGAGAGAGAGAGAGAGAATGAGGCAGCAAGGCCGCAAGGTCGTAAGGCCAACCGCCAAGGGGCCAAGGCGGTCCCGAAGTGCCGGGGGACCAGCAGTGATGAGGGCCTTTGACCATTATCCTCATTATGGTTATTCTTAGAGCGTTGGCTGTCAAACTAGTGGTCTTGTCCCAATAGACCCTTGTCCTGAAGGCCCTATGGGGCTCATTAGGCGAGCTGAGGGCTACGGATGCTCTGTCATCATATCAAGCAAGTCAACATTGTAGTCCCGAAATAATTACATCACGTCCATCATTAACATCCAACCCTTCACCAACATGACTATAGACCTTAACCCCATCTCCATAATATCTACCGAGCACTCTATCAAACAGTGCACCTGACGACCGCACCACTCAGATCCACGGGCTGCGCCGCATTCGGGTTGCCGTCCAAGTCCGCATAGGTTCTCTGCGCCGTCAGGGTGGCCAGAACCGAGCCGTATTTCTTGATCACGCAGTTGGTCGTCTGCTGGAAGTTGGTCAACTGCGCCGACGAGGCCTTGACCACCCCGCTAGTGCCCACTCCGGTGTTGCCGTAGAGGTTCTGGATGCTCTGCTCGCTACCGTCGGCCGGGATGGCCGCACTGCCTTGGGCGCCCGTCTGGTCATTGGCCAGGGCGATGGTCACCGTGGTGACGACAGGACCAGCAGCAACCGAGGTCGCCAGGAGGGAGACGAGGATGGCAGAGATGGACTTCATTGTGAAGATAGAACGGATTGTTTGGTTTGAAGGTGGAAGTGAATGGTTATGGAGGATCAACAGATGAGTGGGATGAGATGCTGTGGATGGCTGAATGATGCTTTGACTGTCGAGGGAGAAGGCCTGCTTTATACCTTTGGCCTTCATAGATGGTCCTGGATGTCAAGGATACCTTTTGCGAGGTTCAGGGTCATGCGGCTCGGTCTTCGTATCTGTCTCACTTCTGAGTTCGTACAGCCCCGACACGGCTTCAGGCGTACCATGAGTTCAATAGTCCATCGATTGGATTTGTCCTTCGTATACAGCATCACGTAAATAGTTCCAGGCCGACGTCATGAGGCGCAGTACCGTCGACGCTCGAATAGGAGCGGACCAGATGCTGGACACGCCGAGCCGGCGACGAAATGAGATGACATCGCACGGGGGCACACGGATGCAGGTCTTAAACCTTCAGCCGTCGAGTCGATGCTGCAGTGAGCATGGATATCCTCGACGCTCCAATCGTGAAATCCGCGCGGTGGAGAGCTCGTGTTGTTGCAGAAACACGAACAAGACATGTCGCGGGAGGATTGTTAGGCAGCTACCGATTGCGGCTATTATCCCCCGGGATACCCTGCAGTCCTGATGTCAGGCAATTTCAGATGGCAAGATCCGATCGGATTGTATGTCTATCGAACGGTTGGCGCAGGGCGGAGTTCAGGAATACGAGCTGGCCGCGAGACCGGACCAAAATAAGCTGTCGGGAAGAGTAGATTTACTCCCCACGATGCAACGTCCCCACCCATCGCTCGTTCCCCAGACTCGGGGTTGATTGGGAGATCCATGCCGAGTCCAATAGTGAGATAGGATGGGTTTCCCTTTGCAGACCCTTCGGAGGCGCCGGTGCCACCCTGACATAGAAGTGGATATGAAAAGCCGATCGAACCCCCGGGAGGCAAAATGAACCCTTGCCCAAGCGGACCCTCTCGACCAGCTCCACCTGTGCACACTTTGGTGCAATTCCCTTTTGCAGCATGCAGCTTATCGACATCTTGAATCTGTCAGTGGGCCCTAGACAGGGTTTCAGGCTCCATCAGTCGGACAGTTTAGATGCGCTGGCCGACTTCTTGGCTTGCAGATCAAAGCATAGCCGAAAATAAAACTAAGACAGTGGAGACTATGGAAGTCAAAACGACAGCGGCCCCGGGAACGCGCGGGTACGTTATTCCGGGGTATGGGGTCTCATGGAGATCACATCCAACGTCACCTTTGCATGACTGAATGTCCTCTCCATCGGTGAGGCCACGGCTGTGCGGATTACCCAGAGGAAGGCTACAGGGATCAGCTGGTGTTCAGGATGACAACCAGGCTCATGATGTCAATGATGAGTAGAGACTGGATCCAGAACTACTCGGGACACTGGAATACAGCTACCAGCCTGCTAACAACCTGGTCAAGATACCGAATCCGTGAGGACAGGGAAATCAGGATGCAACGGTCGAGGATGACCTGGCGGAAGAATCTGGCAACCGGGTAGTTGGAGGTAAGCCCAGTCTTCTCGACCATACAATGGGCATACGCAGGGAATCGGAGAGTTTGGTGTTGACAGAGCTAGCTTCACGCTGCCCTGGGCGAAGCGAAAGCTATTGGGTTATTGCCTGTTAATACTGGCCTCTGCGACAGTATCAGATTGGTATTATCCCGCATACAATATGGCTGTGGACATAGGTCCTGCGCAGAGTGGAGAGGGAATTCCGGGACATCTGACTCCTATCTGACACCGGCTGCGAGCACTTGCTTTTCTGTGGACAGTCCAAGGGTGGTCTTAGTCCCTTTCACAATCCAGAGTGGTAACTTGGACCATGGTGATTTAGAACGATGCCTGGGCTCACGAGGGCAGCCAGAGTGGATGCCAGGGGAGAATCTGGGGGAGATCCGGGATCCCTGGGTAGATATAAAAGGAGTCTGGTTGCGCAGAGAAACTTCCGGATTGGCCTTCCCTCCAGAATGGACTGTAGTTGGGACTGGAGATCCGTCATGGAGTCATGGAAACATCACTGCGCGTTAGGTCCGGATCAGGGGATGCCGGACGTTACCCAAAATAGCACTCACTCCAACGCAGTAGCACGGCGGGTCCGAGAGAATACTAAAGAAATGACATGGCACCTGAACCCTTGGTGAGGGAGTGGCCGCGATGAATGGCAGCGGTGAGGGGGAAGTAGGGAGAGAGATGGTAGAGTTGAACGCGAGAAAGCGAGAAGAGCCGGTCATGTGGCTGGGCACGTGGTCTGTGCGGGAGCTGCTGACGTTGACGTCGCCGGCCACCTCCTCCGGCATCCGCCTGCTTTTCACCTCATACTCTCTTTTCTCCCCTCTCCACTCACCCTCATCCCTTCTTTTTACCAGATTTCTTTCAGAAACCATGCCCTACTCCTAGCGCGACCAGCCTCTTTTCCTTGATTAACCCCAAACCCACCGCTACAAGAGATTCTCGCCATGGTGTCCCTGTGGCCCTTCAAGGTACGTCTCGGTCTCCCACCATCACCATAGCACCCCTCCCAAAACCAACCACCAACTCATTCTTCTCCAGGCCGAGGACACCTCCCCAGCATCCTTCGAAAAAGCTCTCGCGGCCCTCTCCGCTAAAATCACCCGCGCCACCACCCGCCTCGACCTGCACCGTCAACATGCCCGTCGCTTCAAAGCCCTCTGGACCCTCTACACCACTTTCGCCTACCTCCTCTACTCCATCATCCTCGCCCTCGTCCTCGGATGGCAGAATTGGGGCCTTACTGAATATGCCGCGATCATCGGCGGTCCTGTCCTGTACGTGCTAAACCATCAGCCCCTCACATTGAGCCCCCGCCCCCGCCCATGCCCCTTTTCCGCACGTCATGCATGCATCTGAATCTGACCTTCAACACCTGCATATAGAATTTACCTCATCCGCACCGCCTCCACCCGCTACTACGATTACCGAATCACCAAATCCCAATCCTATCTTGATGACCTCCAAAAACAGCGCGAGAAAACCATTGAAGATCTCAAGACGGCCACGCGCTGGAATTCCACCCAACAACTCCTTGAAAAATACGGCGGGGCGCCGCCCAAACCCACGCGCTCGAACTCCATCAAATCCGGCGACGCGAAGCGCAAGTCTGAAGGGACCGGAAAGCGCAAGCAGCAGCAGCAGCCGCCGCAGCATGTCCAGCGCACAGGGTTACCTCCGCCCCCAACCGCAAACATCCGGAGACCTACGCCACAGCAACTTCCCACTCCTCAACATCCGCCAACCCCACCCGTGGGTTTCCAACAGCAACCGCAACAGCAGCCGTCCCCGCACATGTTCCCAGGCCAGCAGGGTGCCCCGAATAATATGGGCGTCGAGGAGCCTGGGTTCGCGCCGAATGCGTTCCCGAGTGCCCCGCAGTACGTGGAGCATTCACAGTGGTATGACCGGCTTCTGGACGTGTTGCTAGGCGAGGATGAGACGCAGCCGAAGAACCGGATCGTGTTAATTTGCTCGACGTGTCGGCTGGTCAACGGACAGGCACCCCCAGGGGTGAAGCGGTTGGAGGAGCTAGGCCGTTGGAGATGCGGGAGCTGTGGAGCGTGGAACGGGGAGGAAAGTGAGGCAAAGAAGGTGCTCGCAGGCATTCAGAAGGAGCCGCAGTCGCCCGAGGCGACGTGGGAGCCGGTGTCCAGCGTTGATGGAGAGACTCGATCATCCATGGGCGATGTGACGGACGAGGGGGTAATGGTGGCTGCCAGCGATGACCAGCTGTCACGCAGCTCGGGTGCTGAAACCCCAGAAGAGCAGGAGAGTGCGCAGCAGTCGCAGGAAGAGGAGGAGGAGGAAGAAGAGGAAGAAGAACCCGAACCCGAACCCGAACCCGAGCCAAGCAAGCGAATGACTCGTGCGCGTGCTAAGAGTGGACGGAGGAAGGGATGATCTTTACATTCTATGTAGTATTAGTACTATTGGCAGGGTAATATCAATATCCAGTCATATTCTAGGATAGCGGGTCCATCAGCGGCATTAATCTAACTGCACTCAATCGTACCCACCCGTCGCCCCGTAGGTTATGCTCCCCCAGTGATGGAAGTTCGTCCCTAACCCTGACTTGCATTCATTCTCTCCCCCTGAGTAAGTAGGTCGTAGATACCGATACCCCCACCAATGCCTCCAGACATAATCACCCATCCCAGCAATACAACCGTGTCACTAAGAAAGCAACCCAAGAAACCCCACCATGTGATCTAATAATAAATACTCTCCCATAATCAATCCTACATACTAACTCAACATATACAAATAATCCTAGCAAACAACATCTTTCTCCTACCCTCTCTCTCGCAAAGTACCAACTTGAACTGAATGCCTATTCAACCCCACCCCACCCTCAACCACTTCTCCCTCGCCTTTCCCACTCCCTCATATACTCTCAGAGATCAACAGGGAATAGATAGTATGTCGTATCAAGTGTGGTGGATCTTGAGGGGCTGTATGGTCACGGGATAATATCAATCGACTTGAAGCAGTCGTGCTCATTCTAGCGTGGAGATATTTTTTCTGATTGAAATTGGTAGATGGCTAGTTGCATCAGGCATAGATTCATCACATCATCACTCATCCAAACAAACATCCAATCCCTTCTTACATAGTAGTATCATCCATCAACGCTAAATATACCCCCACATGTCATAGATCTTCAAGCAGATACCTCAAATCACAACGAACCCCCCCGCTGAACAAGAATCTCCACCGCCCGATTGGACGCCGTGATTTCCGCCTCCTCGCTGGTCAAGCAGCCCTCCACTAGCACAGCGACTCCCTCTACCCCCGCCATCGTTACCGCACACTGGTACGTCGCGCCATTGTCTTGCTCATTAGGAACCCGCTTAGCGTCGAAGTAGATCTCCCCCTTGGCCATTTGCTGCGCAGCATTACGCGGATGCATCACGTTCACCCCCTCCGTGAGAATACGACGCAGGTACCAGAGGAGACCGATACGGTCTACGAACTTGATGCATTCGCCCAGGTTGCCGCGGGAGTCGATGAAGATGGCGCCGAGGATGCTTTCGATTAGGTCGGAGAAGAATTTGTCCGCGCTGAGTTGGGAAAGGCTCTGCCAGGGGTAGATTGGGGAGTGTTCGAGGTCGTGGATGATGGAGGTGCGGAGGGTGCGGTGGCGATCGAGGGCTAGGTCGCGGGCGTTGGTCAGGTGTTGGCCTTGGTAGCGCATGAAGCGCCAGAGTTCGACCTGCTCGGATGAGGATTCTAGGGTGATATTGCCGGTGGGGGCGAGCTCGACGAGGGTGCGTTCCTCGACGAGGGCGAATTCCATGCAGAAGAAGGCGAGGAGGTTTGCGTTCACGACGGCGTGCTTGATCTTGGTCATGTCGCCTTGGGAGATCTCGGTGGGGTGGTCGAGGAGTGTGGAGATGATTACCATGTCTAGGACGGCGTCGCCGAGGAATTCGAGACGCTGGTAGGACTGTGTGGTTGCGTCGAATTGGCAGGATGGGTGGGTGAGTGCTTCCACGAGGAAGGATCGGTTGGTGAAGGTGTATCCGATGCGCTCCATCAGCTTGTCGTCGTTCAATGTGTGATTGGTCACGCCGTCTTTGGGGATAAGGTTCTCGGTTTTATGGATATGCTCCAGATTCACCTCTGGTAGGAAGCGGCAGATGCACTCGTGTGCGGCAGCAAAGCCACCGTCAATGTAGGCTGCTCCTATTAGCGCCTCGACGACATCTGCCAATACCTTCATGGACATCATCCGTCGACGGGGGGTAATGCTGATCTTCTCGGAGATCAGAGGCGCATTCCACTTCCGGGGAGAGAACATTTTAGTCATTATGAAGGCGTCCAGGCCGACATCAAGAGCAGCCCGGGCGAGGCGAGGGTTCTGAACAATCTCATCTCTTCCTTCGGACAGATAGCCTTCATGCCAGTTTGGATGCTCGAAGAACAGCTGACACGAGACGGTGAATTTCAGGACCGAGTCCCCAAAGAATTCGTATCGTTGGTAATTAGTAGGTGACTGCGCGGATGGCGCCGTGATGGCGGTGATTACATGGCGAATGTTTGTGAAGTTAAGGTGTCGCAAAATACTCTCACATAGTCTGGTAGCAACCAACGTTGCTTCTAATCTATCAACAATAGCCGATATGAAGCGCCCGAAGATGGTCTCAGCATATGAAAGCCTGTCTATGGTGCACCGTTCTGCAAGAATGACCCGCATCTTCGAGGACGGTTCAGAGGCGTCAGCAGCACCAAGTGGCTTGATAGCCAGCGTTTGCCGCTGCAAAAGGTTTCGTCGACGAGGAATGGGATCGCATTCCAATTCGACTATAGGCGTAGCATCCTCTCCCGACACAACCCACCTTCGGAAAAGCATCGGCTCACTGTAGCGTGAGCGATCACGCACTATACCCATGATCGTAGGGAAGTTGTTTCGGGAGTAAACTTCTAGCGCTGATTCGTATCCTGCGTATTGGTTGAGCCATCCGGATAGTTCAAGGTGAGGAAGATCAGGCGCAAACAGGGCCACATAATCTTGATCAGGACCCAGTTGTCGAGAGCTTGTCGCCTGGAGATAGAGCGCGGTGGCCAGTCGCATGTGATCAATACTCTCAGTTGCGATTCCCGTCACTCGTTCCGCTGTGTCAAAGGCCAATGTAAATACCGTCTCGCTATCCCAGAACAAGGTCAAAGGTTCAACAGGCGGCAGGCCCGCTGGAGTGGTTAACCTGATACACATGTGAGCATCCCCATTATGATGTACAGCAATCCGTGTCTGGTGCACATCAGGCGATGACCACGAGCAAGCCCAGTCGACCCAGGGATCATATTGCTCCGAGACTTCTATCATGGCCGGTAGATTGCTGATATTGCTGGCTTTGACCTCTATATTTTTCTTAAACGGGAGCAGGTGGTCGCTCAAAAGGCCAAACTCGTAGAGACTCTTGTATGTCTGAAAGGCTGCTTCTTTCCTGGCCGCTCGCTCGGTCTGCCACCATCGCTGGCCCTGAGTACGACGGACTGCGGGATGTACGCACGAGGGCAGCATGACGGTTCCTTTCAAAAGGCCAGCGTCATCCTTCTCGAAAGAATATTCAGGATCGTTATCCACATATGGTTGACGAGGCAGAATTGCGCAGAAATGGTTCAGGTGTGCGATGGCTGTGTCTGCTGTCAAAACAGCACTAGATAACCAATTTAGCTCAATCCACAAATGCAACAAACATTAATGCATACCCAGTAGATTCTACCTCAAATCTGTCTGGCACCTCTTCGTTAAGAGCTTCCAGGGCCCATGCCTCACGCAGTCGTCGTTCATCATCTTCATAAGCTTCGATCATAGCCCTTTCCAGGTCCTGCCACTTGCTCAGCTCCAGAGAATCATCATCAGCTGCAAACATGATCGCATAAGTGGATTCCCGGTGTCGCGCACGCCCTCGCCTTTGCACAAACGACTTCAAATTCGGCGGTTTATCATAGCAGACCACCACACTGCAAGCGCTGATGTCGATGCCCTCCTCCAGCACATTTGTCGCGACAATCAGGTTTTTCTGACCCGTCCGAAACTCGCTCAGCGTATCGCGTTGCATTTGGGCATCGAGGAGCTCACCCAGAACATCCTTGCTGCCACCGCCGGACCAGCCGACGTAGGCAGCGCATCGAAAACGGTCCTTCGTCAAAGGGTGGATGGTAAGCAGCTTTTCCATTACACTCACCGTGGCCCTCTGTTCAGCAAAGATCAACCCTGAGAATTGCGGCTCTCCTTTTGCATCGAGAAAGGCCAGCAATGCTTCAAACTTTGGTGAGATACGGAAAGCAGCCGGGTCCGTGGAAGTGAGATCGATGTGCGGAGTAGGTAGCCTAGTCACAATATCCAACAGATATGACTTCTCCTCGTCGAACCAAGCCGATGTGTTCACAGAATCCCGGGCTCTCGCCTTAAGCTGCTCAACAGATGCGTGGATAAAGTAGTCCGAAGCCCATCCGCCGAGCTCTTCAAAGATGTGCAGGCTCCTGGAGACAAATCTTTTCAATTGCTCATTGCAGTAGGTCTTTCCCGTTGCAAGCGCATGATGCAACGCCCGTCCATCCAGTGGGCTCCTTCTCAACTTCTTGATATACGGATCATCCTCAATGCTGAGAGAACTCCAAGTCCTCACAAGCGCTCTTAACGTCTCACTCCCAGCTTGCGAATCCTCAAGTTGAACTGGAATGAACATAATCTGCTGCAAATGCGGGCGATGCGTATGCGTCAGCAGCTCTGACCGATGCACACGCGGTGTCTTGCACACTGCATCAAGATTGGCTTCGATCATCCTGCTCTGATCAGCAGACACAATAACCCTCCACAGCACCGCACTTACAGTAACTCCTGCCGATTTGACCTCACCACCGGACTCGCAGTTAGACCCAAAATCTTCGGAACAGCATCGGGACCATGCCTAGCCAAAGCCGGGTGGTAAAAGTCCTGCATGATCTTATTCGCCGGATGACGTCGCATGCAATGATGGGCTGTCAAACCGCATCAGCCTCACACCAACCTCCATCATCCCTGCATCTCCCTCCAATCAGTATTTGCAAGCAATAACATACCTTCATCAAAAACCATCAACCCCAACTGCGTAATCTTCACAAACCCATGACTCATCGCATCCGCCAGAACCGCATGCGTCGACACCACCACCTGCATATCCTTCAAAATGGCGTCCCAGATCGGCTGCTCCGTCCATTTTTCCACTCGGTCTAAACTCGTAAGTGTCCTCGCTCTGACGGCGGGGATTCCCTCTGAGATGGTCTTGAACTGTTGCAAACATAATGCAACAGTAGGCGTTAGGAACCAGATTAACTAGATTGCAGATAAGCCAAACATCCTCTCGATAGTTATCATGTGGCGCATCTCTCACCTTGTGTGGATTCCTCTCCAACTCTCTCATGATGCGTAGTAGAGCACTAACATCGAACTGTTAGTTACAGTCCTGAATCGAATCCGTGCTGGAGATTGACAAATCCAACAAGGCGAGCAACATACATATGCGTCTTCCCACTCCCCGTCCCCATCTATGAACGTCAGCACAAATCCCAACCTCCAACAGAGTAAAATCAGAACCAACCGTAACAATAATATTCTCCTTCAAACTCGCCTCGAACATCTCAACCTGGTAACTTCGCGGGCGGTATGCGGGCGCATCATCATCGCCGGCGGGGATGGGAGCTGCCATCCTGTTGTCATCGAACTAATCGTACTAGCAACCAACCCGGACGGGTAAGTTTGATTGAGAGTTGATGATGACGAGCGTGGTGAAGATGGATGTCGACTCAACTAACTAACAGAAGATTGGAAGGACGCCGGGGTATGGAATCGGATCAAGTATCAACATTGGTCGGTTCCCCGCTAGGAAGAGCGGGGTAGACAAACCTGGCAAACTCGGTGCCCGATAGCGGTGGGCGGTATAGACCCCATGTTCATACTAGTATCTAATACATTTGGGTTACAGGGGTTATGAGGAATATTTAGCAGGGATTCCCTTGTTTACTTCTCAAGGGGACTGACTATTGTATAGAGTGAGATTTGATATGGTACTTTGATTATTTTTGATAAATTGCAGTGACGAAACATTTCAATAATAGGCTCGAGTTCCATAAAAGACACTTCATTACGATTTTCCGTCAGTGCTCGAGGCTCCAAATACCTCTCTAAGTGCTCACGAGGATAGAGGCGTCCCATGGAGTGTGAAATCGGTCACTGGACTGGAGTGGTCCTCCTCATCGACGCACAGAAGGTACATCGTATGCAGATGTTCAAGGAACGGAAAGCCATGGCCAGACCAATGCATTTGACAACTAGTGACAAGAAAGAAGCACCAATCGAATTGACAATGCTGGCGATACTTTCTTCAAGGTTTGAACCTCCAGACTGTGAAAAGTCCGAATAAACACAAAACACCGCTCCTCCGAGGCCAGAATTGATACCTAGTTACATCACGCCATACACCAGAGAAGATACGAACGGAAAAAAGATATCGAAAAGACACAGTGAGGTGATGATATATCTGAGCGTATGAAGTCGACAGGTACAGGAATGACAGCACAAGGAATATAACTGGTTGCTCATGAGACCACGGGCAACCCGTGAGGAGGCTCCGTTTTCGTGGCTTCGGACCCATCGGGTTGGCCGTCGTCATTGCGCGGGCGACGAGTCTGAAAGTTGTTGCCGAGGAAATTCGCCTCTTCGTTGGGGTGCTTACGCATGCCCAGACCAGCAACTGCTATGCGATTTAGCGAGTTCATATCTTCGTTCGACGCACCCGGGTTCGGAACCTGCATTTGCTGGGGAGCACCACCAGGGCCTGCCGCGGGCCCCGTGGCAGACGCAGCACCCGGCGGTGGAACAGGCATGTCATTCCGTGGCTGGCTCAAGTCGATGTTCCCAGGCAGCTCCGGTACTTCGCCCTGAGAGTCCAACAACCGCGATTGTAGGTTGATGATGTATTCACGCAGCTGGTAGTTCTCGGACTGCAGTTGCTTCAGAGCCTCGTTGGTGGCCTCAAACTCCTTGACTTGCTCCTCCAATTTGCGGATATAGCTTTCCTTGCGCTGACGAAACGCTCTCTGTTTGGGTCAGTCACAGCGCTGGGTCCAGACAAATGTCCACTTTACCTGTGCGGCACGGTTTTGAGCAGCGCGCTTCGACGTCGACAGCGGTCGCTTGCCGTACGTCTTGGGGGATTCCTGGCCGGTGGGCTCCGGCTGGGGAGGCGTCTGTGGAGGACCGCTCATCATAGCGGCGCCGGAGATGGCAGGGTCAATGTTGTTCTGGTCTCGAGGGCTGGTGGTATTGGGTTGCATGTGTGGGGGCTGTGCGGTCGGAGCTTGCGGGCGCGCCTGCTGTGGGTGCGACAGATGCTGATGGGCAGCTAGCAGCTGGTCATGCAGCACTAGTGATCAAACACGCGTGTTAGCATTCTATATAAACATCGGTGAAGCCGAGGGTTCGAAAAGGCAGCACGCCGTCCGGGAACGCGCCGGCGCGATCAGTGTAGGACTTTTCCCCCCATCGCTTCGAGTTTTCTGCCTTCCTCCCTTCGCTGAGAGAAGTGTTCACTTACCCTGATCCGCATGGTCCTATAAGAAAACCCCACTGTTAGCATCACTGCACGATTATCGAGTCGACGCGACCGGCGAAGAGCTCGAGACACCCTGTCGTGAACACATGGCGGTTATCCGGCATGGTTCTTCCGGCCAGGGCGACGGCCGTCACAATCACGACCAGAGACCGAGCTCCCGAGCCGGGCATGAGATGGGCGAATCTGGGGAACGGGGTAGATGGGACAACGCGATCTGATGACAAACCGCGACAAGCATAGGCTGCTTACCTGAGCAGAAGTTTGCATACTTGGATGCGGCGCTGGGGCTAGTGTGGGCTGCATCGAGGATATAGGCCTAAGGACAACAGGGACGCGCCGGGAAAAAGATACGATAGCACCAATTCAAGAAGAGCACAGGGGCGGACGACACGCTCGGCCAGTATACAAGCACGATTTCTTGGGGTCCGAGGAGGGAAGTAAGTAGAGAACGATGAGGACAAACGGGGGAGGACGATGAGGTAAGCAGACGAGAGGCCGGAGATGGGCTCGTTCGCTAGTCCAGTCGCGGAGGCCTTAGCTAAGACCGTTCGAGAGGTTCTGATGCTGACTATTATTGGCGATAACGGGGGGGTGGGTTGGGCAGATTGGGAGGATTGATCTCGTAAGCAGGACTGACGGAGTTGTGAAGAGGGGGGAGGAGAGAAGATTAGTTAAAGTATCAGTCAGAAAGTGACGTGGGTACGGCTGGTCTGTCACTGGACCAGGGAAAGCGAGGAAGTGGGAATGGATGGGAAGAGGGAGCGTGCCGGGGAGGGGGGAGACTCTGACTTGGAGGGGGCTGGCAGCCTGGCCGCCTGGCACGGGCGAACAAAAGGGCCAGCCGGTGAATCTGTGAGGATCGCCCGGCTACCACGGTGGTACTTGCCTGCCTGGTCTTTTCTCATCCCCTCCCAGCCAATGGCTCGTACTCAGTCCTCTACTTCCTCATGAACATACTATATCATCCTCCCTACTTTCCTACTGCATCAGTAAACTGGAATCATTTCGACCCCTCTGTTTTCATCCTCTTTGTTTCCCGGTTGATGACTGATCCGGCATGTGTGCTGACTCATCCCTTGCCCCCGGCACCATGGTCCGAGCGTCCGAACCGTCCCCCTCCACGGAACCTCTGGAAGCGGCCGACGGTTTTCCTGCGCTGTTCGACGGAATTGCACTCAGGATGCCTCACTCATCTGCATAAGACCACTGTGAAGGTGGATTATTATTCCCCTCTTTCGCGCCACTTGGCCAGATATCGTAGGTAGCGTCGCCTGTTATCTCCGATCGCTTTTGCTCCGCCGGCATTCGACCGACCGCTTGGTTGGAATGTCGGGTCTTCGGCGTCACAGGGCCGAGGATGCCAGTGCAGTGGGTTCGGTCTGACTCAGCTGGGGATTGGTTGGTTTGTTTGGCGCGGTTTTTATTGGTGCATTGATCTCACACCTGTTTGAGTGGCTAGTTGTACTAGTACGGAGTACATCTGGGTTATGGTTTGAAGGGTACATGTTCGCTGTACTCCGTAAAGGCTTCATATTCATCATGGGTTTGCGTAACTAAGTATCCGTCCTGGGATAATACACAGCAGTCTGACAGGGCTGGAGTATCGCGTATACATGACACTGAAAAACGCAGCAAGGATATCAAACCACGCGGGACCAGCATACAAACGTTCCCGGGCATATATGGACATTAGGGTTCCCCACCACTCATAACTTATATACTTCTGTGATACCGGTCATCAGTGTGACCTGGCGGAGACATCATCAAGGACGGACAAGACACATCATCAATCACGCAATGAACCTCGCTCGGGCTCATCATTGCTCTTTCTTCGACGTCGGCTCCGTCACCAGCGTCTTGATGATGGTCGCTCCGACATGGGCCGATTCCTTCCACCCCTTCTGTCGCATCCAGAACCTCTCCGCGGGGTCGGTGTCATGAGTCGACCATTCACGAGCATCCTCTTCCAAAGACTTCCGAGTAATATCCGGGACCGCCATGGAATGGTCTTGCTCGTTGTCCTCCCGCTCATCGTCACTGCTCTGTGCACCAACAGTCGATTCCAGGTACTTCTTGCGCATCATGTAATGGTCCGTCCGCACCTTCTTAACGTTCGGGGGCTCCAGCTTGGACATGGCAGCTCGCACCGCATAACGCACCATGAGGTAAATGTGCTCCGAGAAGAATATCGTCAGCAGCAGCACCCACCCTCGGATCGCTGTCGGCTCGCCGTTCGGGCCTTCGTGACCATTACTAAACATGTACAGAAGGGCAGCACTGGTGATGCTGCCGACCCACGACAGGAACCCGAGACTTTCGAGCCAGGGCCCAATGGTGTCGGCACGCTGAGGCCAGGGCCGCTTGCATTCCATGCAGATCTTGAAAAAGTCGGACCGCAGCTCAATCCAGTTGTTGACCAAAAAGGAGACAGGGACTAGCGGCCAGACAGGCGAGAACAGGGCCAAGTATCCGAACTGGATACACATCTCACGCAAGTCGTCCGTCACATCGTAGTCCTCCATGTCGGCCTCGTTCCGCACCCGGGTGAGGAATTTAGTCTCGTCCGGATGATCATCGAACAGAGCCTCGCGCTTGGCCTCCGAGCCCTTCTCGGACTCGAGCTTCCCGTTCTTTCTCCGGTTGTACTGCTTGTATTCACGAGCGAGACGCTGTTTCAGCATGGGGACAATGGTCTCCATGGCAAAGTTGACTGCTTGCGCCGTGACAGTGAAGTAGATGACCTGCTTTCGCAAGCGGTCCGGGTCAATGTTGAAATCCGTGCGCAAGGAGGTCGCGTCTTCCTTGGAGACGAATGGCCGAACGGTCAGGTGGAAGACGTCGAGATACGGCACGATCAGACTCGCGAATGGTACGTAGACGAAGGCTGTCAGGAAAATCGGTAGGTATGAGGTGACAAAGTTGATAATAAAGATCTTCTGGGTCAATGCCACGTCGTAAGCGGGCTGAGTCTCGTAGTTCTCGTAGTCATTGAGCCTGGTTGCAATAGACACCAAGACCGTGCTCATAGTCGGAATCAGAGCCGAAAGCAAGATGGTCGGGATGAAGACCTGGCCTTATCAGCAAAGCTCACGAGCTTCACACGCGACTTCAACCTACCAGGTAAGTCTTGAGTGGGCCATTGTATATCTCAGAGATGAAAATCTCAATGGCAAAACACGTGGCGATGATGACGCCCAATGCCACTGCAGAGAGCAAGGCGAACGGGACGATTAGAAGTTGCCTATACATCCGCCTGGTCGCCGGAAATACCCCTCTGATCTCCCCAGTGCTTTCATCGTGAACCTCCTTTTCGGGCTTGAACTCGCGTCTCTTGGGTCGGACAGCAGATACACCCTTCGTTTGCCAACGACAGCTCAGGTCCTCCTCTTGACGCTTCCAGTATTCGATAAAAACGATACACCACAGGGAGTTAACCACGGCATAAATTATCGAGAAAGACCCAAGCAGCAGCCAGCAAGAGAATCCAAAAACGGCAGGAAAGAGGAGGAACCTGAAGTATGACTGCAGGAAAGCGAAGTAGAAGCCGACCTATCGAGCACCGGTTAGCAGCAGATTACGCATGCAAGGGCTCTCATGTCCGTACACTTTCTCCGAACGTGTTCCGTATCTGATCCAGATCCTCCGCGGAGAGGAACGTCTTCCGGCTCCAATCCCTCATACACTGCTTATTCATGTCCTCATCATGCAACGGGAAGATCGCATCGACACATTTCCACTCGCCATGTTTCGGGGTGATGCCAGCGCCGCCTGCTTCCTTGGGTACGGTGATCATATGGTAGATGATGCGCAGACGCTCCGATTCGGACTGCGGCTCGGCGGAGGATTCCGCTTCGGGCTCGGTATTGCGGACGCCATACAGCCAGTCGCGAATGCTAGTTAGAAGATCCAATGGTTTAGTAAAGAGAGGCGCATTGTGGACGGAACCCGGCCGGACAGGGAGCGCTCACTCACCGGGATTGATAGAGGGCGCGTTTCAGGCTCTTTTTGCGCGATGCGCGGACAAATACCAGCAGGGACGACTCGTCCCCTTGCCTCACCTCCGTCTGCAGTCCAACATCGAATAGCTTGCGCAGCAGTCGATCGAGTTGCTCGGTGGCTTGGGAGGAGTCTGGTCTGGTCAGGTCGGAGCGGCACGGGGGATTGCTTGCTCGGGGCACACCGCCATCTTACCAGTCTCACCACCAAAGTTGTAACGAATCACGTAGTCCACATAGTGGTTGCTATGCACGGGGTCTCGCGGAATGGTGGAAGCCATTGAATGAGGGATTGTCGCGCAGATTCAAGCAATCATGGATGCGATCAGAAGAACCGTCGAGGAATCCTCCCAGGGGATTAGTTTTAGTAGGAAGTTCCAGGGGATCGGCGGCGCCATGACGACGTCACCACCGATCCGATCTGGTGCTAGGGTTAGCCCTGATCGTGGCTGGGGGGCGATCGTCGCCCCATCGTCATGATGCATGATTCATTGGATGCGGATTCTAGCTATATTCATAGATGCTATATGTACAAATCGAACCGTCTTTGGTTTCCCCTTGCTGCCTCGAATCAGGTCTCTCGAGCGATGAGGTTGCGTTTGTTGCGAGCCGCGGCGGATATGCCGGTAGGTCTCCAGATCTATCTCCTCGTGTGATGCTCAAGCCGCATACGCAAAGCGTTGTCGAACCGCTCAGGCTCTACCCTATCTGGATAAGGATTCACTCCTTCCAATGCTTGTGGACAATCCTCCGAGTGACTCATAGTCCCTCCGCCAGTTGATTCAAGGCGGGGCCCTCGACCATCATCTTCGTCCACTCGTCCATGGCTCTAGCCCCGACCTGCTCGTAGAACTTGATGCTAGGCTCGTTCCACTTCAGAACACTCCACTCGAGCCGTCTTCCCTTGATCTCCAAGACCTTGGCGGCCAGGTACTTGAGCAACTTGAAGCCGTACCCGTTACCCCGCGCACTCGGCTGCACGTAGAGATCTTCGAGGTAGATTCCCGGAGCCGCGCGCCAGGTGGAGTAGTTGTAGAAGAAGAGGGCCATGCCAACTGGCTTGGGGGTCGGGTTTTCGGGCGTCGCGGGAGGAATGACGAGCGCGGTGTACACCGAGCCGCGCTTGGGAGGACTGTCGGGGAAGGACAAGGTTGCAAGGAGGGATTCGTGAGTGGCCTCGACTTCGTGGAGGGCCTTCTCGTAATCTGCCAGCTCCTGGATGAACTGGAGGATGATGGGGACATCTGCAATCGAATACCAGACACGGTTAGTCAAGGTGCGGGGCACCGATGGGATGAACTGGGAGAGGAAGTACTTGCCCTCCGGAGTCGCGAGGCGAATGGTCGGCTGGCCGGACATCGTGCAGATTGGTTCAGTAGCTACGAAAGGTAGAAGAAGGAGAGAGAGATGGGATGATACAGAACTGTAGCAGATGGTTGAGGAAGATCGCCGGGGGTATAAATACAGGCTTGGAAGACCCGGGGACCCGCTTGGCTTCCCCACCGGGAGTTCTGGACCGGCGCCGCGTCTCTACTGAAGGGTGACTAGTTCCACGCCCTGTGGTTGACGGCGCGCCAATGGGAACAAGACTTCGTAAGGGCCCAACAGGGGCTTCAAGGCATCAGAATGGTATGGAAAGAAATGGATAACGAATCCTATGTACCAGGTGGGATTACAGGTATGTTCTCGGCCCCCATAGTGGCCTGCAAGCGCACGGGAACTCTACCGCGATGTGATGGCTGCCATCCACTTTTGCTCATCGGTCCTGTGCCGGTCAGCAATCCGCGCAATGCAGAGGATATCGCAGGTGATGAGAGGGAAAGTCTCAAGACTTACCGGTCGAAATGGAGCAGCATCCCCAGAACAGGAACCAGCTGCTTTTGGTAGTTCTTGTCCTTCTGCTCCAGGAACTGGAGGAGGACATTCTTCAGATATATGTAATCGATGGGAGCCGAGCCAGGACCGGTAGGCGTTTCACTTCTCCGAGTCGACGGGCTGCGATCCTTGGCAACGGGAGATGCAACCGCTTTCCGTGAGCCGGAATCGATGGATGATCGGGAAGACTGGGAATGGTGCCCAAAGCGGCTTTCCTCCGGCAGCATCTTGGGGGTCTTGCGGACCTTTTCCAATCGAGAATTGGTCTCCTCCACTGACCGGCGCAGCTCGGCCTTCTCCTTCTCTAGGTCACGGACTTGCTTCTCACTCCCATCCAACGCATCCCGCAGCCGTGCCATGGCCTGTCGTAGGTCATTGAGTTCGTGTGTCGTCTTCTCGGATTCGGCCTCGAGTTGATCCCGTCTACGTTTCCAATCCTTCTGAGTATGCTCCAGCTCTTCCTTGTCTTCCTCCACCGTGCGCAGGGCTCGCTCCGCCTCACGCAGCTTGCTCTTCAAGTCTTCCAATTCACGTGCCCGCCGGCGGCCCTGAGCACTGGCTTCATCCTCAGCCCGGTCTCGTTCTTCGATGGCTGCCTCCATGCGTTCTTTGAAGTCTCGAACTTTAGCCTCTGCACGGCCGTCGATATCATTAAGGAGACGTCGCATTGTCTCCCCCTCCCGAGTCCGTTCACTCAACAGGCGATGAGCATCCGCTAGTTCTTCCTCCAAGCTCTCACAACGTTCCCGGGCTTCTTTCATCTGCATCCCCAACTCCCCAGCCTGGTCACGCATGCTATTCATCAAACTCTGGGCGCTGGAGTGCTGGGCAGTCTTCAGCTGGATCTCCTCTCGTAGACCGGCGAGGTCCTTGTTCAACTGAGTCGCCTGGCTTTCAGCCTCACGTAGTCGGGCTCGGGCTGCCTTCAACTCGTCTTGAGCCTTCGAAACGTCCGTTGCTAGTTTCTCCTTCGCCTCCACGGCTTCTTGCTTTTTGCCCTCCGAGTACCGCAGGTCCGATTGGGCAACTGTCAGTTTCTCCTCGGCCTTCAGACGGCTCTCCGTTTCCTGTCTGATCTTCTGGTTGAGGGTCTTCACTTCGGCGTCTCGCTCTGATATACTAGACTTGAGGGACTGCAACTCGGCACGCAGATCCTCGTGTTTGCCCTCCAAGCTCCTCAATTCGGTTGTCTTACTGGTCAGTGTTTCCTTGGTGGACTTGAGCTCCGACGACTCGCCCCGCAGCTTCTTCAATTCCGGTTGCAATTTCTGCAGGGTCTCCCGCAGATCCGTCATATCCTTAAACCGCGTGGCAGCCAGTTGCTGGGCAGCAGAAAGCTCGGTCTCCAGGGTGGTGGATTTGATCTTCAGATTCTCGTACTCGTCCTTCAAGTCGTTGTGCGCCTTCTCCGAGTCGGCGTTTCTGGACTCAGCACTCGTCCGCAAATCCACCAGCTCCTTCTCCAACTTGGAGATTGTTTCCTCCAGGGCGCTCTTTTCGGCAGTGAGCTCCTTCACCTTGTCCTTCGCCTCGACATGGTCTTGGCCCAAATTGAGTAGGTCGTCACGAAGAGTTTCAATTTCCTCCTTCAAATCTTCCTCTCCCTTAAGCTTTGAATGCAGACGGTCAATGGCAGCATCCTTCTCCTCCAGCTGCTTTTTGAGCGACTCGATAGTCTGCTCCAGCTCGGCCAGTTTCAGGCCTGATTGATCAGCTTGTTCAGCTGGCTGTTGCTTATCCTCAGGGGCAGCAGCAGTCTCGGCTGGCTTATTAACATCCTCGCTCGCCTTGGCACCCTTCTTCTTCTTTCTGTTCTTCTTCTTGCCTGCCCCAGCACCACCCGCGGGGTTGGCCGCTGGTGTGCTTGGCCCGGCTGAATCTTCTTTCGCTTCTGAGGCTTGTGGTGGAGTAGCCAGGCTCTCGCGCAGTTCACTGAAAACTGCTTCTTTTCCATTTGCAATCTTATCTTTGGTCTGTTGCCACTGTTCATTATCTTTGAGGTTGGCATCAAGGAAATCAACGACATTTTGTAATTTACCCAAATCTTCGGTCTTCTGTCCCATTTCACTCTTGATGTTGGTCACGGTTTCTTCCGTCTCCTTGAGCTGGGAGCGTAGGCTGTCAACCAATCCTTGTAGAACACCTAGACGCTTCTCATTGGCCTCTTTCTCCTGCTTCAGCTTTTCCAGTATGGCGTCAAATTCCGCCTGTTGGTCGGCGTTCTTGACTGGAGCAGTCTGGCTCTGGAGCTTCTCGATTTCGTCAGTTCGTTGCTTCAGTTCGGATTTCAGCTTCTCAATTTCGGCGCTAGTCTTTGAGACAGCATCTTCCGATCTCTCCAGCTTAATCTTAAGCTCGTTGACTTCCTCTTGCTTGGAAGTCTTCACCTTCTCCAACTCCGCGTCCTGTTTATCCTTCGTGTCGCGCAGTTCCACAAGCTCCCGAGTTGCGGATTCCAGGTTATGGACCATGCCCTCCGTCGACTCGCGAGCCACCGATAAGTCGCGCTTGAGCGATTCCGCCTGGGACTTCAAGGCCTCAATCTCATCTTGTTTCTCCTTCAACTCCGATTCCAATCGCGGGATTTCGCTGTCGAAAGAGAAGAACTCCTCGCTCTCACCCTGCGACGGAGACTGTTTCTGAGTCTGAGCAGTATCTTTCGCACCAGCAGCCTTTCCCGACGGCGCAGAACTATCGCTTGTAGATTCGCCCGTAGCAGAAGCGTCCACAACTGATTCATCGCCTCCCTTCGCTTGGGCCTTGCTGTCCTCCTTGAGTTTTGCAACCTCATCATAAGCGGCTTTGGTGGCTTTCTGAGCCTCTTCAAACTTTTTCTTGTAGTCATCCCTCTCTGCTGTGACACGCTTCAATTCCTCCACTACAAGATCGCCTTTCAATGAGATCTGGTTCAAGTACTCTGTCAAAGCCTTGGGTTCGCCGATTGACGTCAGAGGGGTGTTTTCTCGCAGGGCAGCTTCAAACGGTTCGATCGACAGGACGCGCGAATGGGCCATTCGGTACGCTTTGAGGAGATCTGGAATGCGATGCCAGGTTAACCAGATTGCTGATCACTCGTTTCACGGCACTCCTTACCTTGGTACCGGGATTCTAGTTTGCCTAACCTCCGCAGTTTTACCCTGATCTCTGGCGGCAGCTCGGATGGTGACTGGTTCGGTTCCGTCACGGGCTGGCCCTCCGGCTTCTTAGCAGTGGACTCCTCGGCAGTCGCCTTGCCCTCCCCGCCATTTTCCTCCGGGGCAGCTTCGGAGCCGCCTGCCGACTCCAGACGCGGAGTGGCCGATCTACTGGAGCCTTCATCGTCTCCGATGGCGAATTCCGGCTCGAATTCGTTTGGGTCGGGACCACGGACGGGGGTCCCAGTGTTTCGCCGCGGACGGGAAGTCCGCCTGGTAGGAGAGATGTTGCGGCCCGTGGGATGACGAGCGGAGTTGGAACGCGATAGAGAGTTCTGAGCGGACCTTTGACGAGCTTGTTCCTCTGCGATCCGAGAATCGATTGCGTCGCGCAGGCGCTATATGGAGAACAGGGTGAAATCAGCCACGGGCAGGGGCACGGGTGCAAATGGCACGGGGAAGATCCGAGTCGGGTAAATAGTATTCGACAGGTAGTCAAGGTAAGATCGGTGGGCGGACACGTACCTGAAACATGACCGTGGCGGGCCTGTGAGCCAAGGCCACAGCTACACTGACGAACGAAAGACAAAGGGAGAAAAGTCGGCCGCAAGCAAGGACGAGGAGAAGCAAGCGATAGAAAGGAAAGAAGGGGAGCATATGAAATGCAGCGGTTGCAGCTTATCCACGGGGCGTCGGCTGCCAGTTGGGCGGCCAAGCGCCGGTTCGCGGCAGAAAGGCGGAGCCCGTGCCTGGCGGTGAGGCCTTCTAGATTTCTTATCTACGGAGCGCAGCTCGTAACTCTCCCAGCACACCTCGCTCATCCATGCCTCTTGACGAATCCTAGAATTATAAACTATTTTGCCTATCTATCCTATGACACTCTAGGTTTCTCTCCCATCGGCTATTCCACGTACCAACCACTAGGTCCCCAGTAGGGAGCTTTGGAGAGTCTACTATATATAGAAGCGGGTCATGGCCGATAGTCGTAATCTCTTTACTCTGGAGTCTGGATAGCACCGACACGAATAGGGGAGGTAGGAGAAAGAGAAGAGGGGCTGCAGTGTTAGGATATAGAAAAGGAGATGAGAAAATTGCTTAGTATGTAGGGTCTCGTTTTAGAATTGGGGATCGTTACAGAAGAACATTGTACTCATGTGCTCGACTAGCACTATATATTTCTAGTGTCTTCATTCGACTTCCAGTAACCTCTCTTGGCCATATCCCATAGGAGTACTACTCATCGTTGGATAAACCCTTATATCATAAGAAATTAACCAATCTGGAAGCCAACGGAGACAGCCATGTAGTACTACGATGTACTAGATAGACACCCTCGGTGACTTCCTTGGTTGGCTACTAAGATTCGATCGGTTCCTGAGCCGCAAATCCAGGTACCACAAAGTGATGATAGTACTCCGTACTCAGTACTAATCTCGGTTGAATTATTAATTCAAGATGATCTATATGTACCCTGGCATCAACATTCATCTACTCCCTATAGCTGTTTAATCCTCCGATAAGCATCATGTACAGAATCCTCCTGCTGCTGGAGAGCAACGGAGAAGGCCTCGTGCATGCCGAGGAAGCGTTGGCACCGCCCGGCTTTCTGCCCGGCTCTCCGACTCGACCCCAACCCGCCTTTTGCTCCTGCGTCAGACAACCAGCCACAGGCATTCCTGGGTGCACGTTCTCCCCTGCGTTGACGATGCTGGCTACGTTTAGGCTAGCTGCTGTCTACCAACCATCGCTTTGGATCAACCTGCGAAGACGAGGGTGAATGAAAGAGTGGAACGGAGCGAATAGAACAAGGAGAAGCACGAGCTCTGGGGTGGCTCCCTGCCTTGGTTATCAGTAGCTGCTCCTTAGCGGCTGGTCTCCATCGAGCTGGTGGAAGCTTGGAGAACCATGGCCTATGACGGAATGATCGCAGCGCCCTCGCTTGAATCTTCAAGCCTGGGCTTTGGCCATGTGCCTCCTGCATCTTCCTCGACCTCCGCACGATCACTTGCAACCTCAATCCCCGCCTTAACCGCCAGCTTTTCCGTCGTGTCCGGCTTCTCTTCCCATCTTCCGCCCCCGCCATTACCCCCTCCAGCACCCTCAACCATGGTGGGGTGGATCGGCTGGATATTCACCTTCGTTTTCCAGGTCATACCAAGCGTTCTCTACTGGATTATCACCTTTTCGACCATCACCTTGCCCACATGGCTGTTCACGCTCTTTTCTATGAGTCTGACATTCACCATGAATTTCACGACCCTGTGAGTTCCTAGCCGTACCCTAATGGGGACCGGAGATCCACCCCTTGTGCCAATTTATGCTAACCCATGACTGCGTGGATTGGCAGACTCCTGATCGCGCTGGCCGTGGTCTCGACCATCAGTTGGTTCATCCGTTACCGTTTCCTGAACATGTACAGTCGCCTGCCCCCGGAGCCCCAGCGCAAGGAACCCCAGCTCGACCTCTTTCCCGATGTACCAGAGGGCGACACGAAACCGGGCCTGGCCAATTACCTCGATGAATTCCTAAGCGCCATCAAGGTCTTTGGCTACCTAGAAAGACCCGTGTTTCACGAGTTGACTCGCACGATGCAAACGAGGAAGTTGATTGCAGGCGAGACACTCTTACTGGAGGAAGAGAAGGGCTTTTGCTTGGTTGTTGATGGTTTGGTCCAGATCTTTGTCAAATCCATGCGGGACAGGAAGTCGGACACAGAGGAAGAGATTAATCGCATGGCAGGCGAGTCTTCTGACGAAGACGATCATCGGATGGATGGGAGGCAAGGATATCAGCTACTTACCGAAGTCAAGAACGGAGCCTCGATGTCGTCCCTGTTCTCCATCCTATCGCTGTTTACCGAGGATATTCAATTGCGATATGCAGACAGCTCAGCTTCCAGTACTTCCAGCATAGGCCCCGGTCCCGCCCGTGCGCCCGACTCATTTCCGGCCAGTCCTGGGGGTATGGCGGACTCCCCGCATACCCTCCCAAGGGATCATGTTGACCCGATCTCCCACATAGGCAGCGGTGCTGATGATCTGCCAACTGTGCCTCCGTTGCATCTGGGGGAAAGTCGCGTCCCACCCGTCCACTCTTCTCGATCTGAAACCAGAAAACATCCAAGCAAGACGCGCCGGAAATCAGTGCACCCAGACATCGTTGCGCGAGCAATGGTAGACACGACCATCGCTATTATCCCCGCCAGCGCATTTCGCCGCTTGACTAGAGTGTACCCGAAAGCGACCGCTCATATTGTCCAGGTCATTCTTACGCGTTTACAAAGGGTCACCTTTGCCACGGCGCATTCTTACCTGGGTCTCAACAATGAGGTGCTGGGGATAGAGAAACAGATGACAAAGTTCACAACCTACGACTTGCCAAATGATCTGCGTGGGGCAGCTCTAGACCGGCTCAAGGACAAGTTCATCAAAGAGCGGGACCGTTTGGGTCAAGAGGAAGTTACCAAAGGGATCGCACTACATAATCCATATGCCGGGAGAAGACCCAGATCGAGCAGCTTCCGAAGGAAAGAAGCTGTTCTTCAGGCAAGGATGGCAACCTCCAAACGCCCAGTCTCTATGGTTGCTCATGATAATGCCCTGAGTGACCGGGAGAACTCTGGAGTGAGCCCGGGCGATCTCCTATCCACAATCCAGCTCTCGCGGTTCGGTCCCAGGTACGAGCACCTTGCCCCCAGATTGTTGAGCCCTCTCACGGAGAAAGAGCATTCTCCTCTACGGTCCCCATCTCCAATGCTTCCTGGACGCGGGTCTCCTTTCCACCGAAAGGAATCCATTGATGAGGATGCGCTCTTTCGTGAATCGATACTGGAATGCATCATGAAAGGCATAGGCTTGACCGGGAGCACCAATGATTTCCTTCGCAAGAGTAGTCATGCCTCTGGCGACGCTTCCCCGAAGCTTCTCTCTTATGATTCTCGCCGGCAGAAAGCCGTGTTTGGCAATAATGCATTTGGGTTTATTGACCCCTACGAAGGTTCTGCGGATGGTGAGAGCGAGTCCATGATGTCCATGTCTGTTACCAGTGCCGGTGGTACTTCCCCTGTTGTCAGTTTGCGGGAAGAGCTTCGAAACGATATTGAGATTGTTTACTTCCCTCAGGGCTCGGTTCTGGTCGAGCAGGGCGAGCGCCACCCGGGTTTGTACTATGTTGTTGACGGCTTCCTGGACGTCGGTATTCCCGTGAACGACAAAGAAGAAGACCTTGTGGGGTCCTCTAGACCAGCGCAGGAGGAGCTTTTCCCAATGCTGCGGCGTACCAATACGAGTTCCTCTCGCGCCTCAGGTTCGGCAGCCGCCGCAAACGATCCTCGGCGGAAGAAACAACCACGAAAGTCTCTTTATCTTATCAAACCTGGGGGGATCCAAGGCTACGTGGGCGCTGTCGCATCTTATCGCTCGTATACTGACGTCGTGGCGAAGACGGATGTATACGTGGGATTCCTTCCACGGGCGTCTCTGGAAAGAATCGCGGAGCGGTACCCCCTTGCCCTTCTGACGCTGGCAAAGCGACTCACCAGCGTGCTCCCACGTCTACTTCTCCATATTGACTTTGCCCTTGAATGGGTGCAAGTGAGTGCTGGCCAGGTGATCTACCACCAAGGCGACGAAAGCGACGCCATCTACCTCGCCTTGAATGGGCGACTCCGGTCTGTCCTGGAAGGTCCAGATGGCAAAATGACAGTGGTAGGCGAGTATGGCCAAGGGGAGAGTGTGGGCGAGCTGGAGGTGATGACCGAATCGACCCGCCCGGCGACTCTTCACGCCATCCGCGATACTGAACTTGCCAAGTTTCCCCGGACGCTTTTCAACAGTCTGGCACAAGAGCACCCGGGGATTACCATCCAGGTCTCCAAACTGATTGCTCAGCGGATGAGGGACCTGGTTGAAAGCCCACTGACTGAGAAGGGAGTTGAACCAAGTGGTTCTGGCACGGTGAAGACTGCACGGTCTACCCTTAATCTTCGCACCGTTGGCATTCTCCCCGTGACGGCTGGGGTGCCAGTCGTCGAATTCGGCAATCGACTACTACAGGCGCTTCACCAGATTGGGGTGACCAACGGCGCCACGTTTCTTAACCAAGCTGCCATCCTAAATCATTTAGGTAGACACGCTTTCAGTAAGATGGGAAAGCTGAAGTTATCCCAGTATCTGGCAGACCTGGAGGAGAAGTATGGCATGGTTCTCTACATTGCAGATACAACCGTGAACTCTCCCTGGACCCAAACGTGCATTACGCAGGCCGACTGTATTCTGCTGGTTGGACTGGCCGAATCGTCGCCTAGCATCGGTGAGTACGAGAGATTTCTGCTTGGTATGAAGACGACAGCTCGGAAAGAATTGGTCTTGCTTCACGGGGAGCGGTACTGCCCCCCTGGGCTGACTCGCCAATGGCTGAAGAATCGCGTCTGGATTAATGGAGGACATCATCATATCCAAATGGCCTTCCGTCTGACGGCTGAGCCCTCCCACCCTCAAACGAAGCGCTTTGGAACCGTCTTGAAGCAGAGAGTCCAAGTTCTCCAGGCTGAGATCCAGAAGTACACCTCACGTCGGATTCGCCAATCGCCGCTCTATTCCGCGCAAACCCCCTTTAAGGGCGACTTCCATCGCTTGGCGCGTCGGTTGTGTGGCCGGTCGGTCGGGCTTGTGCTTGGAGGAGGAGGAGCCAGAGGCATTGCCCAAGTCGGCGTCATCAAAGCTCTTGAAGAAGCGGGAATCCCCATTGATATCATTGGCGGTACTTCCATCGGCTCATTTATTGGAGCCCTCTATGCGCGGGACGCAGACGTTGTGCCCATGTATGGTCGCGCGAAGAAGTTTGCAGGGCGTATGGGAAGTATTTGGCGGTTTGCCCTGGACCTCACATACCCCACCGTGTCCTATACGACAGGCCATGAATTCAACCGTGGCATCTTCAAGACCTTTGGAGATAGTCAGATCGAGGATTTCTGGCTGGAGTTCTACTGCAACACCACCAACATCAGCCGGTCTCGCGCTGAATATCATTCGTCCGGCTACACGTGGCGGTATGTCCGTGCCTCCATGTCACTGGCCGGGCTGATCCCGCCGATTTGCGACGAAGGCAGCATGCTTCTCGACGGTGGCTACATTGACAACCTTACGGTTGATCATATGAAGGGCCTGGGAGCCGATGTGATCTTTGCTGTCGACGTGGGCTCTCTCGACGACAACACGCCGCAAGGGTACGGCGACTCCCTTTCCGGGTTCTGGGCGGTGGTGAATCGGTGGAATCCGTTCTCCTCGTTGCCGAATCCCCCCACTCTGTCTGAGATCCAAGCGCGCCTGGCGTATGTGTCCTCGATCGAGAACCTCGAACGGGCCAAGAACACGCCCGGTTGCCTGTACATGCGCCCGCCTATTGATCGGTACGGCACGCTGGAGTTTGGCAAGTTCGATGAGATCTACCAAGTGGGGTATGCCTACGGCAAGGAATTCCTGGACAAGCTCAAGCGCGAGGGATCTCTGCCGCTGCCCGAAGAGACGGAGGAGAAGAAGAAGCTTCAGCGGACCCTGGCCCCACGCCGGGCGAGCATATGATGGACACGCCTTCGGACGAAGCTATGTCACCCGCCGAGCTGCATTCCGAATAGTTTTGTTGATACCCGAGATGTTCTGGATGGTTCTTCCTTGTACATAGACGCGTAGACCGCGAACCCATTCCATTCCGCGTTTGCAGATCGGCTATTCTTAGCGGCGTGGAGTACAGAGCGTAGCGTACTCCGTACATTGGTAGAAGAGTTGGCCCGTCCCCATTTCGCCTCGGGGGATTCACGGCCCCGGCAGAGTCTAGATGCAGTCTAGACCGGGCTCCCGTCCATCCCCCAAGAATCCCTGCCACTGGATGGCCGGCTCGGATCGAGCGGATGCCACTCTTGCTTCCATCTCTCCCTCCATTCTTTCTCTTCCATGTCTCTCATCGTCGTGGTGGCCTTTGCATCCTCCCCGCAGAGACCTTGCCAAGGGAGTTCCCCCCACACGCTGCGGAAGCTGTCAGGATTCTGGAATTGTGGTGAGTGGCGGCCCGGACCCCTCCAGCCCAGCCGGTGACGGTCCCTCACTAACCACCTGCCCGCGGGATACTTTAGCCAACTCGGATCTCGCCAGTTTTCATCAGGGAAAGCCTTCTCCATCTGACTGAACCGGATGTTAACTGCATGCGCCTGCTGTGCTGTCTTACTAACCCTCCCAGCCAAGCCGACGCTGCAGGATCCCAAACTCTAATACAACCCATCATGCAAGGCTGAGCCCATCTCGCGACCTCCCACTTTCATCATCCCCGGTCTCGAGGGCGACCCAACCAGGAACCAATCCAGGGCATTCCACCCCCTCCATTACGAGGCGCGACTGGAGATGATCCAGTCACTGGGCCTGCCCATGCGTTCGCGGGGGCTGTGTACATGGTGCTCGGTCGTGCTGTGCTTCGGTCTACTGGGCCTGTTGTACATGCGACTGCTCAAGGACGATCTCACTCTAATCCTTAGTGAGTTCCAGGTCTGCCAAGTCGCTTGACTGCGGTCACTAATCTCACGTAGATCGAGTGGAGAAGCACCGGCCCAATGCCCTGGTTCTGGCCAAAACCCGCTCGGAAGATGTTTCCTGGGCATACACCCTCAAGCCACAGTATGTGTTCATGACCCATCCTAGGCCTCAACCAAGGATAAGAATAAGCACCGTGGCTCACTCGCTTGGTAGCTGGAAGCCCTTCATCTACACCTCCGACCAGGAGCCCGGGTACTACGCCATTCCGGCGAATAAGGCCCGCGAGGGTATGGCGTATTTGACGCACATCATTGACTTCTACGACCGTCTTGCCGATGTCACAGCGTTCATGCACGCCTCCGCCACCCAGTGGCACAACGATGTCGGCGACATGGTGTCAGCGGCCCTGCTGCGACGACTCAGTCTGGATGCCGTGAACCGTGCGGGATATGCGAACCTCCGCTGTCAGCACCGCCCAGGGTGTCCCGTGGCCGTGCGCCCTTTCGATCCTGCCATGGCTTCGAACCATAATGTGGTGTATCGCAACTTCACTTCGATCTACATGGACCTGTTCGCCGTGCCCCGGGATCAAGTTCCCACCGAGGTCGGCGGCGTCTGCTGCGGCCAATTTGTGCTTACGAGGGACCGGATCCGAGAACGGCCGCGAGATGATTATGTGCGAATGCGCGACTGGGCCCTGGCCACTGAGATGGACACGTTCGCTGCGGGGTCGGTTTTCGAGATGCTGTGGCATATTATCTTTCTCGAGCAGCCTATATCGTACGTCGTGCAACTCATCCGCGTCCGGATACCGATGAATGAATGAAAGAATGCTGACCTGATACCACAGATGTCCGGATGTCCAGCAGTGTTATTGTGAGCTTTATAATTTATGTCCTGAAAATAATGACCATGCTTGAACATTAATATTTTTCTCCACCCTGTCAGCTATCCCCTTTGGCGTAAACTAATCTTAAACCTCACTGCTGGCTGGTGGTGAAGCTGTGAGGGTGGCTCGCATGCGCATCTTGCTCCTCCGGTGAGCTTATCACAGGCCCGCACGGCATCAAAATTGATGCAAGTGCCCGAGTCCTCCAGCCTCGGCCCTGCTTTAGGATAGTGCGCCGGCTTTCATGCAGGATCCCTGCGCGACCTCGTATTTCCCGTGGGATGAACCGCTAGATTTCCCGCGGTCTTGCTAGCCGCGCCGGACCTCAAACCGCCTGGCCTCCACTAATCCGCCCACGATCCGGTCTAACCAGGCTTTCCGTCCACTGAACGAGGCTTGTCTAGCCAAGAATGGCTGCTTCATGAATCATGCATCGGCCTTCACCTCGGAGATATCGCAAATGAGACACACCTCCGGTGTCCTTGGACTTCTTGGTCCTCTCGCCCAACCAGTCGCCCATCTGAGAGCCTCGTCCGCTTCACCTCAACAGCAACAAAATGCCGTGCAGTCTTCTACGAAGGTGTCGCTGCGCAGCATCACCAGCATAACTTGAATCCCCCTGCGGCAAATTATAGTGTCCCCAGACATCTTGCGGCTTCAGTTCCTCATGATGCCATCATCAGAGACGCTAATCAGCCTGGACAATCTATCTCATCGCTCTTCGAGCCCACGCCCCAGCCAAGAGGATAATAGGCAACTGCTTCCCAGTAGTGCAAGCTCAACCTCATCGCGTCGCGGCTCGTCTGATCCAAATGCTCATGCATCAAATGCCAGCCTTCAGCCCGATGCCAGCGACAATGGAGATCAAAGCGACAGCGACACCAATGCGGCTACAGAATCCCACGATAACTCAGTGGACGATGATGATGCACCGCTACCAGCCAAAGAGAAAAGGAAGTGGCGTTGGAAGCACCTCGTGATGGATGCTGGGACTGACGAACCCTATCAACTGCACGACGACGGTGCTACGCTGACCCGCATGGTATTTCTACGGCTGTTAGCCATCTTCATCATGATAGGGTCAGCCTGGCCACATCTCAGAACTCTGCGGAGGCGCTAACCATCCACGCGCAGGGCCATCGTCCTCGGAGCGCGCGGCCAGAGCTTCGACATCACATCTTTTACGTTCTGGAGCGTAATCGTGGTTGATCAAGATGCGCAGCTCGCCCTCATCGGCCTGGCCAACAGTGTTCTCCAGCTCCTCACCCAGGAAGCCCTCCTACACATTTCGGCGACCCTGATCACAAAATGGATGACCGGCAAAGGCCAAAAGGGAGCCAGTCCGGTCGACTTTGACCTCTACGAAGAATTCAAGAAACCCTGGATAGCCGTCGCCAAATTCAAAGAACGATGCAAAATCGGCACTCGGAAATGGCGCGCTTGGCTGCAGTTCATCGGCGCCCTTGCGGTCGGCATCAGCATCCTCCTTCTCGGGGCGGCCATGAACACCGTCGCGATACCCAAATCCCGCTGGTGGCCCGACACTCGGTTCGAAGCGCCACAGCCCCCCGACGACCGATTCTACTTTACAAACCAGACGGCTCGCGTGGCAAGTGTCAGCCGGATGCCACTCTGGGGCCAAGCGTGGGACATGATCCGAGAGGGAGGCACGGCCTCCTGGGAAATGGTACGGTATTCTGCTCGACAGCAATGGTGTCCATGCTAAGCCTTGTCTGATCACAGGCTCACGTCCTCGGCGCATACCGCAGTCTCACCGCGCTGAGCAAATTATATGACACGTTCAACAATGAAGCCGGCTGGCGATCCATCGGTGATAATGACGTCCCGACGTTTAGCGCCATCGAGGTCACCAATACCTCCACGCCCTCCATCCGGTCTATGGCCATGCATGGGGACCCTGCCATCGCCATGTACAATCTGCAAAAGGCGCAAAGCACACACAGCTGGGCGCGCGGCTCTATAGGCTGGTATGCGCGGCTTCTCCTACCCGGCATCCTCCTGGACACGTCCTGCACCTCCAACGACACACTCGCACCCGGCTTCTGGGCAGCCACAACCTCTTCCACCAATTCTACCATCTCCATCACCATCGGGCCTGCTTCAAACGCATCCAATATAAGTACCGGTGGTTTCGGCGGCGCAACCTGCCATATAAACGTCTACCAAGCTCAAATTGCCCTTCAGCAATGGATCTATAGCGGCACCGGCAACTACGAGTACAGCATCAATGACTACGGCGCAGACATGTACCCCGAGATCCGCTATCTCAACTCTCCCAACACCATCGAAACCCTCGCCATTTCCGCCGAGACCACCTCCTGGTTCGAGGCCATCCTGCCCAATCTGCAAGCGTTTTCGATTGACAAGGAAATTCTCAATCTGACCTCGCTTGCCGTCGTCCTTGCCGACGACCTCGTCAGCTTCAACCGAGGGTACTCGCAACTCGACGGCTTGGCAGCGGTGATCTCCACCATCTTCACGGATATGGTCACCTCATTTGATTGGACGTATGCCGTATCTGATGGCAACACGACGATGCAGGGGCCTGTCCGGTGGCAGATTTACGGATCCGGGCCGCGATTACCCTGGGAATGGACCATTGCGATTGTCTTGGGGGTGGGGATCGGGGTGCAGGTCTATGACCTGGTGCTCTTGGGGTGGTTGAGGGGGCTGGCGAAGGGACACTGGCTGAGCTTGGATGGGATGCTGGTTGCAGCGAACAAGGCTCCCACGATGAAGGTGCTGCAGAATGGACAGGGGTGTGGGTATGTCTCAGATGAGGCCCGGCAGGCGAGGTTCTTCGTTCGTCAATTGGAGAGTGATCTGGAGGGGCAGAGGGAGGGGGATGCAGTGTTGGTCAGTGGCAGAGAATTGCAAGACGAGGAAGGAATGTATGTGGAGTTGCAGCCGGGGAAGGCATATGGGGCACAGGCCACAGCCTGAATAGCATGCTTATCCATACCTCCACGACGGATGCATATCCAGGGGCATGCGCCCACCCCTTGATTCAACGGTATTTCTCGGCGATTGGAACGACGAACCAGCCGGCGCGCTCCTTACAACTCTCCCCCTTCCCCAGCAACTCCAACCAAGGACACGGCGCGTCCTTATGTCCCCTCTCCACGTCACAACATGCTCCCCCGAGTCAGTTCCACCGCAGCAGTCGTGCTGACGCTGGCCCACCACCTCACGGCCTTGCACCCTGATCCCGGGAATATCCGCTCGCCCGCAGCAGTCGACAATGACGGGCTCCCCATATCCCTTCAATCCTGTCTGGGGGCCACCGGGGCCGAGGTCGTATACCCCACCGACGCCGAGTACGCCAATCTCACGCTGCCGGACAATAGCAACTACCACCCTCACCCTCAAGCCATCGTCATCCCCAAATCCACACAGGAAGTTGCAGCGATCGTCCGCTGCGTGTCCGCCGAGCAGGGCCGGGTCACTCTCAGCCCGCGCGGCGGCGGACATGGCTATGCCGCGTACGGCTTCTCGGGCCAAGTCGTGATCGACTCCAGCCAGATGACCGACATCGTCCTGAACGAACCCGCCCAGGAGGTCACTGTGCAGATGGGCCAGACCATCGGCATCCTCGCCTTGACCATCGGCCGCGCAGGATATGCCTTACCCCATGGCACCTGTCCGGGTGTTGGCATTGCAGGCCACAGCCTCGGCGGAGGATGGGGATATACTTCACGTCAATGGGGGTGGCTCGTCGACCACCGTGAGTCCCAGTTCCTGCCTCCCCAAAAACCAGCGCACTAACCCAGCCAAGTGGTCTCCCTTGAACTCGTCGACGTAGCTGGCCGCATTCACACCCTCGGCCCAACCACCAACACCAGCGATAGTGACCCCGACCTCTGGTGGGCCCTCCGCGGCGCGGGCTCCAACAACTTCGGGATTGTCACCTCCTTTACGTACCGTATGGAACGCGCCCCAACCGCCATAACAAACTACAATATCGACTTCGCCACGCACTCCGACTGCGTCCAAGCCCTCCTCACCCTTCAAGACCTGGGCTCTCAGCCCGATGGCCTCCCCACTTCTCTCGGCGGCGAACTCGTCATAACCGGCGGCTACACGCCCCCCAATGCCTACTGCTCCTTCACGGGACAATACTTCGGGGACCCTTCATCGTACAACACGACTATCCAGCGGTTTCTGGCTCCGCTAGCCCAGCAATCCATTCAGCCTCAATCCACCACCTCCGCTTCCTTCACCAACTGGGTTGACGCCCTCACAGACCTGATGGGGCCCCTGGACGACCCCTCCATCCCTCAACCCTATTATGCGCAATCGCTCCTCGACCCCGGCACTCCAAACTACACTCCCACCACAGCCTCCTCAATCCTCACGGCCGTTCAACCTGCCGGGCCCGCCGCCCACATCTCCTTTGACCTCAACGGTCCGTCCTCCGCCACCAACCAACCCCCACAAAACGACGTCGGTCCCATGTCCTTTTTCCACCGAAAGAGTCTTTTCCTAGCGCAGATCTACGCGGCCGATTTCCCGGGTTTCGATGATCCGGGGAGGAAGGAAGCGCTGGATACGATTTGGGCAATCTCGGATGCCGTACGAAGCGCGGACCCGGAAGGCAAATGGCATGCGTATCAGAACTACATCGACCCGGATTTGGACAACTGGGGGGAGATGTACTATGGAGCGAATTTAGAGCGATTGAAGGGGGTTAAAGAACGGGTGGATCCGAACCACGTGTTTGACTTTCCGCAGGGGTTGGGACGAGCTTGATGAGTGTAGATGCGTGTTGGGTATAGACTTGGTGGAATAGATGGATTCTCATTCAACATAGACGTGTGTAGGCCCGAGTGTACGAGGCCGAGATAACTGGATCTGTTGAAAAAAGAGTGGAATTGCACCCTGGTATTGCGCTCGAGCAGCATCGTTCTCTGAAATCATCTTATCTATATCTTTTTACCCTTCCCGTTCTGTTTGACCAGCCCCTCTAAGTAACCTCAACTACTTACTTACCCACCAGACCAAAACCCACACCTAGCCGATGATCAGTCAAATCAGTCCCTTGTATCACGTCAACCACTGCCACTGCATCTCCTGGGACATATATATATATACCACCATCACTCCTCTAGAGTCAAATTTGTCAACCAGTAAACAAGACCAGATCCATGCCATCACTAGTACTACTTGAGAGTCAACCCTAGTGGGAGATCTTTATCTTCATGATACATAGTACTAACCCTACTAAGTAGTAGTACCAATCGTATGAGTAGGTGGGGGTGTATTCTTGTTTACTAGTATTAGTTCGTTCCTTTTTAATGAATGTGTATAGTACTAGTACTAGTAGTAATACTACTGGGTAGTATGTATGTACTCTTATGTAGTTTTCTTTTCTTTTTTTTTTTTTTTTTTTTTTTTTTTTTTTTTTTTTTTTTTTTTTTTTTTTTTTTTTC